CCTCCTCGGTTTCCAGGGGGAATGACGCGCCGCATGGAGCGCCGCCAAAGTATTTCCTGCAGAGGTCGTCCTTGATCTGCTGGTCAGTCGGGAACCGCGAGTCGCACGATCCGCCGGTTTGCTGATCAGTCTTGCGAAGCCTCTCGGGGGTCATTATTTCGAAGAGCCTGCAAAAACCCCATTTAAGCCTGCGGTGTGCCGCACTGCCCTGCGGGTGCTCAATGGCCTTGGGATCGTGGCATGGTGCTGGCCAGCCCGTGCCGAAAAGCTCCAACTGGCCGAGGCGGTTATTACACGTCTCGGGGACTTTGATGACGGCAAGGTCCCCGAGGCCGATGACTGCCTTCTTGCCGCAGTCAACTGCGTCGGTAACGGACTTGCCCTCGACTAAGCACTTGCCAATGCCTAGTACGTACGTGATTATCACGGTTTGCGGCTTGCCAGGCGTCTTGTCAAGAGCGCTTCGCACGTTGCCTGCTGTAGCGCCGCCTCCAAGGGCCTTGGCCAGCGTCTTGAAAGCTTCCCCCTTGGGCAGATTGCTCACGCCATCAAGGAAACTCTTGATATCCTTGGCACTCGAGTACGCCTTATAAACCTTCAGAAGCTCAGCCTGTTGTTCGTCACTGAGGTCCGGCAAGCCCGCGGCGCTCAGTTGCCGTTTTCCAAGTACGTCTCCGTTGTTGCTACCAGCCATGGGCGGCAGTCGTGCCGCTGACACCAAGGTGCCAACCATGGATGCACTGGTAAGCGTGATGGATAAAAGCTGTGATAGACGCATCTTGTTGCTTTACTTTGCTTTGCTTTGCCAAGTCGTAATGTTTGGTGGTTATAATCGGAAATGACTGTCAGTTGTTGTTGGAATAAGAGATACAAGGTAATAGAACCCAGGAACATGGCCATCTATTTATAAGACTCGCAAACTATATTGTCAAGATCGTTGATCCATGTTGCCAGTGCAAGAGTAATTTCCATCACAGCCAATTCCGCATCAATACACTAGTCGGACGACCAAATGTGATGTCACAATAATTATATCACAATGGCATTCTTGCTTTATGCTGCTACATCGGAGATGGCATTATTTTCAATCAGCCAACTAAAAGCCAGGTAGTGACCACCCGATGGTCATCGCCAATCGAACGTTAGATATAATCAAGGGTGATGGTTGAATTCGAGCATACTAGCCATCTGAAGGACGCGCTTTCGGCGCAGAAGGACGTCCAATGAGTCCCTGCTTGCGCAATGTTTCGAGAGTAAAATACCCCACACTATCGAAAATTGAATTATGACATTTCTGGCGACAACTGCCGACTGTCGGGGGCTCATCTTGACGGAGGTCGCTCGCATGGTGAGTGACACCACTTATTGTGAAACGGGCACGATTCGTTGTCGTTGACTGGCTAAATTGAAACCTGCAATCATGCCCTTTCCGAAATTATTTTCGGTTTCCACGAGTAAGTATAGTTCCCAAGGAGCTGGTACGCGTGCGTATTTAATTTCCAGAGTCATGACTTGCTAGCTCACCACGTGTGCCATGACCTCAGGTTGACGGTTGATGTTGCAGTCATATTCCAAGCCAATCTCCAGGAAAAAGGCAGCCCATCCGGGTATCAGACACTGCATCATGAGAGGAAGTGCCAGAAGCACGTGGTTGGTCTAATTGGTAAATTGCCAACAGTAATCATAATGCGATGCTCCATAATACACACGCCCGCAGGGATGTGGTGAAAACATCAACCCTCTCGGCTATTGATTGGACTGTCTTCATGCTACCACTGGACCTACGTAGTCAGCCAAGTCACCGAAGTAACATTGAACAGGCTAGTTTCCCCTTGATGCCGCCAAGAATTCCTTCCAGTGGCCACCGTCGACATCTAATGAGCTAACCCTGACCCTACAAAGCTATGAATAATCCAGAACGTAATCCAAAACGTACTTGGGCACACTGGCCGCCTCACTCGCGTCAGGTGTGCCACGAGTGGAACGTAGCACTAGCTTTTTTAACTTGGTAGCATATTAAAACTTCTATTACAGTATGTCTACGTAGTTTCAGACCCGCTTCAATGTTAATAGTTTGGTTGATCAATAAACTTGCTACAAACTACAACTTGGCATCTTAGGCTTATGATCCTAGCAATATATATTACAGTATAGAACGGAAACGTTCTTCCGGCACTCGAGAACTACAATTACTATTGCTCTTCAGGCCTACTCTGTTAAATGTAAATTATGGTAAACTTTCTCCTTGTTCCTAAACCCGTTTTCTTTTCTCTATCGAATGACTCTGAGCCTTTGGTCACTGATGCCATATCGCTTAGGCCAACTGCGAACAAGACTGGTGGTTACAGCCGGCCTTGGATAACGTTTTGGACCTGGATGAAGTTGCCTCTTCTCAATATTTCCTGCGATGTATTGGAGCAGGCAGCGCATCCACGCTTTTAACTAAGGACCATCCCCTACAAGAGGTCCCTCTTGACTATAGTTGCAATGAGAATGGCAACCATGCGCCCCGAGCATCCTTTGCCGGCAGTACGTTTTCACATGTAGGGACTTCCAAGTTAGAATTATTACTAAGTTTATTTCTTCTAAGTAAAAGAAAGCACTCATAATATTCGCGTGAAATATCGCTTTTTCGCCACCATCATGGACGATGGAAGGCTCCTGACTTCACATAGTCATGGCCAAGATATAAGTAATGATATTTTGTCGCGGTTTTTTGACGCTGTTGAGTTTTGTCGGGTTGTAAATGAGTTGGGTCATGGTGCGCTGCTTCTTCCCGACTGTCTATTACATCTTATTGCTAATACTGTTCACAGGAACAGACCCGTTACCAGGCGCCATCAACCGGGCCAGTGTCTATACGCCTGATTGTACGGATTCGGCTCGAGGGCTTGAAAGTGAACGCACTCCCTTGTCAAGTCAATCACCTGCTACACCATCAACGGTTGCGCCGCTCACCGTCGCGTCTGAATCAATCTACAGCCTTCCACAGAACAGAATCACGGTGAATGATGCCCCTGCAATGTGGAAGGCATACAAATATTTGTTCGGTTGCTGCCAACAAACCATGTGCAAGATGATTGCCAAAATATGGATACAAACCCTCTCACCGAAGAAACAGGCGACCCATCCTTACCAAGGTGGCCAAGCGACAGCTCCAGCGTGGTGGCCGACAAACTGTCTAACAAAGAGTAAGAGAGTTCGTCACAGACAGCCCGATCATCTATACAAGCCAGGTGAGATGGGATTTCGTTCTCCCTTCTTGGCTTAACGGGGGGCTAATATTTACTACTCAGAACGCATTAACCTTCTTGCACATATTCTGCGACTGGTGGTTGAACCTAGCGCCAAACAACATATTGCGATCAGAAGTCTAGGCCTTGATGTAAAGAGATTAGAAGATATTACCAGTAGCAAGTTGCGGGATTTTCTAGAGAAACACGACATGAATGCGAGGAAGAGGCAGCGACTTGCGCAGCTATTCGAGCTTGCCCAGCAAGAGGCGAGGTTTAGGAATGGAGATATCGGTAGACATAAACCCATACAACCCATTTACGGCCAATAGATGTTGGAGCTAATCGAGGCTTAGGCACTGATACAGAGGTCTATATAGAGACAAATCACGTATAGCGGGCCAAGCTTCGGTGGCTGTGCCTCCTATCCCCAACTCCTGATGGCAAGTTGATTCTAGAACCCTCTATGGAAGGGTATTGAGAGGATATAGGGCACCAGTTGACCTTGACAATGTTACAGCGTGTAGGCTCCTTCTTTATTCCCCATTTTGGTAGTAAGCAGGATAGGGACTATTTAATTGATCAAATCGCTAGAGGCCTTTCACATCACGGTACGCCTAGTGGCAATCTTTCAACCGATGGTAGTGACTCACAGTCCGACAACGACTTTCAAGATCTGGCCTCTTGAAAAACCAAGAACCTCTAATACCTTCAAGTTTCTCATTAAATTACATCTTAAACCTAGTCTTCTAATGTGACAAGGGCTCGAAGAGGGAGTGGAGCAATAGCTCAATTCAACTAATAACAGTGTTTGGTATCAAAGGTCGTTGGCTTTCCTCAAGGCCTTTGAGGGACCGAAGACGTCTATTTATACAAGAAGTCGGTGAGGGACTTTGCCCTAGGTCTCATGATCGTAGCCCTTGTGTAACCAGCCATTTCCGTGTAACATCTAAGCTCGGTACCCTGGCCCTCGTCGCAGGTGTTGACCGGGCCTTGAGGAGAAGCTATCCTGGCAAGTATCTCCCAACCTCATATGCATCTATGCAGAAACATTGCCAGCCGCTGCTCAATGCCCGGAAAGACAACGTCGAAAGTGATATATTTTTGTGGTCGGGATGTACGAATAAGACTAGAAAATGTCGCACAAAGGCTTTGCCTACGGTGTATCCCCATCTCTGTCATCGCCACGGATACTATTGCTCCCGATAAACCACTTACAACCAAAAGACGCTGCAAAATTGAGTTAGCTGGCTTGTGACGTTGGAATAAGCAATGCTCTGTCAGAAATCACGTGATAATATACTACCTACCGAGGTGTATTTGCCAATCCAACAGAGTCTAGACCTAATTATGAGTAGTCGGTGATTTGCGCAGAGGTGCGGAAGCTTCGGATGCGGCTACGCCGGAAGGAATTGTAGTTTGATCCTTTTGGCCAATCCCGCCCCGACAAGGTCTTGGCAAAACATTATGAATTGGAAATGATGATTCATTTTATCTCATGTGATTCTTGGAAACAAGTCCGAGAGTCCCGTGCGGTAGGACGGTAGGCTCACGATGTGGTCATATGCTGCTTAACTAGCGCTTATGATAGCGATGCTACGGGCCAATATATAGACTACACGACCGTTCGATGCTACCATTACCTCGTTTCTAGAAACTCAAGTAAAAAACTGTCGAATTTCCTTGCCTATTGATCACTCTTTTGAGTAGGAATACTCTTGAACGAAAACTTGTGTATTGATATTTGCATTGAGCCCAGTTCGAAATATGCCGCCAAACAACGCCTTGTACGTACTTGTTAAAGCTAGCCACTTCATGGTCTTTGCATCTGCTACAATTGTGACCGGCATACTTGGCTGGTTCCTACACCGCACATCTGCGCAGAATACTCATGTCATATTTCAAGAAACTGTGGTAAGCATTGGAAGCTTCGCAGCTTGTTTTTTTTTTAAGGTTTCGCTAACAAGCCTAAACACAGGCTGCCGTGACCGTTCCGGCTTATCTAGGTCACCTTGTCTTTGCCCAGGTTGATTCTTATTACGAGCAGAGTTTGATGGTCGGTTTGGCCTTTTCCTACTTGTGGCTCACGTCCTTTATTTTTGCGGCCCAAGATTGGACAGGCGGCCGATGTGCCAGCGCCTTCCCCAGAGGCAGTAGCTGTAGTCAAAAGAAGGCTGTCGTTGCGTTTGACTTTCTTGCTTTGTAAGTCGACTGATTTATTACTGTGTACAAGACGAGTGGCTAATATGTTTGTGTAGCTTCTTCCTTGTCTTTGGCATGCTTATCAAAGGCTACTTGAAATATACGCAAAACAAGAAGAATAGAACACAAAGACGGGAATATACAGACGGGGTTATAAGTACAAGCGAGAATGCCATGAGGAGTGCGTAGGAGCAGTTTAGTATATATCATCATATAAAATAAAAGACAAAAACTCACATTGCCTTCCAGAATAAAGTAACGCTCGAGATTTCATCTAGAGCAGGCTCAAAAGGCGCCGGCGTAGGCTTTGTTACCAGTTTCGCAATGTCTATAACATGACCAACAGCTTTGAAGGTACGTGTTATACATTGCATCTTCTTTTAGCAATTCAACCCCCTTTACGTGTAGACACTTGACTGGAAAGGGGATCAAAGCACCCGGGATTCAGACAAGTAGATAAACCGCGTCCATATCTTAATTATTAACACTAAAATTTCCGCTTAATCCAAATGAAGTTTGCTTGCCTAACAGGGGAAAACAGTTATATTATGGCAGGGGTTCCCAGCTCAAGGCGCTGTGATTTGCTAGCAACAGCAAAGAGGTTGTTGCTAAAGCCTGTGTAAGCGCTACGAGGGTTTCTAATCACAGGTTCTCCTGGTACAAAAAGGAAATACTTTGGAGCCGCCAAACCCTAGATACTATATTCTAACTTGACGTGTGGTGGATAGTTTAACACTCACGTTTTTTCCAAGCATCTCATCCTGGTTAAACTGATCTTAGATATTTCCCTATAAAGATAGGCAACACAGTTGAATATTTACAAACTTCTTGCAATATTTACATGGAAAAAGCCACAAATGTGCGACACTGCAACAACACAACTGCACGCCTGTGCCGTGATTTTTCAAGTGTAGGAATCAGCCCTTGCCAACATACTATTGGCAAGAAGACCACCACTGTCCGCCGTAGACGCACTTGTAAGGGGGCTGGCATTGCGTAGGTCCCGTATAGCCTTCGCCACCGCACTGACCCCACTGAGGTACGAGAGTTCCTGTGGGAGCAGGACTGGTAGTAGATGACGTTGTTGTGGTTGTTGTGGTTGTTGCAGTGGTGGTGGTAGTAGTAGTGGTGCCGCCAGGAGGGAGAGTAGTAGTAGGGCCGTTGGATATGTCGGAGACGATTTCGCCAAGGAACGCGCTGTTAGAGTATAGTTGAGACATATCCCACATCATGGCACCACCAAAATTGCTATACTTTTGAGACCAGTTGATGGCGGCCTTGAGTTTAGAGCCGCTCGTGTAACCGCCGCCTGCGCCGGGAGCAGCTGGGACGCCAATGAGAAGCTTGATATTCTTGTTGGGGCTCGTCGTCTTGGCCCAGTTATCCCAAACGTCAAAATTGAATGCATTTTGAGTGGTTGAGCCTTCCTGGAAGTTGGACACGCCGCACCAGTTGTTATAAAACTGAATCATGATGAAGTCAAACGACACGGCATTGAGGGCCGCACCAACAGCGGCATCCGGGAAGACACATTGGGGAGCGGCGGTGAGGTAGAACTTTTTACCGCCTGCTGCATCCATGAGACTGCGAAGCTTCTGACCAAAGGCGGGTAAATTATTCGCGCTGGCTTCAAAGTCAAAGTCGAAGCCATCGACAACGGCGGACCCAAACGGCCTGTCAATCGCTTTGCCCGAGGGTACGGGGCCAAACATGTCCCAAACATTCTGAGCGGCTGCTTGGGCAGCGCTTACGCTGCTCCATCCACCTTGGCCATAGGTCGCGCCGCCAAGAGAGAGAATGATGGTTTTGCCATTGGTCGCCTGGCAAGACTTGATGTCCGCTCTTCAAAGGGTAAGCGTACTGATACACGGGGCCGGAGAGTCTGTAGGACTTACTCAATCTGGGGACAGCTGAGGAGGTTGGAATTGCTGGGAAAGGCGGTGCAATTATCACCAGCGTTGGCGAAATTGGTGATGGGGGGACTGATGCCGTTCATAAAGGCGACGGGGATGATCTGCAGATGTAAGCATGGATATGAATTTGTTCTCAATCGCAATCATCTCACGTCAATGTCGGTGTCTAGTGAAAGCAAAGTTAGCATTTGCTCCAAGTCAAGCAGCTCTGGTTTGGTATTCCTTACTGGAGCAGTAATAACCCAGGCGCTGTTGGGCAAGCGGGCCACTGCCTTGATTGTACGAATTTTGGCCTGGTTACAGGTTAGACATAGCCAGGTATAAATTGATCAGACGTCGAAACACTTGCCCCAGTAAACGGCCACATTCTTGCCCGATCCAGAGTTGAAACCAGCGAGGGTTGCCGGCAACAGGGCCAGTATGCTGGCGATAGACGGCCACGTCTGGACGGGAAACGTCATGGTCGAGATTTGCTTTCGCTTAATCCGTTTTGTACAATCCAGAACAGTTAAAAAGCAGGACAGGGTATTGAACTAGTCCAAGACCACTGGGCAACGGAGTAAACAAGAGAGAATAGGATCGGCTAGTTTGACCACTCCCCTTCTCATCGATGAAGGGTAAAGAGACGCACCTATATATCTTGACCGAAGGCTTGCGAATGACCAAGATGGTACATGTCCTTTGATGGATTAGAAGCCACTTATCCACTTTGGGAATCACGATATTCTGGGAAGGTGTATGTGACGTTGGACGCTTCCATCAGGATATGCATCTGGTCGCATACCCCAGGTGATGGTGCCACGTGAGGAGTGCTGTTGGTCAGGGCAAGCAATGTTACTTGCTGCCTCCCAGTGCACATGGTGGTGAGCGCGGCTCCGGCATAACCATGCGATTGACGCCTGCGTAGGATTGTGCATTTGGGGGTACCATGTTTTAGAAGGAATGTGCAATGTGTGGCCGTTCACGCGACAGACTACGTTGTGCCGGGACGGCAAATTGATCCTTGTTGGCAACAATGGTCAACTCTGGCAGCTCGTGGTCAATTGGATTGGTTTGCTGCTTTACCTAAATTTGTCGACACATGAAGATATCCATGTGTTGAGCAACAGAGCCCAGAAAGAGGCAGCACAAGGCTGTAGGAAGAACCGAGGCCGAAGAAGAGCTTCATGTTGATTGACTCCACACGTTTGGTCACTTGGTATTCATCCAGCTGAGAATGACCAGCCACGCGACGGCGCGAGCATGACTCTGCAGTACGTACTTACACTGCTACTCCCCGGTCGGGTTTTGGCGCAGGCATTCCACAATGTAAAAATAACCCGAGACTTGACGGAGTTTGTAACATAACATGCACATTGGCGGGAGTGGGAAAAGAATAAAACCTGCGGCGCCGTGTCTAGGGATGGTTGAGACATCCGCACCAGTTTGGATCAATATACTCCGTACTCTTACTGCGCCCGCCTCGCTGTAAATAAACAACACGCAGCTTTGCTCGCCCCATGTCGCGTGCGCGCCTGGCATAATGGACCGAGGGAGGAGACGCAAAGAAGGGTGCCTCGTCTTCCATGTGCCTTGTCCTGCATCGTGGCTTGCACCAGCGCGCAAGCAACACATGACTGACCTGCGCAGAATTTGCTTGCATTGCACAACAAGGTCGCACCGGTTCCCATATCCTACGCCTCAACATGATTTGTGCAACTTGGGCAAATACCCCCTATCAGGCATCCTGTTGACCCGTCCATCCTGTCTCTTCCTTCTCCCCGGGAGTTGTCCAATAGGCGATTGTGAGGCTTGACGGATTTCAACACCCATGACGGCAGACAATGGCTGTCAAGTGTGCCCACGGCCGAATGCTACTGTAACTGCTGCCCACGAGCTCCATTGCGTCCCAGTGCCTCAAGAAGTTTCTTACCCCAAACTCAACCCCAAACTCCCCCACACTGCCGGGCGCAGCCATGGTCCGTTCCATTGGGATTTGACTCGACATCCCCTGTCCTCTCACGGCAATGGCGGGGAGTCCGGGGACAAGTGTAGCACATGGCTTGTACCGAGTACGCCTTCAAAGGACCAGACCAGACTCGTTCCTGACATGGAATAACTCCGCAAGCCCTTTCGGATGGTCCCACCACTCTTTTCCAGCGCCACCTGCTTACTTGGGAAGGTTGATAGAACGAGTTTCTCCTAATTCGGCTTTGCATCTTTCTCCTATTGCCCTGTTGGTAACGTTACTTCTTGTTCTTGAAACTTGACACGGTTAAACGCTTCATCTCTTCCCGTAGCAAGGACAAGTTCCCACATGCCGTAATAATACCAGCAATCTGGCGTGTCCCCGGGACCAACGTAGTTGGCGTTTTTATTGCCCAGTCTAGTTTGCAAATTGGCATATATAGTCCTATAGGGTAAAGTTGAAGGCAAGGCAAGGGAAGAATTTGTGTCATCGTGGGCAAAGTGTGAGGGTAAGACTGGGCGCATGGTTCCTGGTGTTATTCAACCGTGTAAAATGTTCATTTTCAGGTCAAAGATAAATACCTCACGCATTGCAAACTATTGCATATCATGTCATCTTTATCGAGACGTAATTGTAATGAAATTTCCAAGTCATTATGCCTCTGCTTCACTTGGACTGAATCTCAAAGACTTGAGCTGTGTAGAGAGTCGCAATTATGCCTCGGGGGAAGAAATATGTGCTGTCAAGGCTACAACTTGAGAGAAAGGTTAAGACGATTTGGATATCTTGGTTTACATACTTTTGAGGGTGGGTGAGGGAGATGAAGTTCCTGGCACGGTTCCTCGGGAGACTAGGCGCAGATCTATCAGATATAAATACTGAAAAGTAAGCTTTTCCTGTTATTCCTTCTCCATTCCAGGTTCGTACAAAACTCCATTGCCCTGAGTGTAGACGTGACCAAACAAGCAAGTGCAGATTATCTGGATCTGCAAGTTGTACTGAATAGAGTTTCAAGGACGAAAAGAAAAGAAGCAAGATGGCTCTTTACAGCCAACTTGATTCCGTATTTTCCCCCACAAGCACGCGCGAGGCAGCACAGGTAGGCCACCCTACGTCCGGATCTTCTTGAAATCCCTCGTAATATCCGCAATAGCCGTCTCGACCGGCAATCTCTCCATGGAGCTTGCGCCGTAGAAGCCATGAATCCCTGTGGTACGGCTCAAAACATACTGCGCGTCGTCTGGACTAGCAATTGGTCCCCCATGGCACAAGACTATAACGTCGGGGTTAATAGCAACGGCCGCATCACGAATCTCTTGAATCAGAGTTACACATTCATCCATGGTCTTGCCCGAGGTGGCGCCGATTGAGCCACTCGTTGTCAAGCCCATATGGGCGACCAATACATCGGCTCCCGCGCGCGTCATCTTTTCACTTTCTCGCGGGTTAAAGACGTAGGGAGTCGTGAGTAGGCCCATTTTGTGAGCCATGGCAATCATGTCGACTTCCAGGTCGTACGACATGCCCGTCTCCTCCAGATTGGCGCGAAACTGGCCGTCGATGAGTCCCACGGTGGGAAAATTCTGGACACCTGAAAAGCCCATGTCGTGCAACTGTTTTAAAAAGAAGGCCATGTTTCTCAGCGGGTCTGTACCACAAACACCGGCGATGACGGGGGTAGATTTGACGATTGGCAGCACTTCATTGGCCTAGTGGTTGTTCTGTTAGAAACGGACAGTTTCCGGGGAGCCTCAAGATTCGCTGGGCGTCTTACCATGTCGAGGACGACGTCGTTTGCATTTCCGTACGGCATGAGGCCGGCCAAGGATCCCCGGCCGGCCATTCTGAAACGGCCGCTATTGTATATAATGATCAAGTCGCCGCCTCCTGCTTCGATGAACTTTGCTGAGAGTCCAATGCCGGCTCCCGCGCCTACTATGGGCTTGCCTTGCTGTATTTGTGACTGAAGACGGGCCAGGATCTCCCTTCTGCTTGTGGGTGGCGGCATTTTGACGGCGTGAGATTACACCAGACGAACTGGCTTGGTGAAGTTGCGTGCGGTGTGTCGGCTATTTTAGCAGGAAGAATGGGTTGAATGAATGTATAAAATTGAAGCTCCAAATGAGTCCTCTACTCTTGAGATGCCTCCAGCTCGCCATGATGTCAATATCGACACATTGACAACTCGTGGGCAGACCGGATACGCCGGTCCCCCGCATTTTGTGGGGCAGTTGCGATTGATCTGTTTGAAGCTCTTTGCCAAATTGCCACAATGAGAGTTGATGCGACTGCGTGTGAGAGCCACCGAGTTGCCCACGAGCAAAGCCAACATTTCGGAGAATAAAACCGACGGCTTCAACCGACAGGATGGCGGTGACCGTTGCCATTGTCGGGACTTGTGACACCAAGTTGGCCGAGCTGCTGTTTCTTCGCGACGAGATTGGTAAACATCCCGAGGTCAAGACCCTCCTTATAGACGTCGGTCGCAAGCCCGTCGCCCACGATGCCGTCGACGTCTGCGTATCAGACATGCTGCTCAAGCACGCGGGAGGGGCCGAGGACACTGAGCGAACACGCGGGCAATTTATTGAAACGGTATCCGACTGCACAACCAAGTTGATACGGGACATGTTCACCAAGGGCTCCATCGATGGCGTCATCTCGGCAGGAGGATCTGGCGGCACCGCCTTGGCTTCGGCCGTGATGCGCCAAGCGCTTCCCATCGGATTCCCCAAGTTCATCGTGTCGACGATTGCCAGCGGCGATACAGGTCCCATCATCGGCGAGACCGACATCACCTTGATGTACTCTGTCGTCGATGTTGCTGGTCTGAATCAAGTACTCCGCGACATTTTGGCCAATGCCGCCGCCGCCATCGCTGGAGCCGCGTCTTCGTACTCGATGCGAAGAGAGCAGCGACCACGGGAATCGCCCGCCAAGAAGCGAGTCGCCATCACCATGTTTGGGGTCACGACGCCGGGGGTAGATGCCATAAGAAGGTTTTTGGAATCCCGCTTTCCGATTGAAACGTACGTCTTTCACGCGACGGGCCACGGGGGGAGGGCCATGGAGCGCCTCATTCGCAATGGCCAAATAGATGCCGTGATTGATCTCACAACTACCGAGATTTGCGATTTCATCATGGGAGGGCAAATGTCTGCTGGAGACGAGAGGCTTGACGCCGCCATAGAAGCGGGAATTCCCAACATCGTATCACTCGGCGCCTTGGACATGGCCAACTTTGGCCCAAAGGCATCCGTGCCGGCCAAATACCAGCATCGAAGGCAGGTAGAGCACAACCCCATCGTGACGCTTGTTCGATCATCCGAGAGCGACTGCAGGTCCATTGCAGAGTTTATTTGCGACAAGTTGAAAGCGTCAAAAAACACCGCCTTGACCCAGGTTTGGATTCCTAAAGGTGGTGTGAGCATGCTGGCTGTTCCCGGCGGCCCCTTTTACGATGAAGCCGCAGACGCTGCCCTGTTTGACACCATCAAGGCCAATTTAGCGCAGACGGGAATCAAGGTGGTGGAGGAGCCGGGACATGTTAATGATTTGCAATTCGCGACACATGTGGCCGAGGCTCTCGTAGAGATGATGCAATTAGCTCATTAAAATCGGCGCCATGCTTCGATTGTCCAAGATTCATGACGATACGTTAATGCTTAGGGAACCCAAAATGTAGAAAAATACTTTTTCTTTATTGAAATATAGGGTTCGTGGCTACCTACTCTTGTGGCCGGAGCATCTTACAACCACGCGTCTGGTCGAATGTTGCTGTTGCTACCACAGATGCGCAAACATACGGAGGAATAAAATACAGCACTCATTATGCTACCTTGGGCGTACAGTTGCTGAGTTATCAACAGCAATTCGGGGCAGTGGCAGTGGGAAGTTGCATATAAAATGGTCGAGTCAAATTGGTGATTTTTATCATGGATGAAGGTCTGAGAAGGATGACCTGAAAATCTGGGAAATTGGCCCTTTTATTCCCTGACCGAGCCTCTGGGGACCCCTGTGATGACCCTCGTCCTAGCCCTAATCTGGAACCTTGGAAAAAGCAAATATCACGACCTTCAGGCCTCCCGGACCTCTCAACCCCTCAATAAAAGCCTCACAAATATTCAGATTGAGCCTGTTTGGCTCAACAATAGTATTGCCTTGTACCGATCCCGATTCAGTTTCCAATGTCTGCATTCATGGTCGACCATGAGTCCACAACATGATGAAAATCCTCTTCCCCTGTGTAACCATCGTCAGGCTCAAGGTACGGGCTGTTACACGGAAATGGCTGGTTACACAAGGGCTACGGTCACGAGACCTAGGGCAAAGTCGCTCACCGACTTTTTGTATAAATAGACGTCTTCGATACCAAAGACTGTTATTAGTTGAATTGAGCTATTGCTCCAAGCCTTCATACTGAACCCTTGTCACACGGGCCGTGCCTAGATGGCAACATGACCTCTGTAGAACAGCCAAGTCGTCAGGTTCATCAATCGTAATCAGCCATTTGCATTCTCCTTTGGCCGTTCCGTTCGTCTTTCAGCTAACCAATCACTCGTCTCCCAAAGCATTGACTAATGTAACGGCTTGAATTAATTTATCAAGCTAAAGCTAACCCGCAATCTAGTTTCGGGCCCGTGGTATCCCGCTATAGTACAACCACGGCCATATCAATGGCCCCCCCTCGGAAATATCTGTTGCTCATCTCGTCTACTATGGCATATCAAGTCCCATTTGATCTCGTTTTCTCCCGCGTGCCGTTACAACAAGCTAACCTTGAGCATGGCCGCAAAGACCCGCAAGTTGAGTTTATTGCCGGATGACCCGCATCGACTTTGGCCGCGAAAAGTCCAAATCTTCCCCATTCAGGGCTCTCACCTTGGTCAAGTCCCAGTTCTGAACGAATCCGGTAAACGTTGCGAGGCGGTCCTGCGGGAGGTTATCAGAGTCCGACAGTATGACTGCGGTTCCCGGCGCGGCTTCGACCTGCACGTCATGCGCGTAGATCCAGGACGGCAGCGAGCTCTCCGACTGCTGCTCGGCAGGCAGACAATAGCTTGCGCTGGTTGTCAGGCTCGTGATGCAGCCGACTGGGGTTGTATCCTTGACCACGCGCATCGAGTGTGGCCGCGAGAAGTCGAGGTACTTGCCGTTGGCTGCCTTGACCGACTTGAGCCTGTTGTTTTCGACTGTCCCGACAAAAGTTGCGATGCGGTTATACGAAAGATTGTCAAAGTCTGATAGCTTCACTGCGGTGCCTGGCGCGGCATCTACGTAGATCTCATGCTCGTATATCCACCGTGGCAGAGAAGACTCGGGCCTCGTGCCGGCAGACATGCAATACCGCGCTTTTGTATGCAGACTAACAATGCAGCCTTGGGGCTTCTCGGCTGACAAGATGCGCGCCTCCGGGTAGATGGACTTGACCCAGGCGGCATATTTTGACATGCGCGCGCCAGTCGCTTCGGTTGGGCGGCCACCGTTTGTTGTCGCGATAATCACTGGCTTGCCCTCGCGGATCTGCCACCAAGCAGAACCGCTGTCGCCTGGGGCCGTCCGCGCCCAGAATGGCGATGGCCCTGCGGGTTTGTAACTCGCTCCGATTCCATGTTCGAGTTCGAAAATGCTATTGATGCGGCTGCGCCCGTACAGCCGCCGCTCGCCCTGCGATGGTCCGTACGCGCCGCTGCGGTCCAAGCCGACGCCCCAGCTTCCGTAACCAACAAAGATGACATCTCTGCCTTTCTCGTCCAGCGCGTCGTTGAGGATTGGCTGCTCTAACGACTTGCCGGCCTTGTCGACCATCGGGTTGCGAGTGGGCAACTTGAGGATGGCGATGTCGGTAGAAGCACCCCCCATACCCTTTGGCTTTTTGACCCGTTGCTGTGGTACATACACGGTACCTTTGCCTGATGCAATGACTTGCCCTCCAGGCGCGGTAAAGGTCTTGCTTATGGCCGTTTCGGTGCCTTTGTACGCGACGCAGTGTGCCGCAGTAAGCACATAACTCCAACCGTCTTTCTCGCCAAGCCATGTTGCGGTGCAGCCATTTATGCGGCCAACGACAAGCCAGGGTGTTTCGTAGCTAGAGGCACGTAACTCTTCATTGTGCGTCTTGATACTAGTCGCCACGTTCTTGACATCGCCGCCATGCCGCTCAAAGGTCGCCTTGTCAATGACAAGAGGGCGAGCGAATGACCACGCCGTCATCGTGGCCATGCTAAGGCACCAAATTATGGCCTTCATTTTTGTTAGAAAGAAAGAAAGAAAGAAAGAAAAGGTTGATAAATGAGATGGAGATGTCACAAGTTGTATTGAACTGATATCTTGACCTGGGAAACCGTGGGCTTGTATATATATATATATATATGTATATAGATATATTTGCTGCAAATCTTCACAAGCTACGTATATAATAAAGTGACACATGACATTGTCGATCAAGTCTCAAGTCAAACGTAAGATAGTGACACAAAATCTCTTATTAGGATTGTATTCCCTGTCTAAACCTGTCATGAAATACTGTATAATATCGAATAAATGGCATTTGATGCTTCTCTATTACCTATAATAATCGCGTCTTATACTGCGGAAATACTTGTGGGGATTCAAGTATGTATAGGCTTTAGCCGCTGCTGGGGTAACAAGACAGAAATACATAGTACCCAAGCTTACGTACAAATGGACCTATAATACATATAGTAAGACCTTTATACTCCGGACAGGAACCTTTGCTTATCCGTGTAGCTAATCACTTGACTGCGGGGACCCTGGCCAGGCCGCCCTTTTTTCGTAGCCGAACAGATATTGGAAATCCGCCTCGCGTGACACGAGGTGTTCGCGGGTATAGCCAGTACTAGTATCAATATCAATAGCTTGGCATCGTGCCACGTTTATTTCGTAAGCCAAATTCTGCATTACGGAATTCATTCGCTTATAGATGGCCCTGCTAAAATTGCTACATCTTGGCAAAATTATGGCCAATTCTGTTGGCATAAAGTATGCTTGGTTCGTGTCAATCATGCAAACTTCGGATAAAAAGAAAAATATACCAACCATCTTTCCATTATACGCGGACTATGTTGCTACACGAACATCATGTCGCTACACGGGATGCAATATGTCGAACTAAAATGCGGGAAACATGCATTATTCTAACCCTGTGCAGATACATGTGCATAAGTGCTTGCCTTGGCCTCAATACAACATCTAATAGTCCCCTGTGCTAGCAATGCATCAGAACCTGGGGCTCTCAATAGTCACACGGCTAAGAGATCAGCTAGTAGATGCAGCTACCTCTTTTCTCTCGGGAGCTATCCATATGACAAACGTCGACAGTCTATGTGCTTCTACACAGATTCCAACTGGCCAATATTCGCTCAAGGCAGGGAATTGAGGCAGAGTTACCTTATGCCCAGCAGGAAAATTATTCTCTCATGCGCTTAGAGCTGGTTCTAACTGTCCAAGTACGTGTTCGTCACTGTGCTGTGTCAAGGCAAGAGCAAGACGTGCAGTCGATGCGAACAGAACTGCCCTATTTTTTCGTAGCTCCTCCGTATTCTGGCGCATGCAGAATTGATAGGGCATCGTTTGTGCGGGATTCTGTTGAACCCGTAGGTTTGAGGGTAATGGATATATCTTGCGTCATTCCATCCGAGTGATTGTCTGTAAAGTAATCCCGTAAAGCGTATTTCAGTAAGTTGAGCGATACGCCTCATCTCAATACTATATTCCTTCAGCTTTCGTAATCTCTCAGCACTTGTACGCCGCGATCATCTCTGTTTCACTTGTGACTTCCACATCGACTCGGGTGGGATATTGTGACTCCTTCCTTGTACCGTATCACCAGCGGTATTGTGACAAGGGCATAATAGAGGGCCTGGAGCAATTTACTCAATTCATCTAATAACAGTCTTTGGTATCAAAGGTCCTTGGTTTTCCTCAACGCCTTGAGGGACCGAAGCTGTCTATTTATACAAGAAGTCGGTGAGGACCTTCTGCCCTAATCCCGTGACCGTAGCCCTTGTGTAACCGTGTGACATTGGCCCATTTCCGTGTGACAGGTATTGTGATTCTGGGTGCCCCTAACAAAGTGAAGAGGTGGGAGCAGCTTGTGATGATACTTCGGCGAGCAGGTTCCAATTCTGGCTTAACCACCATAATAGCATTAGACTTTATGTCTAACTAAGGTGTGCCACTTTTCAGGCAAGGGCCGAATCCTTATGAAAGAGAAGTCCCGTCGCTCATGGAAAATATGGCCTAGGCCCCGTGTCAAGGTCCATATGTCGTCGATTTCTTACGCGCCATTGAGCCCAGCCCTCGTTTTGGCGACAAACATTTGCAAAGCTCGGGAATCAGGAACCCCAAGATAAGTAAAAGCATGTAATGTCTAGAGTTCGAGACGACTTTGCACTGACTGACGATGGGTGAGTTGCCAGGGACAGTATACAGACGGTGCTAAGCACCATGGCTGCAGATCCATACAATTACCTAGAAATGGAGGCTGTGAGAAACGGCTTGCCATTGATTGAGCTACAATCCGATTGCTTAGCCGACGCGCTAGTAACAGCACTTGAGTGTACAGGAATCATCTCACCGCACTCAACATGGAACAGCTCCTACTGCAATTAGGTCAATGGCATCCAGACAGGCAGCTATACATTTTCTGTGAAGACTCTCGAGGCTATGTATACTACTCAATGTGCAGAGATACATCAAGCCCGCGGCAGTCTAGCTCCTTGAGTATAAGCTCCTCCATGACGGAGCTTCTCACAGACGCCCACCAGCACCTTTTAGGCGCCAGCAATCTTCGTGCAGCGTGATAAAAGTGGAAAAGAAAGACGAGGGCTCGCGAATCTCCTGTCGTTATCAACCTGGCAAAGGGCCCGCAGCACAGAATCGGAAACCCATAGAACAATTGCTCAATATTCGCTTCGAGAGCCTTGGTGCTAGCATGTGCTGCCGAATCTGCCGTCGAGTTGAGAGACGCGCAGCACAAGAGAGGCGACATGCAGCGGATAACTCTTTCAAATGCGGAGCGATCCGATTGTGATGATGGTGCGACTGAGGTAACCGGATGGCTGGCAGAGATATATTTGGTAGTAATTCTTGTGACTGTATCTCTGAGAGATCTTAATTTCTGCTTTTCACCATGTCCCTGTGCTGTTGACGCTGATGCTGGCGGCAAGGAATTTCGACATGTAAGTTCAGATTGTATGCCAAGAAGAAGACGCCAAGCATAGAATGTAGCGCCAGAGTGAACGGTTTCTGTGCTTTTGCAACTCAAGGTCTGGTAGTGAGGATCATCCCAGATTGTCATGAATGGCTTTACGAAGCGAGCTGGGTCCTCGCCGATTTTTACGAGAGCGTCTTCAATATCGAGCCTTGGGTTTTCATATACAATCTGGGTAAAGACGCTTCCCTCGTCAATAAAGATGGGCATGGCTTGAAACCAAACCTGGAGAATACCGGAGCTGAGGAGGAATAACTGGTCCTGGACGAGATTCAAACTATCCGAACCGGAAGTGGTTCCGCCGTCCAAGAATCCCAGGTCAACCCACGACATGTAGTTTATGAGAAGGGCCGTTCCCATGAGCGCCTCGCAGTGGTCTTTGGTGAAGGGGCGAGATAGATTTTGGCGAAAGAGCCGTATCGCCTTGGCCATTAGTTGCATTGCTGCGTGAGAGTATTTGCTGCTCTGCGGACAAAGGGTTGCGAGGTGCATACCAGCAACACTTAGGATGGCAGACATGATGAAATCTTCCTGTGGCATATTAATATAGGGTCTATTTCCGTGGGCAAGTGAGGGCTCAGGCATACATGAAATGCTCGCTGCGTGACGACGGGCCAGACTTGAGGAAACGTAAGCGTCGAACGGGTTTCCTTATCCCAGTGATTGAATAGCTCGAGATGCAATAGACTAATCTGGGGATTTGGGTCTATCTCAAAGCGAGCGCTGGTCGCGGAGAGGCCTGGGGAGACGTCATATTGGTGCAATGGCTGCACGCATTGGATGTTCCGCTTGACGCAGCTGGAGCATGGGAGACGTTCGTCACACTAGGTTCAATGTTGTTAGATTGAAACAGGCAGCCGTTAGACTGTAGTAACGCACCTTGACTCTGCGACGCTTGCATGCCAGGCACCCACGCCGGCTTTTGCAATGGGCGCGCTTCTTGCGTGGCTGGTCTGGAACCCCAATGGTCTGCAGTGTGGGAACTTGGCCCGCTTCCCAAGACACCAGTACGGTGTTGGCAAAAACGGTGGGCGCTGAGGTGTCGGGCATTGCATATACCTTGGGACTGGCGGACATGTGTGAGGATGCGGGTTTGCAGCCAAGTTGGAGGATGAGAACATTGAAGGGAATTGAAGTCATCAAGTGGAGACAAGTTGTACCACCATGGCTAGGCTGACACTCATCAGCCCTCGTTTCCCAATCGGGAAAACGAACCAGTCTAGTAAACCAGGAGGGACTGATACAACAGAGCGTCGGCATCTGAGGGCAAATGTCCATCGTCTTCTGTATATAAAGAAGCCTGTCCACCCCATCTCTGAGGTTCCTCATCTTTACACTCACTTTCAAAGCCTTATTCAAAACACATTTCAATACCTGCAATGACTTCAATTCCGCCCGGGGGTCTCCTTCTCGTCACCGGCGCCAATGGCTATATTGCTAGCGTTGCTATCCAAGTTTTCTTGCAGCGCGGGTACCAGGTCCGTGGCACTGTTCGCTCCGCCGCATCAAACATCTGGATGAAAACGTACTTTGGTCCCAAATTCGAACTTGTCGAGGTTCCGGACATTCATTCTCCAGGTGCCTTCGATGAGGCTCTGAAAGGGGTGGATGGCGTTGCTCACATGGCCATGAATATGGATATGAATCCAGAAAACCAAAGCATCATCGACCAAACTATCCAGTCCAACCTATTGTTGCTCGAGACAGCAGCAAAGGAACCTACGGTGAAGAGTGTTGTGATTACGTCGTCTCTTGCCGCATGCGCTGTTCCCAAAACTGGCGTGCCGTACAGAATCGACTCATCTACCTGGAATACTGAAGCCATGGAACAAACAGCCAAACCTTGGGATGGCAAGGGCAACCCCCGTTGGCACGGGATCATGCTCTACGGCGCCTCCAAGGCGCGCGGCGAGCAGGAAGCCTTTGCATGGGTGCACAAACACAAGCCACCCTTCTCCTTCAATACGGTTGTGCCCAATGTAAACTTTGGCATAGCGATTTCGCCGGAAAACATGGGTTATCGCAGCACCTCGGCCGTGATCGATGCCGTCGTCAAGGGCTATCCTGCCGCGCCGTCAATTTTGCCACCGCAGTGGTACGTCGATGTCGAGGATACAGCACTGTTGCACCTAGGTGCGTTGACACTCGATGATGTGAATGACGAGCGTCTATTTGCATTTGCAGGGACATACTCATGGGTGCAGATTCTCGAAATCTTGCACAGGCGGTTCCCCGGACAGATTATGCTGAAGTCGGTCAATGAGGAGGCCGTGGATGCTGGCGACGTGGATAATAAGCTCAGTGTTTGGGTTCTACAGAGGATGGGCCAGAAGCATGGGTTTACTTCCTTGGAGAATACGCTGATTAAGGCTGTGAATACCATCGTCGAGCACAAGTCTAAGAGTGTGCCCAAGACAAGGATAGATCTGTATTACGACTCTCTATCTAGTGAATAACTGAGACTCGGTAAAGGGAAGTTATTCCGCTAATAGATGACAATATACATGAAAATATAACACTTGGTTCAAAATTCGGAAAAGAAGGTGTAAAAGGATCCCTACTTTAAATTTAGTAACATTGAAGCTTTACTATATTGCTCTCTGGCCTATAAAGATGTACTTACAGCCTTGGCAAACCACGTTATTCGGTATAGGGCTCTTAAAAGTCCTTCTAGCGTTCCCTCATGTGCTCGGGAGTAATTCTATTCCCGTCCGTACCTGGCAAGCTCAAACAGACAGAAATGGCAGGCGAATTGAGAGGGCTGGGTTCTTGTCGTTTCTCATACCGTTGATCCTCGTTTTTTTTCACCGCTTTACTTCGCTGTAGGCAAACGTTGTTGGCAATTGAACGGTCATGGCTTGACTGGCTGCCCTCTCCGTACGCGGGAGAGGCTGGTGGGCTTATTGACATGTCGAGGCTTGGCTGTTCGGCCAGGAAATCCCCCATGCCAGCTCCGTTGAATGGTTGGCAACCGCTTCTTGGCACTACTGGCCGCATATTCCATGCAGGTTGTAGTGGCCGAGTTTCCTCGTCGTCGGCATTGCTTTTGCTGGAACAGTTGCCCATTATGTGGATACTGTCAATAGGTTGGAAGTAAGAATAGGCAAGATATCAAATAGGTGAGAAAGTGTGATGAATTGTCTTGTTCAACTTTTTACACCTTGGGGCACTGGCGTGTCTTTTATGTCCCACTGCAGTGCATCAAGCGGCCCTCCTCTTCGCGAGGCACAAAGGTGTCATGGGACCTGAAAAACCAGAGAACAAATTGCGCAAAGGGAAACAAAAGATAGAGCACTTGTAACAATTCCTCGGCGTGCTTAGAGGTATTTTGTCAAAGAAATCATGACTTTCTAAGGAGCTGTCAACGGACGGCAAGGGAATTGCTTCGGAATGAGTGCATAATCTTTGTGCGGCAGGAGCCTTAAAACGCTGCTCTTTAAGCTGCAGCACACCTTGCATTATTGTGTGACCAGGATTGTACTCATTCACGCCCCTTGTAGTCCTTTGTCGTCAAAAACAAAGCCCTAGCCCATGATGCAGAAAACGATTGTATCAAAGATGTTTGAGCAGTGGTGTGGTGGTTCAATCACGAGACTACAAAGGGAGAAGTTGGTTTGATCAAATGTTTGTGGATGCAGACTCATGAAACACAACGAATATCACGGCAAAGGGCGCAGCTTACTAACATCCTTTCCTTACCCGTGTTTTTCTGCACAATGGTTTGTGTTGTGATAATTATTGGCCCGTGACGTGGCGTTGTTCGGTCGGACCAATTAGCCCCGGCCTGTAACCACCCTGATTGGTTAGATTAATGTTGTTCTACCCCGGGGCCGCGAGCCGTGCACGCGAGCGGCCCGTAATAGGGGTCAGCCAGTGTAACAACTCCACATGCAACTATAAAGGCCACAATGCCCGGTTGTACGTAGCTAATAGCTTTCTTTTCCTTAGAGCCTTTTGAATATAATACATTAAACCTGTTACTTGTACCAAATTTCCCTCATGAGACCTACAGTTTGAGAAGAGAAAGGGGAGCACAATAGACCAATTTGATAAGCTAGATGTACGGGCTGGCATCTAGCTACGATCCCAAAACCGCATCCCAACCCAACCCCAGCTACAGCGTCAGGCCCAAGCCCCGACGAGGATGCTCATAACGAATTCGACTAGCAAATATACTAAAACGAACCCATTGAAAACACATTCCTTGGTCCGAACTTTCTCTCTTCCTCACATTCGAGTTGAGCGCCACGGCGTGCTCGTTGATAATAGTTCGGTCAATGCCCAATGGAGGTGTAGCGCCCCAAAGTGCTCCTTAGTTTGGTGAGTTGGAAGGGGGGATTCTCTTCAATGTCAATGGCACTTGGTTGCTGTCCTCATCATCCGTCACGTTCCACTGCAGCAAATACACATCGTCTATAGCAGTTGGAACCGCAGCCCAAAGAGACTCCCATGTTCCATCTCCAGTCGTCAATAATATAACGTTTCCATAAAAACTAAAGCCCGAGGTAATTGCATTAGAGGTATCGTTTGCCGCTGTTACAAAACCCACTTGATTCGATGCCGAATCGGGTCCGGGAATGGCAAATTCGCGGCTCGACCACGTTGGAGGATCGGTGGAATTGACAGGACGAGTAGTATTAGGAGTCGCCACCCAAGATCCGCCATCACCCCCTGTATTAGCAGGGGTAACTAAAATAATGTAAGCTTCGGGCGTTTGTGTGAAACTGATAACGAGACACTGTACTTATAACCGGAGCAGCCTGTGACTGATTCGTGCTTTGGTAGTCTCCAACAAAGGCATTGCCTGTATTTCAAGTCAGTTGAAGCATGTAACCCGAGGATTGATTGCTATTTACCACCAGAGGAGAAAATTGAAAGCCCACCAATGCCAGGACCGTAGGCATACATCTGAAATGGCTCCGTAGAGCCCTGTCTGCTCATCAATTCCCCTTTTGTACTGCATAGAAACAAAAGGGTAATCGAGGCCAATAAATACGATGAGATCATGATGGAAAAAAACTTGATAATAACTTGTCTAGCAGAACTTATTGCCTGGGATGAATGAAGTGAACGCAATGGCTCCGGACACCATTGCTCCTTCCAAGCAGATACTTATGATACTTTTATATCCGAGCGCAAAGTCTGTTCGCTCAAGTAAGCGGCAATTCGAACCCAGCAGTGACGTGTCCACCATGTCTCATACCGCTGACGCGGCTTGTCATGGCCTGCCATCTCGTATTGTCAGCCGCTCCAAGCGCCGTTAGCCTAGCTTGGCATTCTACTACCCCTTGAAAGTTTATTGTCATAGTAGCCGATCTATGCCGATTATAAATTTTCTATTGAAGATGCGAATAGCTTTCGGCCTTCGGTGAGTGGCTCATATGCACAACCGGACGCGTAATGAACAGGCGGACTATCCACCGGGATGTGGGCAACGAGGTTGCATGTACAAAATTAACGCCATAATACTAGTACTAGGTATTAAGGCTATTAACTTGATAGCACATGAAGTGTCATTATGAATAGATGCACAGACTCTGATCGTCACGTTATTACTGACTGTTACGCGGCCTGGGCTTACGTGGCCCTGGACGAGCAGCGGGATGCTTCTCGGCAGTTATTGAGGTTTATGATAACAGAAATAAGGTTTTCCAAAGTGACAAACTATTGAATTTGTCGGTCATTCGTCGGTCTTGTATATGGACTAGCCTAGCTTCTAGGATACGTTACTGTAGATGGAAGTCGCATCACCAAACCATTGATTATAGCAAAGATAAATTTGCCTCTCATCCCTCGTCTTCCTACGCACTCAACATCTATATCACAATCTTTAACAATGATTCAATATTTGGTTATTTTGCTAGCAACGGCCGCCAAAGTCGTCACGGCGGCGGCTTGTGCCGGAAACAGCGCAGGCGACCGCATGCAGTGGTGTGACTACTCCGTGGCAACCGACTATTCCACTACTGTTGTTGATACTTCGGTCACCAGGGAGTACTGGCTAGAGTTGACAGATGTTGTTGTAGCTCCTGACGGCTTCTCTCGGCCTGCTATTGCTGTCAATGGCAGCATTCCTGGACCAACCCTGTTTGCTGATTGGGGGGACACTGTGGTTGTGCATGTTAGCAACTCTCTAACAACCTCCCTCAACGGTACAAGCATTCACTTTCATGGTATACGCCAAAATTATACCAATGAAAATGACGGAGTGGTATCCATTACACAATGCCCTCTTGCCGTCAACCAATCAACCACGTACACTTGGAAGGCCACGCAGTACGGCACTTCTTGGTATCACTCACATATTGGCCTCCAGGCCTGGGAAGGAGTGTTTGGGGGCATCATCATTAATGGACCCGCCAGTTCAAACTACGATGAAGACCTCGGAATGGTCTTTCTAAACGACTGGGACCACCAAACGGTGGATGAATTGTACTCCGTGGCCCAAACGGCCGGACCGCCCACGCTCGGCAACGGGCTGATCAACGGCACCAATGTCTACGGATCTGACGACAGCTCTTCCCAAACAGGGACTCGTTTCAATGTATCGTTTACCTCGGGACGGTCTTATCGCCTGAGACTCCTCAACGCGGCAATTGATACACACTGGAAATTTTCCATTGACAATCACACAATGACGGTGATTGCGGCAGATCTCGTACCAATTCAGCCCTTTACAGCCACGGTGTTGAATATCGGAATCGGTGAGTACTCCACAAGTTTGTTTGACTGTATACACCCGAGATTCAAACAATAAAGTGGATACAAGGTAATTTACTTTATAGCCCAACGATACGATGTCATCGTGACGGCCGACCAAGCATCCATAGCCGACAACTTTTGGATGCGTGCAATTCCCCAGGCCGCCTGTTCCGACAACGAAAGTTCCGACAATATCCGAGGCATCGTATACTACGGCGACAGTCCTGCAACGCCCACGACAACGGGATACAATTATACAGATGGCTGCGACGACGAAACAGCCAATCTGGCACCCTACGTCAGCAAGTCGGTGTCGGATGCAAATTGGAATGACCTCGAGCAGGCAACAGTAGGCACCAATAGTGCCGGACTGTTCAAGTGGTATCTCAACAGCACAACGATGCTCGTCGACTGGGCGAATCCGACGCTGCAGTCGGTGCTGAACGGCACAACAAGCTACGAGACTGACGATGCCGTCATACAGCTCAGCGACGCCGACCAGTGGGTATACCTCGTCATAGAGACTGCCATAGGAGTGCCTCACCCAATCCATCTACACGGACACGACTTTTTCGTCCTCGCCCAAGGGTCGGGCACGTACTCGTCGGACACTGTTGCTCTCAACACGGACAATCCTGCGCGGCGCGATACGGCAATGCTGCCCGCGTCGGGATATCTCGTGCTGGCGTGGCAGACGGACAATCCGGGAGTTTGGCTAATGCACTGTCACATTGGGTGGCACACTTCCGAGGGATTCGCGTTGCAGTTTATCGAGAGGCAAGGCGACATTGGGGCCGTGACAAACGCAACCTACGTGGATAACGTGTGCGCAAATTGGAACGCGTATCAGAGAATCGCAAGTATAGAGCAAGAGGATTCGGGCGTCTAGCTGTAACGCCACGTTCTATTTCCTTGTCTTGTTTCTTCACAAGGGTCCAAGTTGAGACTGATTGACCCTCATGGTACATGTTACACGGATGACACGTTGCCATGAAGGCACGGGCCGAACCTTGAACCCGACGATAGTAGTTACACAAGGGCTCTGATCACGAGACCTAGGGCAAGATCCTTTACCGCCTTAATATAAATAAAGGTCTTCTGCCCTCAGGGTTTTATAGAAAGCTAAGGACCTTTGATATTAAAGCAAAGTATTAGCTGAATACGAACCTTCCCCTAAATACTAGGCCCTTGTCACAGTACACAATTCTGGGCGAAGTTGGGATTTACGTACATCTTTTCTCAATTGAACATTGGTTTCAACTAAGAATCCGGCGGCTTCCTTCCTTTTATTCCCACGAGGCGTCGCCCTTAAAAATACAAGATTATTCTGGCAAGTCTGGTCATCTTTGGGAATGCAAGGCGAACACCTACCATGGCGAATAGGAGCCTTGTATCTGTACTACGTGCCCAATTCGGGTGCTGGCAGTATTAAGCGTCTAAGCCTGTTTCTCATCCTCCATCATGCCAACTACTTCCACCTCATGTAGTTTAAACTTTACTACAAGTATCGCTAACATCTTACCGCTCAGCTGCCAAATACTCGTTTGAGCAGTAGTTGACCGAAAACATCCTGTCCAGGGGATCCGACACACCGATTGAGTCGATTGCCAGTCCCTCCTGTCAACGAGCTATTAGTATCCCCGGATACTTCACTACCGCCGTAGTTGTCCTTTCGCTTTCGATTTCCCCTGTCAGTCACAAACATTCCTCTTGTCCACTGGCCTGCAGTCTCCACCCTCAAATCTTCACCCTCAATAATCTTCCATTTGGGGTTGTCATCATCCATGCAATACCATATCGTCAGCGGATCATGGAGTTGCAGTCCCACGGCGTCTCTGGAAACCTCTGGATGAAGAGATTCGACTTTCTCAAAGGTTGCGTTCATAAACACTGAAACCCATTCTGCCAAAGGCGACTTTGCAGCCAGCTGTGGCTGAAGAAATGCCTCAAATTCGCCACGAGTGAGCACATGCTTCTCAGTGATGTCCAGTGGGAACAATGTGATGGTCAACCGCTTTGAAAGATTGTCTGGGTAAGAGGAGAGGAACGATGGAGGGGGTGCTCCCTCTTTCTGACCCAGAGGTGTCGGTGGCACTACAGGCATCGTGGTGTGCGGTTTCGGTGATGTGAGAGCATATACTCGTGCCGCCGCCACAGAGTCTGCAAAGGTGTTGAATTCTGCAACAGGCGTCATTTGATTTCGAATTTTCAGCAAATCTCTAATAGGACCTGGCGCTTGTTTGATGAGCCTGAAAGGAGGCTCGTCTATGTTCGAAGCCTGCTGTAGATGTGAGAAAGATTGATAACCTGCGTTGCTGGCTTGGTCAATGTGGCCGCCCATGACCACGATCTCCTTGACTTTCAAGAATGTTTCCGCATCTTCCGCTGCAGCAAGGGCGAGGTTTGTCATGGGACCGATTGCCACGATCGTAATGCTGTTGGGTTCGTTGTCGCGTAATAATTTCAAAATCTCCAAATGTGCAGGTTTTTGAGATTGTGTGAATAGAGAGGCTGTTTTGCTCATCTGTCTGGCTATTTCACCCTGCTCAGGAGCAGACGACTTTTCTGCCACTTTCAAGAGGCGCTGCCACGTCTCGGCGGGCTTTCGATGTGGATGCTACCCAAATTAGTCAATACTTTGCTTCACCCTCAAGTGTGTACATACGCTCGAGTAGAATCCACGAAGCCTATCTTGACCACCTGTCACCAATATGAGCTTCACGTCAAGCTCATGCAGCACGTTGACTTACGAAAGAAATCAGCCATCAACGTATCATCCGCGAGCGGACGGTCGGGGCCCACAGCAACTACAGGCTTCGATTTCTGTAGAGTTTCGAATCCGGAACTCCGTCCAACACTCTCTCGCCACGCGATCTCCTTTTCCACATGGTGGAATAGTGAGACGACATTGCGTAAACAGTTTTCGAGGTCAATGTTGCCATATGTTACAGATATGAGTAACACTTGAAGCTCCTCTGGTAGTGCTGAGAAAGCCAGCAGCATTGCCAGGATGTCATCGACTCCCTATACGAGTCAGTCGGTTCACTGCGCTTGTCGAAGGCAATGGAATAAGTGGTGTACCGGATCGGTGTCTATGATAATCTTCCGCGGCGCCATAGTGCCAATGTGAATGGGAAGAGCTTCCTTTGTCAGTGCTGAATCCTATACATTTGACAAACTGTCGAGGATATGTTCAGAAAGGCGAGCCGAGGTGCACTGCATGTCAGCTACAAGCAAGTTTTCCATCCTGAGATGCTAGTGCACCAGGGAAACAAGGACAGAGGCCGACACGGTGCAATGTTGCAAAACTCCCATGTGTGAGGTTGGTGTGAAGGGAAGGCCGCTGACGGATCTTATCTGCATTGAACTATCTTAACTGAGCTAGCTACAACATTGCAGGCTGTGAAGCCGAGAATATGTGAGAGGGTCAGTTGATGTCTGGTCTTGCCGCACGTGCTCAACCTACCCTAGAGACCAAGTGCCGGGCCAAACTTTTTCCGTCTCAGCCACTCAGATTCTCCCGTGAGCATTCCTTACATCACGCAACGAGCACAATCACTCAGCCTGTCCGCTCTGCCACAATACATTGACCAGACACCTTGTTGGGGCACTCACAGTTGGGTACCTATCATTTGCCATGGCGACGCCGCCCGCCTCGACGGGCACCATTGTCTTCTACGATATCGCCCATCGACCCCCTGTAGCGGAGACGTGCTGTTCACCGAACCCATGGAAGACCCGATTTGCGCTCAACTTCAAGGGCGTCTCCTACTCGACTTCGTGGGTACGCATGCCCGACATCGCAAAAGTACGTCGTGACCTAGGGCAGTCTGCCGGTCGCAAATTCGCCGACGGCACTGATTTCTACACCCTCCCTGTAATCCAGGACGCTGCCAGCGGTGCCACGGTCGGTGACTCCTTCGACATTGCCGTCTACCTGCAGCGCACGTATCCCGACTCGGGCGGCGGCGATTTGCTTCCCGCCCAGACCCTCGACTACACCTTTAACCAGAGCGTCGCCTTCCCGGTGCCACTGTCGGAGCGTCCAGATGGTGGCTTTGCCGAGTACCTCCGCTTTAATACAAATGTTGATGCGGCCTTTACCACCCACACCCCGCTCATGGTGGAGGGCCTGCCTCTTGATCCCGCCACCGCTGACGAAACAAAGGCCGAATTTGTCCGCCGGGCCGGCGTAGGCTCTTGGAATGACTTCACCTTGACTGGCGAGGCCCGCGAGAAGCTCACGGAATCCTTTCGGGGCATGCTGGGCGACCTGTCCAAGCTGTTTCTCGAGAATACCGATGGGCCTTTTCTGCTGGGGCAGCGGGCCAGCTACGCGGATTTCATCGTCGGCGCATGGCTACGCATGGCACAGGCGACCTTGCCCAAGCCGGAGTGGGAGGATGTGCGACGCTGGCACGGTGGTGTGTTTGGTCGACTGCACGATGCCCTGGAAGCGTACGCCCAAGTAAAATAAGGCGCTGGCGCGGTGAAAGAGCATTCTGCACAGTGGGAATGTCGCTGGGATGGTCAATGGCGAGAACGTAACAAGGTGTTTGGTGTTTCCAAGATGTGTCGAGTGTGCCTGCAACTGAGCGACAACAACGGCCGAGTCGGACTCATCCAGGGGCTGCAACATGGCAGCATACCCCACTACACGGCGCCCCGAGACGATGAAATATATACGACGATGGACTTGGTCAGTGTTTCGGTTCGGTCATGTAGCCAATACGCAGATGAGCTGCTTTTTTCATGTCGGCAGGACGAGAGGTCTTTTGTACACCTACGCAACAAGTATTGACAGCTCATGTGTCATAAGGCCCGGGCGTGTTATCATGAGACGCCGCTTTTTGTCAACAAATGTTTACGACAAAAGCCTCTACATTTACACTAGTAATCAATTCTCGTCGGGAAGGGCTTCTTTTCTTCCAAGTGTTCACGTGGCCCAGAGCCCCTTGCACATTTCACATTTGGGACGGATGTATGTCACTTCAAATGTCGCCACACCCGTCAGCCTCAAGATTAATAGCGGTTGCGGCAAGACGCTAAAGTTCTCCACGAGTTCTTGGAGAGACAGAGGCCGACTGTGCAGGCGTCAAACCGGTACCCAAGTGGCCGCAAATTCAGAACATGAACACCAGACGTCTTGACGGATGGCGGGGTCTGGTATTACCTACATCAATTGATGCTCGTGGCAACGCAGCAGAGCCGCTGAATGGTGCATCGACATGATTCTATCGGTGTAGGGTATGCCAGCCAATACAACTGCTCTACAGAACCTTGGCCATTTGCAGGGAAGTGTATCGCACGGTTATAGGAAATATTCGACCAGTTTCGGCCTTTGATTCACACTATATTTGATCATGGTGCTTCTGGGAAGCAAATATCGCAATGTAGACATTTTCACAAGGCGAAAGAAACCCATGCAGGCCCGGAGCTATGGTTCCGCACCAACCCGCTGCCATACAGTACCGGGCTACTAGAAATGATGAACTGGATTGAGTGCGAAAGACGTATTACACGACCTTACTGCTACGTGCCAGACCGACGGTGAGTGGGAGCTGATGCGGAGCTACTCTGCAGACGTCAATGTCGGTGTCAACTCGGACAAGCTAGGATGTGCTGGCTCTGTGGACCGAAAGTGGGCAGTATCGCCAAGGGTTCCAAGACGGGCGATGGTGTACTGCGAATTATATTTGTTTCACACTACCGTCCGAGTACAAAGGACATGTGCTGTTGTTCCAAGACGGCCACGTTGATACAAGCCCAGCCTTGACATTTTTTCAAGATGCCCGGAGTTCCGCTGAGTAATGCTGGCTTGATAATGCCTGGTCTTGTGAAAGAAAAATGCGGAGGGCAATTTGATTCATGCGGCGGATAAAGTGCCATGCCATGTAAATGGGTCAGCACGTGGTCGAAAAAGTATGTATACGACGGTTCGCTCGGCTCGACAGCAAAGTTGTCCCTTGTTTACTTGGCCACCCGAGGAGATGACATGTTTGCACAATAGACGATGTACATGCGCGAGAGGTTCTCAACTTGACAGAGCCGGGCGTACGTCGGCCGATATAGCCACTTTATATGGACCGGGCGGACCGGGCGGAGGCCTTTGGCCACCTCTCTTGCGGAAACAGCACTTGACTTGAAAAGTGGTATCCATGCTATTATGGCGAGACGCCTCGATGCCACGATGATGTTCGATTTTCCAGCGTGCCATCTGCCTAGGTAGGTGGCCTGGGTGGCATCGACGCCAACATTGAAATCACTCGACGGCTGGCGAAGCGCGGAGCATGCCATTTCGTGCCGTCCGATGCAGATGCAGCCCGGGCCAAAAAGAAGGGCAAAGGCAGACGCGGAAATGAGCACAATGTGCTAGCTCGTGCTGCATGGCATTGTGTAAATAGCGGCTGCATTGGCATTGGGGTTCTGGATACCGCTGCATGAATGACGGTTTGTTGACCAGGCGGCATCCCAGGCTGTCAAGATGTCGACTTTGGCTCGGGTCACGGGGTCGAGCTGCCAGGCGTGTGCCTTTCATGTTGTGCCTCGTCGGCAGAGTAGATTGGGAGGACTTGGCGAGCCAACGGAAATGACACAAGGAGGCCGACACGTCAACCGTGATTGGATGCTTCCATGTTGGTGACCCCTGCCCATCTCCACCCGCGTGCTGCCTGGCTCGTCCCGTTGGTGCCGGCAAGCCACGTCGAATAAATCGACGCGATGACGTTGGTCTTGGCCAATGGATGCCGTTGGCGCCTCCTGAAATGGCCTGCCCGTCCTTGGACAGCCGCGGGTACACTGCATCTCGGACCAACAGCGTCGACGCAGGGCCAAAAGGAGGACTATTCTCCCGGACAGTATCCCAAGTCAACCAGACCGCACAGCAAATTATGCCGCAAGTGTGGATTATGACATGACTCCGTCTGGCCGTGTCCATCGTCGCAGTCGCCACCCGAGTCGTCTAGCGCTCCGGACAAGTCCAATTTTTTTTTTCGTCTCGCCCGTCGGCATGTCCCATTCCTGTGGTGCGTGAAACGGAGAAAAACGAATCGCGCCGCCGTGACAGGGTTCAGCGTTGCCAAGTGGGCCGATGCCGACCATGTTGTAGAATAAATAGCTAAACAGGGTGGATTGGAACTGTTTGCATCGGCCCGATATCGTCACAACACCTCGAGCAGCAGCACGGAGCACATGGGTTCAATGCCGTCGACTTGTTTCCACGCAAACCTTATCTGCCCTCGAGGCAGGCGGCACATGCATCTATCTAGTCCGTAGTGTGCTCTCCTCTTCACTTTTTTGCCTTTGCAACTTGTCCTCGACGCCTTGACACATGAGGTCACTTTTACCTTTAGGGTCCGCCTTCCATCACCGTCAAGACTGGGCTGCACTCTACACTTTACTTGCACGCTGCCATCATGGTGTCTGCTAAAAGAGATTCGGTACACGGGGAGGCGACCAATGGGGAGCAGCAAATCACAGAACCAAAAGGTCGCAACGATGCCTTGCTGGCCGAGCAAAAGATTACCTTTTTAGCCTGCTTCCAGGGCGGCGTTGCCAGCTTGGGAGGCTTCATTTTTGGATACATCAGGTCAGTTTTCCTTTCTATCTCGTCGTCTCTCACGAACCGCCTCCGCCCTGTCCATGTTTTGCGCCGTCACTAACAGGCCGCAGCGGTCAGATATCCGGCTTCTTCCTCATGCAGGACTTCAAGGAGCGATTCGGCGAACGGCAACTCGATGGATCCTACAACTTCAGCGCCGCCAGGCAAGGCACCATTGTAGGACTCGTCAGCATCGGCGCCCTCATCGGCTCGCTGATTGCGGGCAAAATGGCCGACCTCATCGGCCGCAGGCTGACCATTTCGGCCGCCGCCTTCTTCACCTGCGTCGGCACCATCATCGAGATATCGTCCTCGTACCACTGGGCCCAGTTCGCCGTCGGGAGACTGGTCAGCGGCGTGAGCATCGGCGCCCTGTCCGTCGTCGTGCCCATGTACCAGTCCGAGTGTGCTCCTGCCGTCATCCGCGGCGTCATCGTCGCCTCGTACCAGCTCCTCATCACCCTGGGCATCTGGACGGCCGAGATGGTCAACTGGGGCACCGAGGCCAAGACGGACAGCTCCTCGTGGCGCATCCCCAACGGCCTGTCCTTTGCCTGGGCTCTCATCCTCGGTTCCACCATCTTGTTCATGCCCGAGAGTCCGCGGTACGACTGCAGCCGCGGCCGCGTCGACCGCGCGCGCCTCGCCATCGCCAAGCTGTCCGGCCTCGCGCCCGACTCCGAGGGCGTCAACCACCAGCTCGCTGATATCCAGAACAATCTCCACGAGGAGAGCCGAAGCGCCGACCAGTTCCGCCTGAGCGAAATCTTCACCGCGCCGCGCATGCTGTATCGCACCGTTCTCGGCATCGTTCTCCAGGCCGGCCAGCAACTGACGGGTGCCAACTTCTTCTTCTACTTTGGCACCACCGTCTTTGCCGCCACGGGAATCAGCAACAGCTACGTGACGCAGATCATCCTCGGATCCGTCAATGTCTTTTGCACAATCATTGCCTTGTGGGTGACGAAGCGGTTCGGCCGTCGCAACACTCTAATGATTGGCGCCGCGTGGATGATGATGTGCTTCCTGTAAGCCAGGCACTCTTGAACTCTTGTCCAAAGGGTGAATACTAATCGTGGACCAGTGTATACGCCTTTGTCGGCCATTTCGCCCTCGACCACGACAACCCCATGAACACACCCAAGGCAGGTTCCGCCCTCGTCACATTCTCGTGCCTGGCCATTGCGGCTTTTGCCGTCAGCTGGGGCCCGTTGGTCTGGGCCGTCAATGCCGAGTTGTACCCCCTTCGTTATCGCAGCACCTGCATGGGTCTGGCCACGGCCTCCAACTGGCTATGGAACTTGTGAGTACAGAGTGTCCCCGTGCCTTTACTTCCATGACGTTGACGCTGACAAAATTTCAGCCTGATATCATTCTTGTAAGTCGAGATGGTGTACCCTTGCCCCCATGTGTTTGTAGGAGCCGGTCTTGCTGACGATTTGCAGCACACGATTCATCACCGACGAGATTGACTACCTCTACGGCCTGGTCTTTGCTGGCTGCTGCGCCGCCCTCGTCGTGATTGTCTTCTTCTTCGTGATTGAGTCGAAAGACCGCAGTCTGGAAGAGATTGACACCATGTATGTCCAGAAAGTCAATCCCATCACGTCTGGCCACACGTCTGGCCACTGGAACACGAATGACTACCGCCAGGACATCAGGAGGCGCAGCGAGGCTCAAACCGAGACGGACTAAGTTCCGACTCTTGACATGATTTGCCTCTCTTGCATGCCCGGCCTGCAGGGGCTTTGGCTAGCGCCCCAAGTCGATGTCCGAAGTCGTGACAGCCACGTTGTCCCTGCTGCCGTGCAGAGCGTGACAGGTAGAATCGTGTACTCTTGTATATGCCCGAGTTGGGTAGCACCGTTGCTACTCAAACAGCTTTACACGTGCACATAGCTGTATTTTAGGGGTCAAAAATGGTCGTTATTGTGGTTGCCGTATTATAGAGTGTTTGATGCGGGTTTTGTATACAGATTTTTGCATTTTCATGGCGCTTGTAGTTTTGGCGACCAGCATTGCCTAATGCATACTTGCAATACGCAAAGTATTGGGAATAAAATATACATGCGGAAACATGGCGCATGTACTCGAAGAGCAAGGCCGATCCCCAAATTCCCGGGGGTCTGATTTTCCATCTCCATTCTTCTACTTGATGTTCGCCACCAGCTGTCACCTTGGCTTTGCAGATCGGAAAATGTCTTGGTCTTCCAGTCGGCTCCTTTAGCCCGTGAGTGCCTTGGATGAATGATGCCGTCATCCTCAAGGTGGCCGCCGCAACAGCAAAGGTTTATTTGCACATGTTAGCTATGTAAGCCTGGATGTGCTGCCAGAGATGCTTGGTTTGATAGCCCGACATTGACGTACCATGGGCAACTTGGTGCGTCCAACATACCCTTGGAGTTGTTCTCCTGGCTGTGGAAGCCGCCCTTAGGACCTCGCGACCGTCGAAAGATCTTTCCGCAGCCAGTCAATCTGAAAATAATGGTCCATGAATTGAGTTGCAATGGTTTAGGGCATGGGGAAAACCTCTTGGCGATGCTGGTGATTAGCGCAACACAGTATTCTTGCTCACCACTCATCATGCGCAGCTCATCGGCATCATCCTTTATTCAGGGGCCATCTGGCATGATAGATCCAAATGATGCCTTCAACAGCATGGTGATGCTGGTCACTTACTGTGTTTAATCCTGCTACTACATCTAATACTCTACACCTGTTCGTACCGAAGCATGTTCCGTATCGTAATCGAATTGTTTGGGTAATATTCATGAGTCTCGACTGTAATGAATCCAGTTCTACTACTCTCGCCTCTGATATTGAGCAAGCGTTTCTCATCTTCTGTGGCCAATTCTCACTCCCTGAAGGCCCTTTCAGCACACTCTGTACTTGAAAAGCATTTGGATTCCAGGGGCTCACTTACTTGGGGTAGTTGTGTGCCGCGAATAACTAGCCAAGTTATACGCATCAGCCAAGTCCGTAAATCGTAATTACAGTGGAAACACTGCATGTAAATTTGTTCTGTCGCACAGGATAATGGCGTTCTTGCCGTGTTAGACACCAGGCCATACAATAGGTGGGAAATTAGATATTCCATCTATTTCAGCTCTCTCTGTAATATTGATGTTTGGTCTCGGCTTGATATTTCTCACGACTCATGTAACAAGTTGCGGCCTGATTTCCAGCTATTCATATTGGACTCTCCTCAGTGAATACCGACTAAGCCTCCGCTTACATGGGCACACGCCGATTGTCGTTCTCTCACATTCCGGCAACATATTTGCCACGGCGTCTACCAGCTGCTCATGAGACATGAAGACTGGTGCTTTGGGGAGAAAAATACAACTACGAACAGAGGCCTTTTCCGTTGACGGTCCGGTTGACTGCTAGTTATTGTACGGGCAGTCTGAAACCAGATAATAGACCACAGTCATAAAGAGCTTTACAATACAATGACCCGTACGGATGGATGTTTATGACTAGAGCAACCGCTGACTTTTGGCGTCAACTGGGGTTCATCCCATGCTTGATGGCAATGTTGTCACGGCCCCCAATGGCAGTTTCCATCCTTCTTGTCCCACGGCACAAGCTGGCATGTGATTGGGGGAAGAATAGGACTCTGACCGGCAAAATATTACACCCGTCGATGCGACCTGAACCCTAAGCCGTGGAGCGTCTGAGACTACAATGCCGGCTGAGTGGCGGCTTACTTGTGCGTGTTTCGACCCGACCCGAATTCAGGAACTCCAGATCGTCCGAGGCGCAGAGTTCCGCGTCCACGTTGTATCTGCGCCCCATTTTGGCCGAGATGCTGCATTCAACGGCTTGTGCCTCATGGCTCAACTCTCGGCGTCGTGCTGTCTAGGTACTCAACACTGGCTCTATATACCAGATACTTGCACAAATAACAAAACTTACTCTCAACATGTTCTTGTCTCGAGCCACACGTCCCATATTACTCATGCCGCAGCTGTCCCCCGGCCAAGATGTTACACGCCGCCAGGCCTGGACCACCAGCTCAGCTTCTCATACTAATAGATGGCGGTCAGACGGGAACCGAAGCATCCGCTGATGCCATTACTGCGCAGCAATAGCAAGGTAGCATCGGATGGCCCCCAACGCAGAAGAAATGAAAAGTCTCAGTCAAAGCATGACTCGCCAGCCATGGTATTAGTATAGTCACGCCGTTGCAAGAGCTTCGATGCCAGCTCCTCCTATAAAGATGTCACAAACCCTCCTGGCCAGTCTCCCTCAGAGATTCCGCTCATATACATACACGGCCCAACAACGGCGCTCAAACGACAATGAAAACCATCACCCGACTCGTCACCTCGGCCCTTCTGCTCGGGGCCCAGACGGCCATGGCCAACAACGCCATCCCCGGCAACGCCTTCACCAACAACAACGGCCTCGCTGCCGCCGAAGCCGCCGCGCCCATGTGGTACATGCCATCGGGCACCTGCATGCCGTCCGCCGCCGAAGACGGCCAGGGCCACCAGACGAACGGCGTCGACACAGACAACTGCAACATCAACAAGCTCTCCCACAACTGCCCGCCGCAGCCGCAGTGGCAAGGCACAAACACCTTCTACGGCAACGTCGCCGGCGAGCCCTTCTCCACCATCCCCACGTACTGGTCCGCCAAGAAGTGCGCCAACACCTGGAAGATAATATACTACGTCTACTTCAAGAAAGACACAGGCCACAAGAGCGACTGGGAGGGCATAGTAGTGAGTTTCAGAGACACCGGCGGCGACAACTGGGTCCGCGACACAGTCAAGATGGAGCAGGACAGCAACCACAAGCAAATCAACTGGGGCGACGTCAACGACACGTTCGACGGGTAAGTCACCACTCACGACGGGTGGTTTATCCCGCAGCCCCCGACTGACGCTTCGTCTCCCGTCTAGCACGGACGACTGGCAAGCCTTCCGGCAAAGGAACCGCGACCACGGCAAGTTCTACTTTGGCAAGTTTCACCACTCCGTCCACCAGGACTGGCACACGACCAGCTTCAAGGATACGTGCCCCCCCAACTCGGGCGACGACTTTCGCAACGGCGACTACCAGTTCTGGGCGAGGAACAACCTTCGCCATGTCTCGGTTTTGAACCCAGCCTGGAACTGGGGCAAGGCTTCCTCGCCTGCCAATATTGATCTCTGCACCTACTGAGAGGCTCGTTGAGGAGGAGGTGCCAAGGGCTGGCAATGAGGTAAATATGGAAATACGGACAGTATAAAGCTTCAATGTTACTACTTGACTAAGACGTTGCCACAGTAGAGAGGTCTCGGTGGTTTTTGCCCCTAGACCTAAAGCTAGAAACCAACTTGATGCCTCGGCCACGTGGAAGTCGAGGGCTCGATTTTTATTACATGATGGAGTACCAGTGCCCAAACTCGGCGCTGCCAGAAGCCATTTTCAGACGCGAGCATCTTCTTTGTCGCGCCGGCGATGGAATCAAGTGATGGGGGAAATATAGGTATATTGATGCACCTAAAACTAATCCAAGCCCTTACTCTTCCGACCATGGTAGACACGAGGCTTGTGGCTACCGTGCAACAAACTCGCCAGCAAAGCAGGGTTGTGGAAATAGAGATATTCGTAAAACTAGTCATACAAGAACAGCAATAGAGGCCTCCGGGTTATGAATAGTATAATACAGTTTGCTACAACGCGACAGTCGCTAGGAATAGTCCCAGTGAACCCCAAGTAGCAGCCCAACGCCGACGCCACGTGTGCTAGTTAGACAAGAAACCGAAATCCTTCTACGCCGGTAAACACGTTCTTCTCGACTTCTGTTGCAGGGATTCCGAGATTCGACCAACTTGTATCACGCTCGCCATTCCAACCGCCTGGTGCCACAAGACGTGGCAGTGCAAAAGCCACAGGCCGTCATTGCGCAGGGGAAAGCGCATCACCACGTAGCCCATGGAGGGCACGTAGACGGTATCTTTGCGCAGCGGGTTGTGCGTGTTCAAGGGCGCGGCGTCGGCCACACTCTGCGGGTCAAAGGGGTTATACCCTCTGTACATTCCAGTCCCCTGGGCTTGTGCCACGACAAAGAACTCGTAGCCGTGCTATCCGAGGATGAATTGTCAGATAGATGATCGGCAGTGAGGTTGCGGAAAGGGTTAGGGTCAATACGTACTAGGTGGAAAGGATGCCCCCTATCATCAAAGTTGTTCACCACCACGTCAACCCATCTGTCTACGCCAGACTCCTTCAGCCAAGGGACGTCAAACTTGTGCACCCTGGTAGGCTGGGGGACAGCGGCCTCCCACTCTTGACGTTCCAGTGTCAACAGGGGTTGGGCCTTGGCATCCGGGGTGATCCAGGATGTGTGGTTGATCGAGCCCACTGGGCGGTTGTGGTTGGCAGCTCGGATCTTCATGGTGGAATACAGAACCGCCTGTTCATCTGGTTGCCGTCCAAGTCCGAGCTGCGCTTCGACGGGTTGCCCCAACACGTCGGCGAGATTGAGTACATCCACTGACCGTCTCCGTGGAAGAGCGTGTGTCGGGGCCGCCTTGTTTACACGACCGGTTGATTGCATCTGGAAGGACTGAGTCCGGGTCAGGGCAAAGTTCCACAATGGCATATTCCTACACATGTACACTGGTGGTTAATTACGAGTAGGCAGGTAATGGCTGGGGTGTTTGCCTGTTGGTGGAAACTCACTCCCTATCGAGTTCAACCGTTAGATTCGTCGAGATGGCATGCCCAGAAGAGTGGGAATACTCCCATGTTCGATCTAGAATCATGTCCATGCGTTCTCCCGGATAGAGCAGGCCAATGGCTTTGGTGCCCGGCGTTTGCTTGTCCACGGGATATCCGCCGTCTACGGTGATGAGCTCCATGACACCATTGGACACAGCCAGGCTGAATGCTGCCGAAACTCTATCCATGTTGTTAGCATTCGTACTCGGCGCAGAGCAAAGATGGCGACATACCCCGTGTTTATGACGCGAAGTCGAATGCGCTGGGCGTCGAGTAGTCCAAGAATGGGCCTCTGCACGTCTTGGCACTCAACCGGGCGTGCCTTGACGGCCATGGAACAATTGAAGCGCCCTCTTCCGTTCAAAAGAAGAGAGTCGGGAGCAGGCTGAATCGCAATGGTTGGCTTTGGGCTGCGCTTGACGGATACGTGGGTGACATACCTCCAGTCCATAATGGTCCGGGTCAACGAACCAATCCAAAACCTCGTCTGCGGTCCGGTGATACCAGTCCCCGATGAGCAAAAGTTGCTCTTTCTGGTAGCCGTACAAGACGTCATCCCCTTCCCCCCCGTCTTGAAGCGGCCGGTGGACAATGAGTCCACCATAGAGGCCATCGGCACGCTGCAGAGCCGAATGAGCGTGGTACCTGAACAGCTGGATTAGCCAGGGAGAGATGAAGTGACGGATGGATTCCCTTTACCAAAATGTTCCCTCTTGATCATGCGGGATGCGAAATTGGTATGTGAATGTTTGTAATGGTTGGATAGCGCACTGCGTCAAACCTACCACGCCATCCATTTCATTGCTGCCTATTCCTCGGGTCAAAATGTGTCCCAGCCGACTCGGTACGAAAGACGGGATACGCACCTTCCATCGACAGCCCGTGCCAATGCATGGCAATGCCCGGATGGCCAACTTGGTCCACGCCATTATGCACATCAATGACCAACTCGTCTCCAGACCGGACCTCGATGACGGGCCCCGGGAATTGACCTAGACGGCCAGGTTAGTCAGGTTTGATGGAGTGCGATGGGTCAGGAAACAAAATACCGTTGATCAAGTACACTGGCTTCGAAACCCCGTCGGGGGCGCGATTTTCCAGGGTGATGTTCCAACGCAGGTGAAGCGTCGTCGGCGCACGATGGACATGATGCTCCGGGTGCAGGACGGCGGTATTCAAGACGCCTTGTTGGCTTGCCGAACCGGCGTCCGTACTCGTGGCAGTTTTCAAAAACGGGGCGGAAAGGGGAAATGGATTCTTCGATTTCTTGGTGAGGAGAAAGTAGGTCAAGAAGAGGCAGATGGCGGCGATGATGACGCCTCCCAGTGCCACGGCGTACGTCCGCCGCGATGGGGGAGGGCCCGATCTACGACGCGGCCAATTTGCGTCAAAAGGAAAAGGCATGCTTGGCGGCGGGGGGCAAGCATCGCTCTATGGACGGTGATGATGCATTCGCCCGATATGGAGGACTCGGGAGCACGATGCCGACCAGGTACTCGGTACAATTTGCCTGCTTTGACGTCGGGCAAACAACAAGAAACACACAAGACCAGCTTCTTGGCAGCGTCGCCTAGTTTGGGTCGCACAAGCAAAATTCAAGACGGGCACTCGACAAGGCGGGGTTCGAGAGGGACATGGAGGGAGCAAAGAAAAAGAAAGGAGAAGAAAAAAAGGTAAAATAAATTGGCGATGCCAAGGCGGCATTCACATGGCAAGGCCAACGGTCGCAGTTGACCGACGTTTGAGTTTTGCGTCTTGCGTCTTGCGTCTTGACAAGCGGCGGCTTTGAGTGCGCCTTCACAATAGAAACAACGGGGCGAATGGCAACTCGGGCATATGGGCTGATGAATCATGGCAACTTGACACAATACACGACAATGGGCTAGGATCGCCAAGAGCTTCACCATGGCCGCGCCGACGGGTCTGGAAATAGTCGAGACTTGAAGCCCAATCGGCAGATCGGGTGGCCCCTCGTGCTTGGCGGGCGGCGGGGGCGGCGGGGGTGCCGGGGGTGTTTTGGGAATCAATTGATATCATGGGGACCGAAACGGATTGAGTCGACTTGACCCTTTGACGAGTTGGATCAGCAGGGCGGCCAAAGTGTGTCTTGTGTTGCGTCGCTTCATTTGCTCATTTCCACAAGATGGCAGGCTGCAACACCAACTCGACTAGGTTGGAAGGGGCAGCTCGAGGCCGCAACTGCCATTTGATGTTGAACTAGCACCAGACGGAGATGACGACCCACAACCTGGGCGGTCACTGCGTGTGAGGCAACTGCACATGGAGGTTTAGTTTTTTTCCCCTTGCATGTCCCGTGTCCGTGTGCGTCCTGCCGTCTGGTGGCTCATGTCGAGGGAGTGGCGAGGGGGTAGAGAGAATACGATGGATGGCCACGGGGAGCAAGAGAAACAGCATTTGCACAGAACTTTGATGTTTACACGCAACACCGCCAAGACTACCGGGCCAGGCCGTAAACTCTGTCAACTTGGAAGGCGGCGGCGAGGACCAAGAAGCAGTGTCAACCCCGGCTCTCTCTTTCCTCTCGGCTCTCACCAACTCCTCGCTTCTGTTCCTTCCTAAATCGTCGAATCGGAGCATTTGCACGCGGGCCAGCCGTCTCGACACCCTCGACGCCATTGCATGCGAATATTGCCGCAACACATCACACAGCCCGGTGCTCTCGACAATTCATTCCTCATGACTTGACCCACGTGCGCATCCATTCAACCAGGGTTCTCCAGCATCTCCACCCCGAGCACCGTGAGGACGAACTGGCCTGGTGGAGGGGCGGTACACCGGCAGCCAGTCTGTATTTCGTAGACGAGGAGCCGTGTTTTTGGACCATAGCACATTGCGCGGCGAGCCCGCAAGCCATCTCTGGCGTGGTTTGTATAAACTGCCAGGGTGTTCCGCAAGAGCACATCACCACCGAGGCAGGGCCCTCAAGAATCAGGAACCAAGATGCACCGCAGACTCTCCTTCGCCGCCGCCGTCTTGGCCACGGCCACGGCTGTCCGGGCCGGCTCGCTCAGAGACGTCAAGCACATTGTGCTGTTTATGCAGGAGAACCGCGCCTTTGACCATGTAAGTCGGGGCAGCTCAGTTACAAGACGGACCAGACGGCTCAATGTTCTAACGGTTCTAGTATTTCGGCACCATGGCCGGTGTTCGCGGCTTTGGCGACCCGAATGTGCAAGTCAACCGAGACGGGCGGTCTACATTCGAGCAGTATGTAGATATACAGGCACCCTCGACTCGACTCTCAATCTCCAGATGTCCCGTGCAACCAACTCTTAGCTGACTCTTCCCAGACCCATTTCCCCCCAGAACGGCGTCGACATCCTCAAGCCTTGGCACATCAACCACCTCGGCGGCGAGTGGCTCGAGGCAACGCAATGCATGGGCGCCGGCGACAACGGCTGGGCCACGATGCACGCGGCCTACAACGGCGGGCTCGGCAACAACTGGGCGCAGGCCGACGGGCCCTACAGCCTGGGCTACTTTACGCGCGCCGACATTCCCACGCACTTTGACATTGCCGAGGGCTGGACCGTGGCCGACATGGCCTCCCAGAGCATCCTGGCCGCCACGGACCCGAACCGCATCACCTGGATGAGCGGCTCCGTCAACATCCCCGGCTCGCCCACCAACCCGGACGGCACCGGCGGCATGATTATCGACAACAGCGCTTCGCCGGGTACGTCGTCTTGTCTTGTCTTTGCTCACCAGCCCGTCTACATCATTGGCTGACCCGCGTGCAGGCTGCGAGGCGCCGGGCCTCAACTGCTTCCCCTTTGTGTGGAAGACGTTCCCCGAGTATCTAGAAGCGGCCGGCATCTCCTGGCAGGTGTGGCAGGACATGGACAACTTTGAGGACAACATGCTGGCCTACTTTGAGCAGTACCAGACGGCGAAAAACGGCTCCGCGCTCCGCACCAGGGGCAACTCGTACCCGGGGCTCGACGCCTTTTACGACGCCGCGGCCAAGGGCACGCTGCCGCAGGTGAGTTGGATCGTCGGCCCGCAGGAGCAGAGCGAACACGCGCCCAACCTGCCCAAGGACGGCGCCTGGCTGCAAAAGAAGGTGGTGGACGCCATCACCCAGAGCCCGGCGTACAACGAGACGGTTCTGGTCATAAGCTATGACGGTATGTTTCACCCCGTCTTTTTTTTTTTTTTTTTTTTTTCGTTGGCTAACCAGGTCCAAATCCAACTACAGAGCAGGGCGGCTGGGCCGACCACGTCGTTCCGGTTGTTGCGCCCAAGGGCACGCCCGGCGAGTGGCTCAAGGATCCGTACAACCAGTTCGGGGACGTCCCTCTGGGACCAGGTACGTCGCGTGGCTACATTATACCAGGGACACTTGACGACATTTGTACTGACCCGCAATGTCCTGTGGCTACGTGTAGGCTGGCGAACGCCCCGGTTCATCATCTCGCCCTGGACGCGAGGCGGCAACGTCTTCACCGAGTTTACAGACCACACCTCGGACATTCAGTTTGTCGAGGCCTGGGCCGCCGCCCACGGCTACAAAGACGTGCGGACCAAGGCGCTGACGCAATGGCGCCGCGACCACATGTCGAATCTGGTGAATGCCTTTGACTTTGACCATGTGAGTCGGCCGTTGGAGTCTAGAAGCTATTTCGAAAGCTAACCACCAGACAAGCCCGACCTGTCCACCCCCCGCATCACCGCGGTAGACACGCCGGAATCCCTCCCCGACGACGGCTCCCACTGGAGCGGAAACCTTAGTCTTGGTTCCCTCACCGGGCCGTGGGTCGGCGCGGCCAAGTGCCTCCAGGACCACCGGAGCACCAAGCCCCCGATCCCGTACGGCAAGGAGAACGCCGGCCAGGACATGGCGCAGCTCGTCGAGGACGGCTTCAAGCGGGTGCGCGGCCAGCTCACCGAGGGCCGTTACCTGACGTTTGAAACGCTCGGCCTCGCGCTCGCCAGCTACGCCGGCATCGTCGTCAGCTTCGCGCCCGCGACGCGCAACCACAGCGACCCCCGCCAGCGCTGGATTGTCCACGCCGTCGGCACCGGCACCGAGTTTACCATCCAGTCCGCCGCGGACAAGAAGTACATTGCCGGCACGCCCGTCGGCCTGCTGACATCCGACGTCGGCAGCGCGCAGGCCTTTCGCATCACGTATAACCCCAGAGGGGCCAAGTACCGCCTCAGCCTGGCCAACAAGCCGGCCTCTTCGTTTGTGGCGCCGAATCAAAAGAGTAGGCGGCGCGCGGCCAACGGCACCGTGTCGGCGGCGGCGGCTGTGGACTGGGAGGCAAGGTTTGGCGAGTTTAGCATTTATAGCGTTTCCTATCGCTCGTAGGCGTCATAGCGAGAACCTCCGTGTGTATGTTTGTTTACCTTTACCTTTGAAACGCTTCCTATCGCTTGTAGGCGTTATACCAAGAAGCTATATATGTATGTTTACCATTAGCTTTGAAACGCAATACAATTATCGGCATGATTGCTGCACTGTTTATTTACACATGTACCTTTTTACCTTTTTCCTGTTTCCTGTTTCGGATGTGGTGCCATGGCCTCATTGGCAGTCTGGAGGCGCCACGGCGCTCTACTAGCGCCACATTTGTTGCTGCACATGTGACTGCATGTATTGATTGACTCTTCACACCCAGTTTGTGGACGAGTATTCTGACGCCAAATGTGCAAATGTCCAAGGGCGAGTCCGTCTAAGTTCCTCTCGAATAACCTGCCGCAGGTCAAGGACAGCGTAATGAAACCGCACACATGTCGGATGGGCCTGCGCAAGTCCATGTTTCCTTGTTCAAAAAGTAAACTATGTAGCAAGTAATCGGGTGAAATGTATTTACACTCATGAGCGGGATATATACAGGACTCTTAACATGATGCCGGCCATTGTTCAATGTTGGCCCTAAATGTACGACGCTTCCAAGAGGTAGCTCACAACCATCTTGGCGTGAAGCAGAATAGTCGGCCACATGATCTTGTCATACGTCTAGCGCCTGTTAGCCAGCGATTACATTCTACTACAGCACAGAGGCACTCACGTCATTCGCAGAATGGATATACTTGTTTGAATTCTCAAACGTGTCCTCAGCCACAAACGCCGCAGCTGCAGCACTTAGCACAACGCTTCTCCACGGATAGAAAAAAAGCAAACTCACGGAAGCCATTAGCACGCGCGCTCGCGTGGTCCGAACACCCATAGCCGCACTTGGACGTCCCCGGCTTGACGTGCAGGTAGTCCCCTATCAGGGCGGTCACGTAGCGCGTCAGCCCGGCGTCGACGTAGTCCTGGAAGACGGCCGGGACGCCGGTGGGCGAGTAGCCCGCCATGTCCTGGTTCAGGTAGCCGACGACGCTGCGCCCGGCGGCCTTGTAGCTGGCCCAGACGTCCTGGGACCCGAGGAGGCCGACCTCCTCGGCGGCGTACCAGTGGAACTCGATTGTGTTTCGGGGCCGGAGGCCCGAGGCCGCGAGCACGCGCAGCGCCTCGAGGACCACGACGGTGCCGGAGCCGTCGTCGTCGGCGCCGGGGCTCCTCCCCGTCGGGCTGCTCCCGATGGAGTCGAGGTGCGCGCCGACGACCACTGCAAAGGTGAGTCAGGACAAAGTCAAGTCAGTTGGATATGGATATGGTGCTGTAGAGTGTGCGACGACGTACCCAGGCTGGAGCTGTTTCCGGGCAGCCGCGCAATGATGGACGGCTGCTGGAAGCGGGTGTGGTTGAAGCGCTGCACGGTGATGGCTGGATTCGGCGCCGCGAGCTGCTTGGCCTGGTTGAACAGCCAGTTGGCGGCCTGGAGCCCCGTGCCGGACTGGTAATACCGCGTGTGGAACCTGCTGGGTGTGAGACGGGACGGCGGACACGCATGGGGGGCATGGAGTAGACGGCATCTTACTCCGAGTACGTCTTGAGCCAGCTCTTGGGCCCGTCGGTGGTGACGTTTGCCAGCAACTTGTTGCCTTGGTCCAGGTGCAGCGCGCCATTGGGGTACGTGACGGCTTGTCGCTGGGCGTCCTGCCCGGACGGATCGGCCGACAGGATGGAGAGCACCTCGTCGTCCTCGACGTCGGTGATGTCTATGAATCCGATGTTCTGGGATATGAAACGATCAAACTCCTCCTGCTCCGTGACCCACTGCCCGGGATCCGATTCCGACGTCTTGATCAGACGCAGGTCGGCCGGGCGTGTGAGGCCGGGCGGGGCGGCGAGGCCCGGAACGGCGGCCAACAGGGCCAGGAGAGCGAGCTTGGACATGGAAGGCATTGCGAGTGGCTCTAGCACTTGAATGTTGACAGAACAGGACGGGGTAAAGCGGCTGCAGGACGATCCGCGGCATAGAGGACGGCAGCGCCCTCTTATAGCTTTCCCAAGATCCCCGTGCTGCGTGTAAAACGATCAGCACCGCAGACTGGCTCACTGAAAGGGCAGCTCGTGAGCAAGTTCCCTTCTCCACACCATCTATCAGGTCCAAATCCAAGCGCGCCCCCCCATCACACATAGATGCGCATGCCATCCGGGTAGCAAGGTCTGGCGTCGTCTTCGCACAACGCCCCAAGCCAGAGTTACCCGCCGACGCTGCGGATAAAGTGCGAATACGGACAAGCAGGTGGGAGATGGGAGGCTGTGGTCAAACGCCACGCCAGCGCCCATGTACTTGCCTATTTGAGCCTGGTTTTCGTCTCACATCTCGCGCGGGAGCCACCAGCGACGCTTGACAGTCCCGGCGCGCGACACGGCAGCAGGGGTCATTCACCCGGTCCTTGAAGGAACAAGTCATGCCGGGCCGGGCGCCTCCAAGCCGACCTGCCCAGAGGGGCAGCCCTGAGCATGGTTACAATTAAGCTTCAAATATTGACTCTGTGCTCCTTCCTCCTGGCTGGTTGTGCTCGGCCCCATCGAAACTGGAGATTGGCCTTGGCGCCGTCTCCTGCCAGATTGAGCCGTCCCTCCGATTTCACCTACGGCCCTTTGCACGTCTCCGTCTTGACCATTCAGAATCAGTGGCCGTGTCCATGGACGGAGTCGTCTTTACATGGCACGTGTTCTTGGCCTGTGCGAACAGAGTTATCGAGGTCTTGTACAGTAACCATCTCATGCAGTTGGCCATTCATGCCCCAGTTGCCTGCCCAATGCAGCATCTGCCATCATTCATGCCATGGTGCGACGGGCATCGTATACAACGTCGACAGCGAGTGCCATCTTGGCGTGTCATGCGCTTTCGCTCGTTGAACCAGTCCTTGTCACAAGACGGCGCAGACCATGCCCGGTTCACAAACGTTCCTCCCCCAAGGTTCCTCCCCCAAGGTCATGTGTAGTGGGTTCCTCGACTTCGCCTCCGGTAGCCCTGGTCCAGTCCACCGACCTGGTGTTGACTATCCGCAATGGCTTCACCTCGACGGCAACGGGTACCTTTGTGGTTCTGGGATGTTGTGGCCGACAGCGGAACAGATGCCGACTTTTACCGTGCTGCTAAAGGCCACCTCTGAGGTTGCTGCCGTTTATTGGCAACGACACGCGTGTCGGCGGGCTTCGGCAATAGCTCACGGTGGGATATATCCGGCACGGCTCCGGACATGGAGCCGTACGCATGGCATGGCCGCCGTCTTGCATCGCCAGGAACAAAGACGGCGCCGTGTATACGGCAGGTCGGACCACTTTCTCCACCTCTCTTCTCAACGAGGGATATTTGCCAGAGTGGGATTTGTAGCATATAGCCTTGGCTCTGCACTAGCCAACGCCATCACAAGAGACTGCCCGATGCCATACGGAGAACCCGCGCCGACGAGGCCTACTTTACGCTTGAACTACGTCCAAGCGCAAGACACAATGATGCTTTAAACCGCAACAATATAGTGATTTGGTATTGAAAAGGAAGTAATTCTCATGTTTCGGCCTCTTTCTGCTATGCTTGTGATTGACACTGCAGTGTGGTGCCAACACGGAGACTCTATTTGGGTCGTCCTTTCGTAGCAAGTCCGCACACTCCATCTAATAGTACCCTCAATCAATTGCCATGACTAAAAATCAACAGATGGCCAGTCACTCAAGCACCTACGCAGTCCGATCGAAAAGCGTCGTCATATTACATTGACGGGATGATTCGGGGTCCGGTTCATAAGAGCACGGAATAGCAACAAAAGGGGCAATGCATCATCCGCATTCGCCACCAACTGGCACGCCCATCACGGCAATACGTGTAAACGGGCTTGATCACTGGTGCTCGCTGTAATGCGGCCCGTTTGCATTCAAATCACTTCCCAAGTTGACAGCCGCCGTCATCATGCCCTCCACCACCCAATCGTTCATGTTGGATTGCAGCAGGTCCCAGTCAAACGGTTCTTGGTTGTAATTCTGCAGGGGCAGGTGGACAACGCCGTCGTGACATGGAGTCATTTGATCCTGCCGGGGTCGCGTTTGGTTAGAGTCGATAAAGGCCTGCGCTGTGCGGTGCAGGGCCCTGCAGACACCCACTTGTCGTTCGCACGAGTTTGTCGCCGCTGCAATCTCGTCAAGAGTATCGGCCACCTTGCGGAGCGTTTCCAGATCATCCCTGTCGGCGTGGGAGATGCAGTGTACAAAGGTGATGATGTATGGCGTAAAGGTCGAGCGAGTAAATACCCTACAACACCAGACGGGTTAGATGCTCGGCTCGTCGCTGGAAATGCATCATGTGGCGCGTACCAAACAGCGTACAGCTGCAGAGCCCCTGCTCCCATGGCTGACATTGGAGGATACAGCGACAAATGGGCTTCCAGCCCTTCCCTGGCAGCCGTGAAGCATTCTTCGGAGACGTCTTCGATGGAGCTCGACGTTGTGGACGCCCTGTAGATGAGTGCCAGGAGTGAGTAGTAAGCAACCTTTGTTGGCAAAAACAAGACGTGAAAGACCTTGCTGTGCTGCGCCCGGGAGTAGTCAAGTGCACTCCACGTGCGGTACCATTCTCTGAGGGTCGTGGATAACTCCTCAACACTGGCGAGCCTTGATTCGGGGGGGAGACTGGCTGCAAAGGGCGAATACAAGTTTTTGTATACGTTTGCCTGCAGAGTAAAGAACTTGGTGAACAAGTTGAGGGCCATGTTCCAAGGAGCTAGTGAAGGGTCGTGATCTGGCGCTGGGAGTTGGAGGTCCACGTCGTATTCATGAATCAGGGGCGCCTTGCCCAGAGGCAAGACCATGCTCTGGCTCGACTGGTAAACGTGCCAGAATAAACGGCGGCACGATTTTGCTTCTTCTGGCGGCAAATGCTGCATGGTTGACTCTCTGTGGTACCCAAGGGTAAGACAATGTCTGGCGGCAGCAGAGGTGAGATGCCACTGTGCTTCCAGGTTCCCCTGAAACTGAACATCAAGAATCTACCAATACACCTTGGCGGTCAGTCATGGCTTGGGCGATTCACATGTCTGCAAACAGAGTATCAGCGCACGTACCGCAATGGCGAGGGCAAGTATGTTGGCGTAGTTGGGCACGGCATACAACTCGTGCGCTTGCACACCCGCTCTGAAGGCCTTGTAACAGACGTCCTGGTAGTGTTTGAATTGCGGTGTCGGGATATGCGAGGTTTGGTCTTGTTCTAGAATCTCCCGGATCCCGTTGTACAGTATGCCGTAGAAGACTGTGAGCTCTCCGGTTGATATGGGCTCGACGGGAAAGTATACGCGCTGCGCAAGGCTCTCTACATAGTCCCACCCGTTTATAGGATGCATAACAAACAGCAACCGGGGCGTTTCTGGGCGCTAACAATGTCAGAGCAATGGCAAGGAGGCTGGTAGCAAATTTCACAGTTCATACTCTTCAAGATTTGCAACAGTGTAATGACGACACTCGCTGAAAGTTGCGGGGTCCGGAGCTGCTTCGCATCTAGTGACGTCTCTTTTGATGTCATCGTAGCCGTCGGATGGTGAATGGCAGCGCGCAAGTTTCTCACCTCATCGGCGACCGGGGAAAGCTCATCGGTTTCGAGGGTTGGTAGCTGGGGCATGCGGCTTGCCATATCGGCCTGTCCCTCAAAGAGCGGCTCGCCACGTTGCAAACACGTTTGGCCGGTTTCCCATGCTTCCTGCGAGGATTCTCCCGCTTGGCTGGAGCTAGATGGGTCCTCGAGTCGCCTTTCTTGGTTCCCAGAATGGTTGTTGCTCGCGAGAAGGGAGCCAACCGTCTTTTCGAGCTTATCCAGCCGCTCATGAATCGACGTAATCCGACATCTGCCACGCTGCTAAGCACTCCATTGTTGTCCAAAGATGTCGGGCGCTTCATGAATCACGTACGGGTCATGGAGTCGACGTGGCGCTCCGGTCTCGTTGGCAGCACTCTTGGGCCCCGTGGAGGAACAGGCGATGTTGGAGGTGACGCAGTTGGAGCAGGGACTTTGTCTATCGCATCGGATCTAGCATATCCCCCGGCGACTGTCAACAGCGAGCTTCAGTTCACCGGCCATGTCGTGCCAACAAACCTTTCGAATGCGGCAATGCGTACACTGTATCCCCAACGTTTTAGCATCTCGGCGGCACACCTGGCAGTGACAGTCTTACCGCCCGCGGAATCACGCTGTTGGGTGCCATGTTGAGCGCAGCGACGCGGCATTCAGAACCGAGATGGTGGACGGCGTGGGAAACGCGGAGGCCGCGGTGAACATTGAACCGCGAGGGTAGCGGCGGCCCAGGTGTGCTGGGTCAATATCCGACCAGCACACTAAGCGGGAATTGGGCAATGCGCACAGCGTTGTGTCCAAGTATATAGAGCCGCGTGCCCTCTCTTTTGTGGCTTTGTGTCGTTGCGGATGAATTTGCCTGCGTGTGAAGATGAAAACACTGAAGGTTGAAACTCCGCAGCGGAGTGGAGTTTGGGGCTAATTTCCCACGACCCTCGAGATGTCCCTGAGATAGCAACCTGAGAGCATCATGCCCAACATCAATATACAATTCTTGCAAGTAAAAGGATGGTAAGACATGGTCCCCATAGTGGTGGTACTTTGTGCATGGCAAATACACATTTCCTATGCACTCCTCACATCCGATCCGGAATCAACTCCATGACACATACATTTTGGGACAAAGCTGTCTTATTCCCGCAGCCTCTCGGCATGACGTCGTCATCTCTACACAATAGTTGTAGACGTAATGCACTGGACGGAATGGGTCTCTCTCTGACAGTCTTGGTTGGGGGATAAATCTTGTCCGGGCTGCTGCTTATTTGGTACAATCATGTCGGCAACAATCCGCTGCACCAACCCCAGAGAGGCAGCATCAACTCTGAGCTCATACGACTTGACGCTTACTGGGCCTGAGCATGTAAGCTGACAACGGTATCAGGCAATTGATCCGCCCTTGTTGCTGCACGGCAGTACGGCAGCACGGCATCTGGTGACTATTCCATACGGGCCGAAAGGTCACAACGGGCCAACGACATGCCATTCAATCAACACGACACTAACCCCGTGGTAGTTAATGCCAAAACCTTTATGGGCCCCTATTCACAGAGGGTTTACTTATAAAAGAAGCTCATTCGCCGACCTACTCAAGTCAGAGGCCAACTCGACACGTCAATCACAGTCACGATGCATCTCTCTATTCTTGGGCCGCTATGTCTGGCGAGCGCCGTCTCGGCCTGGCTCCCTCAGGACCGTGACTTGCAAGCCTTCAACCAGACGGCTCGATTTGAGAAGCTCGGCAAACGCTTCAAGCCCTCGTTGCCCAATGGCGTCACCAAAATCCGCGGCGTCAACTTTGGGGGCTGGCTCATCTGCGAGCCCTGGATGATGCAGAACGAATGGAGGAACGTCCTCGGCTGCGGCGGCTCGGCCTCTGAGTTCGACTGCATGAACGACCACTACAAGGGCGGCAACCGAGAGGCCGGCAATCAAAAGTTCGAGAAGCACTGGCGAGATTGGATCAACCCGGATACCGTGCAGTCGGTCCACGACGTCGGCCTCAACACCATCCGCATCCCCATCGGGTACTGGTCGTACACGGACATTGTCGACAAGGCCAGCGAGCCCTTTGCCGACGGCGACCGCATGCTCCCGTACCTCGACGCCGTGGTCCAGAAAGCCGCCGACCTGGGCATCTACGTCGTCATCGACCTCCACGGCGCCCCGGGCGGCCAGCAACAAGACGCCTTCACCGGCCAGAACAACCAGCCCGCCGGCTTCTTCAACGACTACAACTTTGGCCGCGCCGAGAAGTGGCTCGCCTGGATGACGAACCGCATCCACACCAACCCGGCGTACGCGAGCGTCGGCACCATCGAGGTCCTCAACGAGCCCGTCTCGCGGCACGACGCCGCCGGCCGCTACCCTGCTCCCGGAGAGGACCCCGGCCTCGTGCAAAAGTACTACCCGGCCGCGCTCAAGGCCGTCCGCGACGCCGAGGCCGCCCTCGGCATCGCAGACGCCAAGAGGCTGCACGTCCAGTTCATGTCGAGCAAATGGGACGCTGGCGATGCGCGCGCCGCCGCCGCCGTGGCCCGCGATCCCGCCACGGCCTTTGACGACCACAACTACATCGGCTTCGCGCTGGGCAGCAGCAACGGCGACCAGCGCCGCCTCATGCACAGCGCGTGCACCGACTCGCGCGTCGTCAATGGCCAGGCCTTTGCCGTCACGGGCGAATGGAGCATGACGTCCGGCGTCGACTGGAAGGACGCCGGCTTCTTCAAACGCTTCTTCACCGCCCAGCAGCAGCTCTATGAGAAGCCCGGGATGGACGGATGGATCTACTGGACCTGGAAGACGGAGCTCAACGACCCTAGGTGGACGTATTCCTATGCCACGTACCTCAACTACGTTCCTACCGATGCTGCCGCGCTCGAGAAGAATGTGTACCAGGATGTTTGCTCTGGATTTAGGTAAGCGACGGCCGTCTTGTTGCGGCGGGTTGGCCAAGCCCACGGAAAGCATGTAGACGTGATGAATATAAACGTGACTGTTGTCGGTCACCGGCTCAACAACACCCGTTGTTTACCGTAGAAGTATCGTGGTGACGTGATAAATCAAACTATATAGACAAGTTCCCCGGGCAACCAAGTGAATGTCAACAATTGTTGGGCGTTTCATGTGCCTCACGATCCTGGCGATCCCCCCGGGCCAGTTTGGCGATTTTCTGGAATGGCATTGTGCGGCTACGACAAGTCGAGCGTTTTCCACAATTAAAGTAACTTGTTGACCAGGCTACTGTCCGCGTCCTGTAGACTATCAGCGTACCAGCTCGTCAAATGACCCATTCGTAGTCCTCGGGTCTCGAGATTTCAACATCTCTGCTGCACTGCTGTCGTCCCATGTTGCCGCCGTTGCAACGTTCTTGGCGCATCTACTGATATAAAGCTGGCGCCACAGGCCGATCACACAACAAGGAACCGGGTTCCAGGGCGGCCGCCAAAACAGGCATCCGTCTGCATGCACACCGTCTGGGTCTTGTGTTTCGTAAAGGGGGCTATTAGACGGACGAGAACGACGCAACAAACATTGTACTCTCGTGCGGCGACTCCATTGTCAGGTAGAGTGAAGGGACAAGTAGCTGCCAAGTATCTCGCAAGTAGTATAAAACGAATTGGCCAAAAAAAATCAACCCAGGGGCTCAAGACCAACATGGACAAATGACGCTGGTATTAAGTATCTTTAAGCGCTCCACGGCAAGAAACCCGGAAATCGTTTCGAAATGACGTCCGCTTTACCCACCGGCAACAATAGCCCAAACTGTCGCCTCGGCTCAACGCCACACCACCCAACGACGAACGCTCTCATCTAAAGACACATGGTCGAATTTTGTCTATGAATCATCATGCTGTACAATATACACCCAACCTGGCCCCCAGTCCCAGAAAGATCTGCTTCGCCTACAGTCAACGCGTACGGTAATATACAACGTCATCCCGTATTGCCTATGCATAATGACAAGTTATATCAAAATAAAAAACAAACCAGTGTCATGCTAGACACTGCCCAGTATCTCCAAATAAACGCCAATCGAACAGCAGTCCGTGTATCGCTTCATGATGGCCGCACCGCATGTTGGTCTTTCGACCCAGGAATATACGTATAGGCAAACCCGACAATGCCGTCGCAGGGGGCGCAACCATTGGATTGGCATTGGAGTACCATGAGCCGCATCGTCAAGTGGTTCACCGCCCGGCACTCGCAGCACATCTCAGGCTTCCGAAATTAAATGTCTGCACATGTTGTCTCGCTTCATATGGTGTTCACATTCCAAGATTATGTAGACGTCTCGATATCCACTGCCAGACTAGGCACCGAGAAGGTGACGTTGGCGGTCGAGCTATAGGCTTCTTGTCCAAAGGCAAGATACCCGAGGTAATCAGTCTTTTGGGGGTAGTTGGCGTTGTTCATGGCAAAGATGGTGTCTATGAGCGGCTTCAGATCTCCTTTGAAGGTGGTGGTAGGCTTAGTTGCTACCCAAGACAGCACCATCTGATTCTGCGAATTGAGTCCAGAGTATAGCTCGCTGCAAACAGTCAGCTGGGCCATTTCTTGTCAACAGAGAACGAAATCGACGCCGACTTACAATTCCACGCCCTCAAGGGTCTGGCTTTTGACCAAGCCTTTGTCGGGGGTATTCTTCTTGCCAAGAGGCCAAGCATCTGTACCAAAATCGGCAAACCACACCATCACTTCAAAGCCTGCCTTCTCGCTGTCTTCGGCCTTTGTGCTGTCCTTGTCCATAAACATATCGATGGCCACGTTGGCATTGATCTGGTTTGCTGTAACATCGGCATCGGTAACCTCTTCATGTGTGTCGTTCTTGAGCGACAAGGACCATTCAACATCAAACTCGAATTTGGACACGGAACCGATTTGGACAGGAAAGTTTTTGCTATCAACTTTTGCGTTGGGGAAGGCGTGCACGTTGTTTCCGCCGCCCGTAACTCGGGGATACTGCCAGGTAGTATTGAAGACGGGCGCTGAGAATTCGGTGGCATACGTTCGATTTCCGTTGAAGTTGACCAACATGCAAAGTGCTCCTTCCTCGCCCTTTTTCCAACCCCAAGGGTTAGGATTCACTTGCGGGAGAAGATTGTCAGCAGTCAATGTCAAATGATTGGCATTTTGGGTGGAGGTTGGCAAGACGGCACCAAAGCAGAGACGGAGAAGAAGAGGAGGGGGAGAAAACGTAGCGCAAATTGGGCATGTATATCGAGGGACTCACAGATGAAATTCTGGCCCTTGGACTTGGGATCGAAACCAAAGGCTTGGTCACACTTTATCTCGACAGTATCCTTGCCCTTGGGAGTACCTATTCCAGGAAGACCATTGCCATCATCACCGCCTGAGAATGGAGGCGGTCGGCCCTTGGCATGATTGTATGCCTGCATGCCAAGCAGGACACCAATGGTAGTAGCGATTGGCAGCGCCAAGAAGACGGCACTTACAAGCCATCTAAGCATGGCTGTCGTATATAATGACAGGCAGAGAATACGATGGAAAGCGAGAGGACGGCGAAGGCGAGTCGCCGGGAGAGCGAAGGAGGCGGGGAAGCTCGCGAGGCCGTGGAATGTCGAGTGTTTCGGTATCGTCGATTTTCTGTGGGAGACAAACGGCCTTGTTGTCGCTCACAGCGGCGCCAACGACAACGAGCGAAGCGAACGGCGCGCCAGAAGGTTGGAATTCAGCGAGGAGCGAGAGTCTAAAGTACAGGACAAGCGAGAGAGGTCGCGAGAGGAGGGTGTGCAAGGCGGCGAGGGGCGAAGTGAGCGTGGAAAATAAAATAAAAGAGACGGATATGATGGACGGGATGAAGAAACGAAACGAACCGGCCAGACGGGATCAGGTGGTGAGAAGACGGGAGCAGCTGGCCGCCTGGGGCCACTGGCACTTACAGGTACTTGGGCGGGTGGTGTGCACGGGCGGCAGCGCAGTTACAGCGGCGACAGCAGGGCAATAGCGGGCACTGGGACCAGACAATAGCATGCAGGGGCCGCAGCATGTACCTGTAGCCCGGCAAACTTGCCATTGATGAGGAGATGCCGGTAGACATGACACTGAACGGTCATTTGTAACTAAATTCAACGTTCGGTCTGGTGCACTGTGGTCTGGTGCACTGTGGTCTGGTATTGTGGCAACTGGGGGGGCTTGGGGGGGTGCGCACTGGGCCGGTCGGCGCCGACATGGAGACTGGGGGCATCCAGATGTCCGGACTGGCCACTGGCGACATCTGGGCTCATGTGCGGATGCGGCGCCTCCCTGTGGCCCGCTTGCTCATTGAGACCTGGCTTGGCTTGCTTGCATTTACCAAAGCGCGTGCCCATTGACATTCAAGATGGATGAATTGACACAATCAACTGACACGCAGTGACACGCAGTGACACAACAGCGACTGATCGTATTGACAACTTGCCATTCGACTACAATAGCCGGCGAGTATGTATTCTCTTCTCCGCGCCGCGGAGCATCAGACTGGGGCCATGCCCACAGCGCCGACCGTTTGTTTTGATCAGCAAACTCGGAAGTCTTGGCGACACGCGACGAGCAGATGGGAAATAAAAATAATAAGGAAAAAATAGCATCAGCCCCCCAATGCGATCTTGCATGCACTGCCCGCCCAGTCGCCCACCAGCCCAGTGGCGCCGGTCCCCAGTCCAGCCAGTCAAGCATCCGCAGCGACAAAAGACCTGGCATCAATTGATGCTGGGGCTTTCAAGGAGGGCCCTAGCAGTTGCTGATCCGGGCCGGCTGAGTGGGTATCCGCGAGGGCTTCAGAGAATTTGGCTCCATGTCCGTAATAACTAATATAGGGAGCAGTTCATATCAGCTAATACTCCGTATTGGCCCCGTCCGCCCACCGTCCTGGAGCCATGAACCCGGGAGGCAGCCTGTTGAAGAACTGCTCATTTATATATTAATACTATATTTATTCTCAATGCAAATAGCACAGCACAGCCCAACTCAATGGGCAAACGAACTGACCCCTTGCTCTGTTGCTCTGATCCAAGAGACGGGCTGGTGCCTTATGAACTGATGCCGATGAACCTTGAACATCGGTCCAAAGAATTTGATGTCTGGCGCGAATGGTGGGTCCTGTCGGGTTCATCGCTCGAGAAAAACGTCAACCGGTCTGGTCCCCTTGAGCTTCAACTACAGCGCATCGCGCCCTGGTTCTATGTACAGTACTGTAGTGTCGCTCTAGACCCCTACCGGAATAGGTAATCAGTCCAGGTCAACTATTGGTTGTTATTGGTGCAATCATTGAAGGCGCCGGCTCAGTAGAATCCAGAATCTGGCACTGTAGGTACATGGCAGCAATGGCCTGTCGGCAATTACTCGGTACAAGAACCAGACAATGCTTGAAGGATGGCGCAGTGCAGATTATTCCCCCAGCCATCATGGGACTACGTACATATTCGCAAAGGACCCAGAGAATCCTTTTTCTGACACAGCTTGCACCATTTTCAGGGCTTAGAACCCTGAGCACATACAGTACCGTCCGGCGCTAAAGGAGGCATACGTAAATAAGTACATGGTGGCTGAGCGCCAGATGGGCTGAGACGGGATGCAGCAGCCCTCGACAAGGAAACAGGGAGAAACTGCAGAACAACAGAAAAAGACCATCCCCCCTTGGCCTGTTAGTGACTGGCAATGGGCACAAAGTGCGTATTGACTACCTACTGTGTGCCGTCTAACCGAGGCTGCCGACGCCTGAGGGTGAAGCCAAAAGGCCAATCAGATCAATTCATGGCGGCCAGTTCGCACATCTCGGGAGCACAGGGGCATGGGCCATGGCTAACCAGTTGGCTAGGATGGATTGGAGGAACAGATTGTGCAAATGGGGGCGCTAAGCAGGGGCTATAGAGGCTAAAGAGGAAAAGAAGAGGGGCAGAATCGTATCGCAGATGGCGCTTGGGCTGCGACGCATGCCGCCCATGCCAGTCAAATGGCCGGGTCCGCGAGACCTTCTCTCGCCCACGGACTCACACACAACACACACGCACGCACATATGCATGTATACATGCACATTGACATTACTGTAACGAGTACGCACCAGACACCACTTGACCCGTTTTGACACGCCGACACGCTCGCTGCTGGCAAACGTGTGCACAGCCTGCATCTTGGTTTGGACAAGGCATCCAATGCCCTTGTGTGCCTGGCAGCCTGAATGTGTTTGACGGATAGGGAAGGCGCGCCACATACTCCGTATTCCAGCAAAATTTTGCTTGGGAACGTGACCGACTTGACGGCGGCGCAGGCTTCAACACGAAAAATATCAAACCAGGCTCCCGCTTCCGCCCCTTCTATTTTGGACAGGTCGACTTTATTGCGCGGTGAGTTATCTCACCTCTGCTCGCATGGTATGGGTCTGCATCCTGGCAAAGCTGACCGGGCTCAAGAGACATGAATGAGCACTGAGAGTGGCCGATTATGCATGTCCACCCAAAGATAAAGAAGAAAAAAATGAGTTTGGCCAATCTTATTTACAGTGGGCACCTAGGCCCCCTTGCAATCAACCCAACTTAAAGACGTCCATGTTGCTTTATTATTCTCTAGTACTACTACTAGTACTACGTGCAAGACAGTGGCGGCGGTAAGACGTGAGACGTTGCTACTCAATGCTGATTGTACGGAGCACATACAACAAACCCTGGAACAACGGACCAGGCTTTATTAGAGACTTTATGGCGGAAGTTCCAGCAACAACGTGGATGACGACAGTGTGCCTGCCTGTGTGCCATGGCACTAGCAGAATGCCTAAAGCCCCAAGCATGCAAACTATTGTCCATTCCGAGCCATGCTAGGGATGATAAGACTCTGACCGATTTAGCATAGGGACCGAACAAAGACGAATATGTCGGGACGCACTACACGAGGATCGGTGTGCTGAGCGGCAAGCGCCTAAAATGCCCACATGGCACGATGCCGAAACACTTCCGCATGCTGGCGATTTCCACACTCAGAGAACCGCATTGATAGGCCGATTACATGGTGTGAACAGACAGGCCTTGGGCATCTCAAACTAGCAGGGCTCAACAGCCAACCGCCGGCCACAACAAGCCGTATTTGCGGGACAGGTGTGTGATGAATGGAGCTCTTCTTCAACATGAAATTAATCGTACTCAGTTGGCTCCTTGAGACTGTCCTGGTCAAGAGCAGAGGCTTGTCGTTGAAACGCGAGCGGACACGCCACCCAGGCGGAGGGAAAAGGAGAAGCTTTCATGGCGACGCCAGGGCAGCGCCAGTATCCCCGTTCCAACTGCCACTACGGCCACAGACGAGTAGCCGCAACCTGCCAGCCAATGTGAGCAACAGACTGGCCCGTCTCCAGGGCTTGGCTGGCCGGCCTTTGAGGATCCGGGCGAGTGAGCCATTAATTAATATTCGACAACTGGCGACTAGGCAGGGGGCCCTCACTCGTCAAGAGGCAAAAAATGCTTGCGGGATAGCCTGGTGGGGCCAAGCAGGAGTGTGGTATTGATGAGGGGATGGAAGTGCCACTCTGGGCCACTTGGTGGAAGCGCTGGCGCCATTGTCACAGCTTGAACCGCCCCGGCTCAACCGAAATCCTGGAAGGGACTTCAGCTCTCGGCACCGCTATCACAGCATGCCGTGGGCAACTCGCAACGTTGCAGGTGCAAGATCAAAATAGAGCAGAGGTGAAGGGAGGCGGCTTGGCTGACGGGTGTGGCAAGACGGTAGCGACATTCGTTCATACCACTGGAGCCCGCGTTCGCCGGATCGGATCGACGGGTGGGGATTTCAAGAGACGGCAAAGATAACATTTGTTTGGGGGGGGGGCATGGGCGCTATTCAGGTAAAGCACTGCATGCGCGCTCTTGCGCTCTTTCCATCCCTGTGAGGTCACGGTCTGAGTTGCGAGTTGCGTGACAGAAATCAGACTGGCCGGGTTGTGTGCAATGGCCGTCACATGGAGTATATTGACGGCGCATCAACGAAAGGATTATTCACCTCGGTGACTTGAACGCCCCAAACTCTGTCATCCCATCAATAACAAAGTATGATGGATGTATTGTACATATGTACACAATGAAAAGGCGAAACATCATCGGCTAACCAATGGCGCGGCGCGTGCTACATGGACATGATGCGATCAAGCAAACCCAACGGCAAAACTCTATTGTACTCTGGTATGCTTGGCCCCCATTTTGCGTCATAATAGAAACCTACCGGTGTTTCTGGGGCATTGACTTTACTAGGCTCGAAGCTTCAGGTCGCAAATTGAAGCCAATGCACTGACAGGCCAAGATGCAAGGCACGAAATGGCTGCAGTTGGATGACTCTTTGCTCCTCCACTCCATTCATTCGTCAATTCCTTCTCACACTGTCACGCCGACAATGGACGAACTCGTGGCCCCAGCAACACAGTGCAAATCGAAACACGTCAACGCTCGTGTTGGACACAGGTAGTGAGCGGGTGACGTGCCATCACAATATGTGCCAGGTCGCTTGGTTGGTTGGGAACTTCATGGGAGGCAACAAAAACAACGGTAATGCGACTTTCCCCCATCCACGTGGCATGATGATGCACCTGGCACATCGCAGTAACGCCTGATTACCATTGCCGTGTACACAGAAGCTTCCGGTATCTCGCAGCAAAGCAATTTCAACGCGCCACCATGTCATTGATAGATTTGCATTTAGCAAAGAAAGTATGCTTCGACGCCCTGGTCTTGGAGTCCTGGGGGCCTTGGGGTCTCGTGGTTTCGCGTTTGGGAGGCCCGTGCTCGTCCCAGCAGGACACTGTTTTACACGTATTATATCAGCTTGTTGTTGTATTGTATTGCATTGCAATATGTGAAATGCATGCATAACACAACACCGAGGATGTAGTGGTCCATTGTCAAGTACGGAGTTGGGTTGTCAGGCAAGCTGACCCAGAACAATTACTAATTGGAAGCCGGAATGGAAACATGGAGCGTTCAGCACATGAGGCGGCGGCTCAGCTCGGTACGGAGCAGGCAAACGGTCCGGTCACTGAGGCAGCCAGAAGCTTTGAGGCAGCACCTGGCTTAACGGCCGAAGTTTCCATGTTGACTGAGATCACTTCAATTACCAGCCCGGCTGCAGTGGATAACAGCACACGCCCCTAAGTGGGGGTCCTCGGTGAGCATACGCCCCACCCACCCCTCATCACACACCCTTCTCCACACTCGAGCCATTTTTTTTTAGTTGTTTGTCCCTTCGTGAACTCGGTATGGATGAATGGATGGAGAAGTACATTGTTGGAGTTCTGTACAGTGCTCTGTTTGGGTTTTTGCCTGCAAGCGTCCAAAATTGAGCATCCAGTCTGTCACTGGAGCCATCCCCACCTCAATACGCTCCGGGCAAATTCATTCAGGCACAGCCGCCTGGAGCAGGACGGGGTCAAGGACCACTCCTCCCTGATGGAGAACATGGAGTTGTTGTACAATAATAGGAGACAGTGCAGAGACAGGAGCGTTGGGTAAATCAGCTTGTCAACCTCCTGCCGTGAGAGAGATGCGCAGCTGCGCTCTTCACCCTGCATCTGTCCGCATGCATGTACCGAGTACTTCTGCAATCGAGAGTGCGTGACCTATTTACTCCGTAGTCTGTACCAAGTACTCTCTGCGTCTGCCTGTCCGGGATGCGAAAAACAAGCAACAACCGCAGCTCGGGAGGCAAACCAGTCCATGCGTTAATACCAGCCAAGTTTAGAAGCCAAACTGTTGTGTCGTTCCTTCCCGCGGCTCCTAGTCCGCAACCCGCACACCGTCCGCGCCAAGTACCAAAGTACTAGTAGTACTAGTTCTCTTTATTCTTCTTCGTATCGCTCGGCCTTTGCCTTCTTTCTCATCCTCCTCCAAGCACCTGGGTGATGATCCCCATCGCAGCGTTGTTTTCAACAGTCATAACATAACCTCTGTTCACTCGTTTTTGTGTTTTTGGCTCGTCAGCTTCTCACGGGTGGTTGTACAAGTTCTCGTTTCCCGCCGTCCCGTTCGTTTCTCGAAATCACTGAACCGCCCAAACCGTGCCGCTTCACATACACGTCGATGTGGCCCAGCAAACGACCACGACCCTAAACAGTTCACCTCTGCCACCGCGATCTTATCCGCCGTTTTTCCAATTATTAATTACTTAATCCATCACGCACAGGAGAGCAAGAAGATCAAAAGAAGAAGAAGACAATAGTCCTGGCCTGTCTTGTCTCACCGCATTCAACGTCCCCGATCAGCTGACGCCGATCAACATCGCTCGCTGACTCTCGTCTGGTTCACCTGCTACACTCCCAAGCTGTGGATTCACTCTTTTTTGGCTCCTTGACTTGGAAATCAGCAAGTCGGAGCATTTCAGTCAAGACTGTCAAGACTCCAGTGAGGGAACTGTTTGGATATATTTCGAACCTCTTGGTCTCTAGGCCGTCGCAATCATGAAAGGCTACGCAGAGGAGGAGGAAATGCTGGAAATAGGAACTTTCCAGCGCCGTGACCAATATCATCCCTACGAGCAACAAGAACCTTCCATAGAAGAGTTTCCCCCTAGACCCGCCCGAGGTACCCCCAGAGGTCCAGCATCAAACGCTTACTCACAGCCGAATTCGTTTTATCCCGATGAATTTGCATCACCTTCGCCAGGCTGGCCGCCTTCAATTGCAGGTCGTTCGGAATCTCAGACACTAGTGGACAGTGCTGAATCCAGGTCTAGCGTTCGCTCATGGCGGACTGGACAACAGACACCGGTCGATTCGACTGGTGCACCTCGGTATAGTGTTCCATTTCACAATGACTCTAGCCCGTCAACGCCCATGGTAAGAAAGCACAGCTCTGCATTTGGATTTTTTCTCCTGCCCTCTTTTTCCTATTGTGTACTAATGAAATGGGCAAACAGAACCAAAGTCACATTAGCCTCACTGGACTCCTTAAGCAAGCTCAGCCACCAGCTGGAGGTAAGGACTGGGTTGATCGTGAGAGCATTGATATCGTACACAAACGAGATGATAGCGACATCTGGAGAGGCTGGAGACGGCATTTATTCAGACTGGTTCCCCTCTTGACCTTCGCCAACACTGGCTTCTACATAGCTTATTTGGCTCTGCGCATCGCATGCGTTGTTTGGGCCCAGAATGCGTTTGAGACAACCTACTCGGCCGCTTGGATCTTCATCGCTGTGGAAATCGCTGTCGCCATTCCTTCTTTGATGCATAATAGCTGGACCATGATGTCAATGAAGAAGCGATATAGACCCAAGCTGCGGTTGAGAGGTTACGACGTCCCTACCGTCGACGTCTTTGTTACTTGCTGCGGCGAGGACGATGACCTTGTAATGGACACTGTTCGAGGCGCATGCGATGTCGACTACCCTTACGATAAGTTTCGTGTCATTGTCTTGGATGACGGCAAGTCAGAGACTCTCGAGGCCGCCGTTACCCGGCTAGGCATGTCCTACCCCAACGTCTACTACATGGCTCGTGTGAAAGTTCCCGGACAACCCCACCACTTCAAAGCTGGGAATCTGAATTACGGTCTTGAGCAAACTCACCTGCTTCCTGGTGGTGCTGGGCAGTACATGGCAGCCTTGGATGCCGACATGGTACGTTTGGGTTGATTATTTGCCGCTTTTCCTCCTGTGCATAGCAGTCTAACCAAGATGCAGATTCCCGAACGTGACTGGCTCCGAGCTATTCTCCCGCACCTCCTCATTGACAACAAGATGGCTCTTGCATGCCCTCCCCAGCTGTTCTACAACACACCCCCATCCGACCCGCTGTCTCAGAGTCTGGACTTCTTCGTTCATGTCATCGAACCTATCAAGGACGCGCTTGGTGTTGCATGGTGCACCGGCTCCGGTTATGTTGTGCGACGTGAAGCGCTCGATGAAATTGGCAACTTTCCTCTTGGATCATTGGCTGAAGATGTTGCTACTTCCACTCTGATGCTGGGCAAGGGCTGGAAAACCGCCTTTATTCACGAACCGCTTCAGTTTGGTACCGTACCCGAAGATTTTGGTAGTCACTTGAAGCAGCGCACCCGCTGGGCCATTGGAACTGTGGACACAGCCTTCAAGCTCAAATTCTGCTTATGGGGTGAGAAGATTCGGCAGATGACACTGGCTCAACGATTCTCTGGGTTCCTCTACGCCGTGCTCAGCTTGTACACTATTCTTGTCTCGATTTCCCTGTTTGCCATTCCCATTATCCTGGTCATGGGCAAACCCTTGGTTGCCTACGCCTCTGAAGAACAGCTCCGTTGGCTCATTCGTGCTTGCTTCGCTTCAACTATCAGCAACCGCCTGTGCGAGTTTGTTCTCTTCATCCCTGCCGGCTACCACACGGGCCAGCGTGGTTCCCGATACCAGCTTTGGATGTCGCCGTACATTGCTCTGTGCCTCATTCGTTCCTTCATGCTACCCAAGTGGCTGGGAGGTCAGGTGCAAGCTTTCAAGCCCACGGGTTCTTTGTCTTCGGCTCTGAACGAGCGTGATCCCGCACTCAAGAAGAACATGCTTCGCCGCGTCTGGACCATTCTCATCAACTACATGGGAATATTCCACCTGCTCTTTGTTTACTTCACACTAGTGGGCGTGGTACTGACCTCATACCGATGCTTCGTTCGCACAGACAGCACTCGTTCGCTCTTGCTGTGCCTGGTGACGCACGCATTCTGGCCGCCGTTGACTTTCATCTTCATCTGTAGCTCTCTGTGGACTCCAGTCGCCTACGCCATTGACCCGCCGCAGATGCCCGAGCGCGAGCAACTCCTCGACCGCGACCCTAAGACCATGGTTGCTCACCCTACGCCTAAAAGCAAGAAGATTGCTTTTGGTGGACAGGCTGCATGGTTCGAGTTTGAGTTGACCACGTCGACCCTTTATACGACTCTGATTTTTGTGGTTTCCTTTATATTTTAAAAAAAAGGAGCAAAGATGTCGTCAGAGGCGCAGAAACCGGACGATCTAGCGGTGGCCAGTACGGCTGTCTGTTGCGGCCGGTCGCGACAAGCCAAACGATTTTATTACGTATACACACAAACATGGAGCAGATTTTTTGATGGATTTTTTTGCAAGACGATGAGACATTATGCTGCTCCTGGCGGAACAGCACGCAGACGCGCCATGTCCAGATGATGAAACTGGCATTTCTCAGCGAAGACTTGTATTGGTTATTTTGATTTGGCGTCATGGGGATTGTTGAGTACATAGTTGGGTCTGCATTCGTCAAAGGGGAAGAATGGCGTGTGATGTAATGCGGGAAAGAGTACAGGGCGAGAGCATGTGCCACTGCGGTGGCTTGTAGCAATCATGATAGAATCGGCATTGAATTAGAATTTGGAGCATTTGTACGAGATTTGTGTCATTAGGCAGTAAGCGATTTTGCTGGACCAAGATTTTCCCGTCATGTTGTCATTTTGATGGAGGGGCTCTCTGTCCATGTAGCCCAAGAAAGCATGGTTCCACGCCCTTTGGCACCGATGCCGGTCATGGGAGTCAGCCCTCGCAGCGGGATCGGAACCGAAACCACTAGAAACCAGCAAAGCATTCATTCTTTTTTTTTCTTCTCTTCTCTTCTCTCACACGGGGAAAGCAAAGAGTCAACAGAATCAGAGCCAGCATGTCACTGCCAGTCGGCCCATTGGTATCGCCGCGCGAGGCCACGCGCCCGACTCACGAGGCGCTCCACGGCCAGACAACGTCGCTCGTGCCGCTCGAAGCAGGCCACGCCGCCGGCCTGTTCAAGAACCTGGGCGGGCCGGAGAACCACGCGCGGTGGACGTACATGCTCACGGGGGGCTTTGCCACGCTCGCCGAGTGCCAGCGGGACATTGAGGCATGGAGCGGCGACGCTGCCCCGGACAGGCTCTACTACGCGGTGCTGTCTGGGCCGGCGGCGAGCGGTGCGCGCGAGCCCGAGCCCGAGCCCGAGCCCGAGGGCATCATGTGCTACCTGGCCGTGGAGCCGGGGCACCGGCGCCTCGAGATTGGCGGCGTGGTGCTGGGCGCGGCGCTGCAGCGGACGCGCCGGGCCACCGAGGCGTTTTACCTGCTCATCCGGCACGCGTTTGAGGACCTGGGCTACCTGCGCGTCGAGTGGAAGGCCAACAGGCTGAATGAGGCGAGTCTGAGGGCCGCCGAGCGGCTGGGGTTCACGTTTGAGGGCGTGTTTAGGAAGCACATGGTTGTCAAGGGCCGCGAGAGAGACACGGCGTGGTTTAGCATGACGGATGGGGAGTGGGCGCGCGTCAAGAGGGGATTCGAGGCGTGGTTGGACGACGGGAATTTTGATTGTGACGGGAGGCAGAGGAGGGGGTTGAGGGAGTGTAGGGAGGGTTGATGGGAGAAGGATGGATGGTTGCTGGCGGTGAGCTGTTTCTGTGTCCGCTCTGGGAGTTGGCACACGGATGGATGTCTCTGGATTTGTTGGGCAGCTTCGGCAGATGAAACCCTCATGTAGTGGGTGACTGCATTGGGTTTTTGCAGTCGAGATGCAGGACCATGTTGTGTACTTGGTACTGAGCATTGTGCGATGCGTGTACTACGCACGATGAAGCAAATCTAGGTGAGACGACGGTCATTGTAGCGTTTCGTGGCCCGGGATTTCGGGTATTAGATTGCAATGGATCTTGGCTTGGCTGAGTTTGCGTTTCGGCTTGGTAAATCAGGGTGCCGTCAGTGACGTAGTTGAGTCGAGTCGTGCGTGGCGTGCGGCCGTTTGCAGATTGGGGTGAGACGGTGTGAGTCTGGAGGTTTCACCTGTCACCAGTGGAACGTGGCGCAGCGGGAAGACAGTTGATGTCATCGGTTTGGGGGCTGTTTGCTCGGCACAAGCTCTGCGTTGAGTACTTTGCCTAGCCGAGTGTCCGTCGTCTTGTCGCGATGCAGACTGTGTCGGAGGGATGCAACCTGGAAGAGACGCATGTGAAATGCCCGATTCGGTTGAGGCTCTGCGCTGATCCCCCGGCATGCCGTGTTTCAGATGCGATGCTCCCGTCAGGCAGCAAACAATCCAGATCCAGATCCAATAACTCGATTCGTCATGGCACCCGGGCGTTTAATCACGAAGGGGTATACACATTGACTCTAAAAGACCAAAAGTAAATCTCCAGAGCCACAGATCCGAGGCTGGGGACAATTCCAGCGCCACGTGCCACAAAGGCAAAGTCAAGGTTTGTCTGAGACCACAAGAGGGCCAACCGGAGATTATTCGCAATTCATCAATTCGAGACGAGGGGCCCCCCGCAAGAAAGAAGGTTGGTGCCGGTAGATCGAACCGTCGTCCAAACCCGTCTCACCCTGCGGGCATCTTCCTTGTCGGCCAGCCATCCGAATCACGTGCTTGCCGATTTGTGCACCATTGTACCACTGCACCATTGTTCCAGTGTAAAACAACAATCTATTCACCAGATAAGTCTCATTACCACCGTCGCTCAGCAATTTTACCCCTGTCGACGGTGCGAATGAAGGGTGGGAGTTGGGAGTTGGGGCAACGACGCTCACCCATTTCCACGGCGGTGAGACGACGCAAGGCCGAAGAAGACGCCTTCAATTTTGCAGGTAATTCAATCAGGCTTGGGAATAGCCATTAACCATGAGGAGAAGCCAGACGAGTGACCGTGCAGAATGACAACAAGCCAGCTACGCCGACGCCAAAACTCCCAACAGCCCGCACCATATCAATCTGCACATGCTGCGCAAAACACAAAATCTCAAAAAAGGCTCCAGCCTCGTAATCTAGCCATGTATTTAACGAGAGTAGCGCTCAGTAAAGACAGTCACATTTGCCAGCAAACAAGTAGAAATCCAACCCCATCAAGCCAGCCCCCAGCCCCCAGCGGAAATCCGTCTTCCTCCGCAGTCCATGCATCCAACGACCGTCGAAGATAAAACACCAATAAACGAATGAATGAAATCCAGAAAAACAAAAGTAGCGACAGGAACATGCCGTGCCCCCGCGGCATTCACACTCCATTCAATGTTCTCCATTCCAACACAGGCACGGGGCCCGAAAGCGAAAGGCGTTGGTCCAGGTCCAGCCCCAACCAACCAGGTGACGCAGAAACTCGATCGACAGAAGCATCATGCTTGCGAGCCGGGCCGAGCAGTAGTCGTCTCTGAAGACGGGGGCGTCGCCGACTGCCCCTCTGTGTTTTCGTGGAATTTGCTCCCATACTTGCTCAGCAGCATCACCGGCCTGGCGCGCTGAACAAACGCCGGGACGGCAGGCGCTTCGGTGGGCTTGGTGTCCATGACGACGTCGACGTCGGCGTTGGCGAGAAACTCGGTAACAGGTTGTTTGGTATTGCCCAAGAGGAAGAAATGTAGAGAGAGACAAAGTTGTCGGACTGGCAAAATGGTAGGTATTAGCTTGCGCGAGTAAAGGTGTGGTGGGCGAGTTGACAGACGTCGGAGCCATTTCTCGCGGACCGGGGACGCATTTCTATACTTTTGAAATAAACTGTCACATGATGCCATCATTCAGTCACAATCATTGTCCTTGTTCAACTGAATCCACGACGGGTCAAGTGACTGGCCGTCTTTGACGTGACGAGACGACTGCTGTAGCAAATTGGACAAAGAACGGCACTACGTGTCGCAAAGAATAAAGGCAGAGACGCCACCACCAAAGAGTTCGAAACTGCACTTAAAACTGAACAAATAGGTATATTTTGATCTTTTGATCCAATGTCTATCTGCCGCACGACAAGTGGCCTCGGCCACCGGTCGAGGTTGAAATACCGCCGTTGACGCCTGTAGAAAATGGCCAACTCCGCCTGCAAGGACAAAGGGCGGTGATGAAAAGAAACTGGTGAGAAATTACAACAAAGCTTACAAACACACACAAAATTTGCCCTTGTACCCAATGTATCAGACTGGCCTGATAAAAGCAACCGCGTTTCGGCTTGGCTTGTCGTCGTTAAAAGCAGGTCCCCTTCTACCAGCCATTATTTCCTCCAGATGACGCAGGCCCCCGGTATCCGTAGCCTGGCTGTTGGTTGTCGGTAAAGCTTCTTTGGGGCCCCATGGCTCCTGGACTTTGCATTCTCTGCAGTCCATAACCTTGCTGATGGGGGCCAGGAGATCCCATTCTTGAGTACGGGTCGGGAGCTGAGCCGCTACGCATCTGGTGCTGACGAGGAGAGCCGGGAGGCATTCCGGGGCTCGGAGACCGGGATGGATGACCAGGGCTGGGAGGAACACCAAAATCAAAACCATGATTAGAAGAGGCAGGACTGGCTTTTCGGCCGGGCTGGCCTCGCATGGCTCCTGCAGCTCCCATTGCTCCGCCAGCCACGGCGCCAGCACCAGCAGCACCAACGAGGGTGCTCACGTTGCTTGCGCTGCTTCCGAGGCGAGACTTTTCATCAAAGGGGCCGTCAAAGGGACTCGATTCGGGAACGTGGTAAGAGTTTTCGCTGGCCATGCCACCGGCACGAAGCTCCCTGGCATTGTACTCTTGGCCATGGTCGGTGAAACCGTCGGGATTGATGCCATCCTTGAGGAATCGTGCGTTTTCGCGATGGTCCTCTTCATCACGTAGGGCTGCAGCCTTGGCTTCAGCGGCTCCAATGCGGCGCTGTCGGATATAGTACCAAAGCAGAGCCCCCAGGGCCAGGGCACCGACCGCACCGCCTCCAGCATACACTCCAGCCTTGGCTCCCGTGGGAAGGTCGTTCCATTTTTCGCTCGTGGACTTGTCGGGCTGCTTGTTCAGCGCGTCAACAGCGGTGGAGTTGCCACTCTCAATCTTGATGCTTTCCCAGCTGCCGGAGCGATCGCCATAAGTATATTCCTTGCCGCTGCTGTAATCGGTGACCTGGGCGCTCTTGAGATACATGGTGTACGGCCCATTTGCATAGTCTGTATCACCGCCCGCCCACAGGCGAGTTCCCTCGGGAAGCGACGGGTCGCCGCCCGCCCAGATGCCAACGCTCATACGCATGGGTGTCTGAGGATAGTTATGCGTGTTATTAGCATCTTTAGAATTCAGGGTGCGGACATGGTTGCCGTCGATGAACCACTCGATAGAATCCTTGGTCCATACGGTGGTGTAGTTGTGATAGTCGTCCTGCATGCCGGTCATGGGGTGAGAACCGCCGTTCTTAAAATCCTGGCGGCCCTTGCCAAAATAGTTGGTTGTGGCGAAGGTCTTGTTAGAGCCCAGAAACTCCCAATCAACCTCGTCGAGGTCATCGCTAAGCCACATCATGGAACTGACGATGCCTCGGCCAGGCGCGACCTTGAGGTGAATCTCAGTGCGGCCAAAAAAGAAGTAGAATTTGGTGCGTAGAGTTGGCGAGTCACCTTGTTTGTTGATGGTGAAGGCGGCACCAGTTTTGGCATCGTATGACACAGTGCCGGCAGTGGTTTCCCAGAGGTCGCTACTCGGGGTGCTGTTGAAATTGAAATTATGATCGGTCCCGAATGCTGGATTTGCTGGACAATCGCGTTCCATGGGATTGCAATCAGTATGAACCTGAGCAGCCGCCAGGCCCAAAAGGGCCGTTGCGGCAACAATTGAATTGTAGAGCATATTGTCGTCTATGATGGACTCTTATGACGTGTGTGTGTGTGCCTCGCGGGGAGTAGTGGCTCAAAATACACCAATGCTCTTGAGCAACTCGTCGATGAATGGTGTTGTCGTTTAGTAGTCGTCTTCCTCTGTTCCAGCAGAGGTTTATAGTGTTGTGCTATGGCAAGAAATGATGGAATCCAATGCTCGAACCCGGGTCAATTGGGATTAGACACGCAGACGCAGACGTGTTTGGTCAAGAGAAGGAGTGCAAGGGCAATTCGTGACAGCGCTGTCGTATGAATGTGGCCCAGTTGAGAAGGGCGTGAAGCGTGTTGTTCAAGGAACGTCAGATGGAGGCCCGGAGGCAAAGGAGTGGACGTTGTCAATAGACAAATGATGGTGAAGGAGCGGCGATGGCAACAGCAAGGTCAGAGTCAACAGACCTTCATGGTGAGGCGAGGCTGGTTGCAGTCAGGCAATGTCACAACAGAGGCGGCATTTGGTATTTCGCATTTGGCCGCCGGGGCAGCTCGCAAACGGGGGGCGGTGTGGTATCGTGCCAAGGAACAATGCCCATTGCCATTCTAGGAGCAATTTTACCCGTGGCGTCAGGGGGTGACGCTGGAGTCGGCCAAAGCAGGACCAGACCCATGTTGAAATTCCCTGGACGTGGGCTTTTGTCGTGAGACAGAATGCGTCGACGTGTGGTTCCAACTGGTTGGTGGCTGGCTCAGGGGCAGCGGCAGGCGGATGCCTCCAGTCTTGGTGCTTGCCGCAACGAATGGCAGCGGAAAGCAGGAAGGAGCGATTGCAGCCAACGTTGAATCCACCAATCTAGCCGCCGCAAAGGTGCAACCCACCCACCAGATCGCGTAACATGGTTCAATTGCATGGCTCCATTGACCGTCTGGTACGGAGTACTCCGCACGGAGTAGAATTCTAATGAATTGTTCTCCCCTTTTTCCCTGGGCGCTCAGGTACGGTATCACAAGATAGTATCTGGATCATGGCGGCTTCTGGCCCCGGCCTTGGCGCATTAGTGTCAGGGGTTTGAAAGTCGACGACCAACCATCCATCATCAGGCAAACTGACTGGTGCCAGAGAATGCCGGATCGACAGCTCGAGGAAGCCACGGACGGACGCTGCTAAAAAGACTGATGCTTTACCGAGGGGGGTCTGTGCCACCTGCATAGTATCAAACTGGCTTCCCCCCACTGACAGAAATAATTAATCAATTCATATCAACTCGCCACTGCTCAAGCAAGGACTTTCCTTGTCGCCCCAAGCGTCTGTTTCTCTTGGCAATCCATTGGCCTTTATCCAAAGCAGTCTGGTAGTACTCCGTACTCCGTACTAGTAGTAATCAGAATTGCGGCCGCAGCATGGTCCCCCGCGGTCGATTAGAGCCAAGACAACAAAACATTGTTCCTGGACTTGGAGGACCACTTTGTCTTAGACCAGCACTGACATTGTTGAGTTCCCACTGCCATGCTCCGTACCACAGTGCGGCAGTAGTATGCTGTCCCCGCGATAGCCAAGTACCTTTGCCTGTCAAATCCCTTTTCTCGTCTTCGCCTTCCGCGGCACAGGTCCATACCAGCAACACATCATATCCGACAGCGACTGTGTTGGGAAGCACCCAAGTGAGACCCAAACAGGCCAACCTATCTTGGTCACAATGGATGTCGTCACTGCGTTTGGTATTGACATGTACAAGCACACTCCGTACCATGACCATGGAATGCGACTCCCGACTGCATTCTTGCAACGCCTGCATGGAAATCACAACTCACATAGTATCATACCTGGAATTCGCCTACTAAGGACCGTCGAGCTTCGCCCAAGCCGGAGCAGCGCTGGATTAGGCTGTGTTTGCGAGTAGTTTTCTTGGATACAGGTCGACGGTAGGTCTTGAACAGCGTCATTCCGCCGGTGGAGGATCCTCCGTTTCCTTCTGCTCGGGAGCATGCACCTCTGGCGAGTGGTTGCGGCCGGATCCGAATGGAGGCATTTCAAACAAAAGATGAAAGACAATTGACCTCTGTAAATTATATGTGTGAAAATGGATCAACGCAATAATGTAACGAAGGTTGAAAAAAAAAAGGCCGGCCAAGGTACGACTTGCGTAGCAAAAAGTGCAATATAATGATGTGAATCCAGCGCGAAGAGAATCATCGCCCAAGCTTGAAAACCCACACTTTCTATTTCAGCACCGGTTCCTGCAGATCTATCTGTAAGATAGGTTGCTTCATGAATCATGATCATGTCTGCAGGAAACTCTGGTGCGCTGCTTAACAACCACAAAGCGTCAAGTGGCTACAGGGTAGTATGCACATCGATGCTGTCGCTCACCCTGATCCAGCCAACAGCCAGCCCCCAAGGACAAGGTAACCAACAAGTGCGTTCAGATGTTGTATCCCGGGACCTATGTTTCCACGGCCAGTGCCGGGGAGGGATGTACGTAGAGGGCCGAGAAGATGGCGTCAGAACCCGTCAATAGTTCAAAGAAAATCGTGATTCCATCAGGAAAGTGCGGAGTACAGGGACCGTGGCCCTCAGTGGACCGGGACATGTCACCAAGCACGGATACACCCGGCGCATGGCATCACGACAAGGGCTCCAAAGGGGAATCACCAGAGCGAGACCCAAGAGATGCCAAATTGACCAGCAGGCTCAGCCAGACACAGCAAGGGCGAATGACACAAATTCAGTATTTCTAGCCGGCGGCCCATGCAAACGCACCATCCCTCCATGCTAACAGCCCACAAGGTACGCCAGAGCTAATGTGACCCATCTGACCCAGAAACGGGAAATAGAAAACAGATAGAGGGGAATTAATAAAAAAACATATGAGAAAAAAGATACCGGCCATCCTCTCCGTCTCACGTCCTGTGTCGTCCGTGATACATGTTCCACCGCAGCGATATGTACAAAGATGGGGGATACATCAATGAGCGGTTACAAATAGCATCCCATGGGTTTTAAAAAACAAAAGAAAAAAACAACAGCGAAAAGCAGTCTGATAGCGGTGGGGATATTGAAGTCGAACCAACATTTTAAAACGAAATAAATTTTGTGAAAAACTGGTTTTAATATCCGCCATGAGAAGACAAACAAAGCGGCGTGGAAATTGGAGAAAAAAGACGAAATCGCCTCGGGGTATTTGGATCGTGGTGCGCGTTTTTTTGGGTTTTTCTTTTTTTCTTTTCGACGGGGTCGGGACTCTCTCTCGCATGTTTCGCCCCGTCACATTACTGTGCACTTGTTCTCCTCTCTCTCCTTCTTGACGCTCAGGGCAACGCGGGCTGCCTCGGTAAAGGCCTCGTTGACGCCGCGGTTCTTCATGGCCGAGCACTCGAGGTACCGTGAGGCTCCTATTCGCTTGGCCACCTCCAGGCCCTTGTCGTACTCGATCAGAGGTCCCCTGGGCCGCTCCGAGTTGGCGTTTCCGTCGGCAGGTGCGGCGGCGGATGCGGCTGCATCATCGGCTTCGTCGTCACCGCCGCCTTCGCGGAGGTCGCACTTGAGCGCGACCAGGACCAGCTTGACGCCGGGGCAGTTGTCGGTGATTTCTCCAACCCATTTCGATTCAACGTTTTCGAGGGAATCCTTGCTGTCGACTGAGTAGCAGAGCATAATCAGGTCGGTGTCATCTGGAGGAATGTTAGTCGAGGGGGTTGGCTTCCGACGACGACTTCGGAGACGCAAGTCATCCCGGCGAGACGGGGTCGTTACCATATGATAGCGAGCGCAATCGGTCGAATTCTTCTTGGCCAGCGGTATCCCAGAGCGAAAGCTCAATGTGCACATTGTCTACAAAGATGTCTGTTTGCACTCGTCAGCGCGCAAACTTGCGACTCGAAACAAAACGACCAACCGCCGCGTGGCGTGTGCACAGAATGATGGACCTGGGAGCAACTCATACCGTGGACGTAATTTTCAAAGACTGTAGGCTCGTATACCGTCGGAAAGTAACTAGGCGTGTGCGTTAGTCCGTCGGGTTCGCCCTCATGGTGATGACCAGAGCTCGCAGGGGCATCGAGAGCCAGGTATCAAGACGTACCCTCTCGTAAAGACATTGAGCAGTGACGTCTTGCCGCAGGCACCGTCGCCTCTGTCATAATGATCCGTTAGCATTTGTCGGCACCAGCGTTTGCCTCGACTCGGTTGCCTCGCGTTGCCCGTCATGGGGGCGATGGGGTAAGCACATACAGCAGCACCAGCTTGCGCTGAACCGTCTTGGATCCACCGCAGAGAGGCATCATGGGGCGGGTTGTTCAATTGGCAATGTCGTGAGCCAGAGAAGAGGGCAGAATTGGCGGGTGAGGCAGCGCGCGACTTCTTGCGGAGGTGAGGATGCTGGCGGCGCAGGAGGTGCGAGACAGGGCGGACTCGAAGGTATCGGCAGCCGAAGGAGACGAGACACGGAGGAGGAGCAGAAGGAAGGGAGTGTCGGCGGCGAGGGAACTCGGAACTCGACGTTGAGGAATGGAGATGGGAACGAGAAGAGGAGAGAGTTGAGGCTCGGGATGCCAGAATGTTAAGGATGTCAAGATGCGAGGAGGAACATGAGAACCCGGCTACGAATGCGCCTAGCGAATGGCCAAAGGAGCGCCCAGTCCGTCAAGGCGATATTCAGCCACAAGCCGTTGCACTTGACGATTAATGCCATGCATCAGCAAATGACCATGAGCGCCAGCAGCCGCACAAGTGGGTTCCATGTCCATTTGCCGGGCCCGTCATTGACCAGACATCCAGCCGGCGGCACCATTCACTTGGAAAGTGTGGTAGCCTGCCGCCACATGCACCCGGGCAAAGCTTGCCCGAGTTAACTCTGCCCTGGACTGGCGCCAATGCTGCAGCACTGAGAGCACTTGCGCTGACTGCTCGGCCACTCTCAAGAGCCCTCAAGAGCCCTCAAGTGCTGCATGTGGCTGCCTGGCTGACTGGAGGGCTCAGCTGCTATTGACTGAGTGCTCAAGCTAGCACCAGACAGCACGTGAGGGCACTGGCGCTCACCTCCAGAGGCCCCAGTACCAGCTGGTACCAGACCCGTCAGTGCTCTATTGATCCCCTGCGCCGCTGTACCTCAGCGCAAGGGTCCGCCACGTGTTTTCCAAGCCAGGCACTTTTCGTCATTCAATGTTGGAAGTGCAAACTCTAACCAGTTGACTGTGTGCTAGCTTCCATGTCGGAACCGACTTCCACCAGACGTCTAATTTATCTACAATCCAGCCACAAAGTCACTCACTGAAACACGCAGCCTGGCACCAAGCAAATCAGCACCAATCCGCATCCCAACAACGGGAGAGCATTCCTTCCACAGCCCGAGGTCCCTCGCAATAATAATAACACATGCAGCCGTGGCCGACCATTTGCCCAGCAACCTCCCACCTCTGTCCTCTCAAGTCCCTGGAACCGGTTGATGCAATCTTGACCATCTCCTCCCTTGACTCATTTCTAATCATCATCCCGCTGGTATCCTTGTCGATTCCGTCCCATTCTCTCGCCCAAGCCAAGCTTGCCCGCCTGCTTGTGTAGCCCATTGACAAAGCCGCGTTCACCCCCTCGCTCTCTCGCTCTCTCGTCCGCTTTCTGTGCCGCCCGTTCCTCTTGTTCCAGAGCAGCAAGGCGCTTTTCGCGGTCTAGGTCCATGTCGGATGCTGCCGACTGCATGGCCGCTAGTTTGCGAGCTTTTTCTGTCTCCCCATCTTCGTCCTTGCCACGGGCCTGGTGTCTTGCTCGGCCATTGCCGTGCCCGTGTCCATTGCCGCTATGATGGGGACCGGTTCCATTCCGTGACCCCCTCCAATTGTCATCTCTGTTGTCATCTCGGTGTCTGTTGTCATGGCCGTCGCGCCGGGCATAATGATCGCTGCGCCTCCTGTCATGTCGGTCTGGAGACGGGCTGCGACGCCGTAGTCCACCATCACCCGAGTTTGGACTGTCATGCCTTCGTCGGCCATCGCTGTCTTGATAAGAACTTCTTTTGTGGCTGCTCTCATATCTTCTCTCTCTCCCCGCTGAATCATCTCGTGCCCGCCGTGGGCTTCGATCTACGCCAGAATCTCTTCGTCGTCCATGTCTTCGTCTTCGCTCTTCATCGTCACCATCATCGCGCTGGCGTCTGGGACTCCGAGACCGTGAATACGATCTGTGCCGCCGCTTATGTCGCCTCTCATCATCCTCGGCGTCCCTGCTCCTGCTTCGGTGTCGTCGGTGTTTCCGTCGATGCCTGTGCTCCTTGTCCCGCGACCTTTCCTTGTTTTTTTCATCCTCCATTCCCATGGAGGCCAGTAGCTGCCGTCTTCTGATGGGGTCGTTCATCATGGCTTCGTAAGCCGCTTGCTCCTGGCGCTTGATGGCGAGTAGAGGATCATCTCGAATTTTGGACGCTGTATCTCTTGCGCTGTTCGCATTCTGAAGTGCCATAAAACTCTCCTCACCCGCGCTCTTTTCCAGCTTCTTGTGCTCTGTTCCCTTGATAAGGTTGTCGATTCTCCTCTTGCCCAGGAGATACGCTTCGGTCTCTTCGCTGGTACCAACTTGACCATCGGTAGGGCCTTGGTACATCCAGTCGACCCGGTCTACTCTCTTCTTGCCGCCGGCATCCTCGAGCTGCCGCTGCAGCTCCTCCTTGGCGCGCTCTTCTTTGATTTCATTGATGCGTTGTTGGGTGCGCTTGCGCTCGGCGAGGGCCTTTTGTTCTTCCTCGTAGACGGCTTGCTGATTTCGCCGTAACGTTGGATGGAAAGACTTCTTGAGGTTAAGATCGCCGCCACCCATGATGACCTTTTTTCTTCTTGCGTGAGTGGTGGACTCGTAGATGTTGGGTGAGTGGTGGTGTTGGAGAAAGTCGATGGAGTGGCGAGGCTGGTGGCATGTCAAGACTCTGGGGCCCACTTATATTTGCGTGTGCAGCCAACCGGGAAGCCCACTGGCTGGTGCTGTCAAATGCAAAGCAGATTGTTTGGCGCAACTGCGATCGCGTACCCAGGATAATGTCAAGTAGTAAAGTCAGCTCAAGCAACAAGCCTGGCGAAGTCGACGGCTGGCATCGTCCCAGAATCAGATTACATGTATGAATAGGTCGAATGTCGGAGTAGATAGATTCATAGTACAAAAATACGCTTGGTTTAACCCATACACCCCAGCCGCTCCAACATCAGTCCAGATTATCCGGTCGCTATTCCATTTATATTGTACAACGTTTCAACAAAAAGATGCCCAACAGGTGTCTGGTCCTTTTACCAGCTTGCTCGCTTCACACCCGGCAAGTTTCCTGCCATTGCCTGCATTCTAAAGTTGAACTGTCCAACATTAGCACTTCGTTCCAACCGTTTCGCATCAACCAAGCCCCCTCGACATTGAACTTACCCTCGTCATTTTAAAATCACTCAGCACGCCACGGCCTTGGCCTCCCATGATACATCTATTGCGAATCTGCGTGGGGCGGGTATAGGCGTGCATCTGGGTGAGTTGCAGCTGGGCTTCGGCGCGGACACGAGGGGAGAGGGTCGTGTTGCGGATGATGTATCGCAGGGCTTGTCTATTGCCAGTTAGTGTCTAGTTGTACCCAGTTGTTGCATAGATCAATCGCGCCGCGCAGAGAGTTTTGTCGATTGTCGCTGTGGAAGGGTACGGTTAGGGGACGCTGCGTACCTCTCCGTCTCGAACTGCTCAAAGACCTTGCGCTTCGTGTGGTCCCGAATTGTCCGGGCCTTGACGAAGCAGCCCAGGTCGAGCTTCTTCGCTCGGAACATCGACATGGCGAGCGCTTAAATTTCCTGACGTTGATAGATGGCAAGCTGTTTGTGTTGAGCACATGGAAGAAGATGACTTTGAGATGCCGATATTTTGCCGAGTCGACCCACTTTTCCTTCTCTCACAGTGCTTGATAATTGGAGTAGAGATCTGGATTTTGCTGGATGGTGCGGACTTTGAGCAACGGTATGTTTTAATCTGCACTATTGCAGTTTACCAAAGTTGGATCTTCGATCTGAAACCGCCCTAGCGCAAATACATTGATGCAATCGTAAGTCGTTGTCTTAACTAAACTGCTCTAATCTAAACCAACTCAAATGTGCACAAGAACCGAATGCATGTGTAGTCCCTCATCATGAGAGTCATGAGGGCTACCCAATAATTAATGTTTGAACACGTTAATTCTGCCGAGTAACCGCGATGAAAGTATTTTCTGTTCCGTTCCGTAGCCGTACAACGCCAAATAGTCGACCATGTCCAGGCCGTTGAAATGCACATAATTTTTAAGCAACACCGGGAAGAATGGACCTTTAGGTGCAGCCAGCTCTCAAAGCGGGCTCAACGAGGCCATAAATTTGGGTGATGGGTTCCCGACATTAGTCATAACAACCGTCCTCAGGGAGTCCGTCTATCGCTTGTTGGTCAGTGGCAGCGCAGGCTGAGGCTTCTCCTTGCCCTTCTGAAGCTTGGCCACAGTATACACAATGCCGCTCACGAAGCCCAGGACAATGGCCGAGACACTACCAAATGTAACAGGTGCAGCGAAGAAAAGAATGCCCAAAATTGCAACAGGCAACTTATTAAGGGCGCCAACCATGGCGTACGTGGTGGAAGAAGTGGCGCGGATACACCACGCGGTCGAATAGGAGATGAAGATGGCGCCGAGACCTGAGTAGACCATGCCCGTACACATACTGTAGCGAGAATCGGCGGGAAAGTTGCTGTTGAGATTGGCGGAGGACCAGTCCTCGACAAGGAGAGATGAGATGATGAGGACAGGAATGGTAAGGAGGTTGTTGTAGTACATGACTGCAATTGTTAGTGGGCTGATGTCTGAACGGGGAGTGCAAATGACCAACCTTCCCAATTGTTAAAGCCCGTCTTCTTGATAACCTTGCGCATGCTAAGAGCATACATGGCGGCACAAAAGACATTGATGCCCATCCATCCGTAGCCCAGGTTCAGGGTGGTTACGGCGGCAGCCGTGGAAGCACTCCTGGCATCCGCCCACGCAGCAATAACCGAGCTAAACACCATCATGATGAATGAAACGAGGGTCAGCGGAGTGAGGCTGCTTCCGAACCAGAGAACCTCTCCGTAGGCAATGACAATAATGGTCAAATTCTTGAAGATGGTGTAGACAGGGACGGAGAGATACTGCAGGGCCTTGTTACCGGTGTAAATCATGGCAACGAGAAGCAGAGCAATGGGAAACCCTGCGATTTGTCAGTGCCGCTGAAAAAATAGAAAAAAAAAAAACAAGTCGCAACAAGTTGGACCGGGAGACGACATACAAGTCTTTGCCTTTTGCGAGTCGAATGGGCCCAAGTCTTTGACCATGCCAGCCTGCTTGCACATGATAATCGCCAGGGTCCCAACAATGGACTACTCGGTAGACATGATCAGCAACAGCCTTCAGATACGCAATGAAATATAAGCATACCTGAACAGCAAGATACAACAGATTCATGTTCCAATTGGACCCCGACACAACATACTTATTCACAATGGTCATGCTCATGGAACTCAGACAGTAGGCAATGACGGAGGCGCCACGACTACTCTCCAGCGATGCCATGGAGGGCCCCAGGCCCTTGAGCGCATCCGTCTTTGCCTGGGCGGGCGTAAAGCTTGGAAAGGGCTGCTTGTGGGCGCTGCCATTGCGGCCGTTGGCGACGCCATTCGCATGACCATTGGAATTGGACATGGGGAGCATGTCGTCGGATTTCTTGTCCGACATGGTTGCCCCTGGATAGACGGGAAAATGAGAGGATACCGGACAATAAAGGCTCAGGCTCGAACACGGGCGTAGCGAGCACGTCGGAGGAGGTGAAGCGAGTGGACGAAGTGAACAGAGAGCGAGAGACGGTGAGATGCGTAATTGGCAGCGAAAAGATGAGTGAAGGTTGCGAACCGTGGGAGACAAGGTTCTGACCGTGTACGATGATCATAGGGAGGTACGCGATGGAAAGGGATAAAACTTTGCCACATCTAAATTTAGCCACAGCCACAGCCACAGCCGCACTTGCGTGGCTACAGACTTTTGCCTGTATACCTAGGTACTTGTAGGGTAGGTAGGTAATTAACTAAAACTTTTTCCAAGTAAAGCTATTCTGATATTATATTTGTGTGCCTCTTCTTTATTATTATATTATATTATAAAATTAGACTTGTAGCTCGAGGCGTGACTTTATTTTTGCTTCCCCGAGCTCATGCGGTATTAGGGTTCTTTGGACCTGCAACTGGATGTGGTCCTGAGCCTTTTGCCTTCGATGACGATGGTATAACAGTCACAAAGAGCATGTTACTACGTCCATATGACCACAGCTACCCAGTAGTCAATACCACAGGACATGATAATTACTAGTCAAATCAGTCACATAACGCATTTCGCTAAAATGCGGCAGCCTCCAAATCCAAGCCGTACATGCCACTCCCGATATGTTCGTCTATACTCTTATTTGGTATATCTCGTTCAAAGCCTCCGGCTCAACTAATTGAATTGCAAAGTTGATAAAAGAACGGCACAACCCGCCAAAATTAATAGAAGAAGCGCACAACGGCCTCACTGGGGAACCACTGGTGGATAATCTTGGTTGTGCCGGCTATTCTGTATTGCCTATGGTATACCGTACGTAGCAACGAGACCAACTAGGCCATTCGCATTAAATGAATTTCCAAGGCCCTTGGGTGCGTTTTTGGGAATTTAATGCGTCAGAGAAGGCAAGTCATTTTGGTGCGCAGTTGCTCGGATATAGCACGAACAGGAGTAGCAGAGCAGCCACGCGACGGAGGCTTTGCCTCAACCATCAGCCAAGTACTGAACTACTATGGAAACGCGCCATTCGGCTTTCCGCTCATTTTCAAAGAAACCATTCCACAGATATTACAATCAACTCTTTGATCAAAAAGGCATCTTTGATAGCCGTGGAGCGCCTTATTTTCTGAATGCTGCATGAAGTTGCATCCTAGCTGAGCCTCTGACGGGTCATTGTTTACAAACTTGAGGCTTGCTGTATCCGATGGTACGAAAGTAATTATGCTGTATGAGACATCTATTCTTGAGCACCTTCTTATCAGAGGCCTCAGAGAGAAAGAGGAGAGTGAGAGAAAGGGAAATACAAAACAGAAAGTGACGAAAAAAGAGAAAAAGGAAAAAAAGAAGGGAGGCAGAGTAAACTCAAGAGAGAGACAAAGGGCCACACTTATAATCTGGATATCGGTGGTACTCGGGCAAGGGCCACTATCGCTGGATCTTTTTGCTCCATGGCTCAAATGCCAAACCCGATAACCGTCGGGGCACTTCTCGCCTCGACCATGGTGATGCGCAGTGGATCCATCTCCACTAACCTGAGCCGCCACGGCTGTAGATGATCAAGTGTTGGCATGTCTCGACCCTCAAGCTGAGAGGTAATATTGGAGGGCTCAAGGGACGGGTCCGTCGCCGCCGCCGCCGCGGACTCCGCTCCGGGCAGATCGGGCCTCCCGGCCGTCCCTGTTGCCAAGTAGCACTACTGGGATATCTTGCAGGGGCGCATGCCAATTAGTATTAAGGATATGTGGACCAATATTAGAAGGGGAGGCTGTGCTAGTTGTTGGCGAACAGAGACTTCCTCGGAGACACTTTTGCACTTGCACATCGCTTCCCCTGATTATGTGCTAGACTATCATGGCTCACAAGCCACCGTGACATCACAAACTATGGCATCGTTACGGACCGACTGGTCTCAGCTATGTAGTTGTCTGTCTTGTGAAAACTCCCTAGTGTTTAATGGCAAATGTCATATTTTACTGTAGTACTATATTTGCAAGTCTCCCCTAGATAGTATCAAGATGAAAGTGAGGGATTTATGGCATAGCAAACGACAGGTTCTTGAACAGAACTCCTATTGATAAAACTATAGTTCTGAAGAAAACGGCACGAAATTGTTCCCGAGCCCAACTAGATGACAAATGTAACAGCTGTAATGAATGCTTGGCCCACGGATCGACTCCCAGTCTTTGGGTGGTAAAATCACGCCCTGCAGCCCACTGATCCAACGTGCAAAGGCCGGCGTAGAATTTGGCCAAGTTGCGGTTTCCGCTCATGGTTGCATGGAGTCATGGCCACTGCGCCTCAAATAGTCCCGGGCATGGATGAGCATCAGCACCCTTGAGGCCGGCCTCCTCCCCAGGTCACGGACACTTCAACCTTGCCGTACTCTCCGTCAACTACCTTTTTTTCCGAGCCCGACAGCCGTGGACGAAATTCTGCGATTCCGTACGCTATCTGGTCGTTGGGGGACCAGTCGGCGTCATGGTCCCACAGATCAACATGAATCTTGAGGGTATCAAGCATCGGCACGGCCATGATAGCCCGCGACAACGGGATAGCTGTACCAGGGTATATCTCCATGCTATCGCCGCTCTCTCTGTTAAACAGGTCGCGCTGGACAAAGCGGCTAGATGTTCTAATTCTCCCAAAGACGTCGGCGGGCTCCTCTCCGTCTCCGTCGAGCATGATTACCTGGACGACGGCCTGTGCAGCACTGCTCATCACGACATAATCCACCGTCGCCTTGCCGTATTCGCCGTCGACCTCTGTCTGAATAGGCGTGTCGTACTCGTTGGCCGGGTCGTAGACTTTCCACGCAATTTGGCCGCGGCTCACCTCGTCGTGCGGAGACGCGTCCCTGTCTCTGTCCCAGAGATCCAGGTCGATGACGAAATTCCCATCCGCCGCAAGAGGCCGCGATGTGCGCAACGTGATTTGGTCTCGCGGCTCGACGGACACGGAATCATCCTTCTCAACACTGTAGATTACTTGGCGGCCCGAGTCGTCGGTGGCGTGGATGCTGCCGAAGAGGTCGCCTGGATTCTCGCCGTCGATGTTGTTTATCATGACCCACAGGATCTCGGCCAACGGGCGAGGCTTGGCGATGCAGGCGTCCGGCTTGGCTACTTCGATGACCGGTGGCCGTTCAATCTGAGTTTCTGGGCTTGTGTTGTCGCAACGAATGGAGCTAATCATGTTGTTGAAACGACCCTCGTCGAACTCGTCTAAATGATCGTTGCCCGGAAAAGAGGATTGAAAGGAGGCACCGGCGCAATTATAATCACTGACAGGTTATTAGTTTCTGCATGATTCGTGAAAATAGCCGGGACGCCATCGTTCGACTGTCCTGAAAGGTCTGGTCTTACTGGAAGAACTGGCAGATACCAGCGGATGCGCTGAGAAGAATAGTTGACGCTCTGTCATTCCATTCCAAAGGGACACCAACTATTGACATGTTTCGATTAGCCAAAATCAACTGGTGACTAGGTAAACAGCCAGCCTCACGGGCCGGTTACGCCATCAATAGTTGCAGCCGAAGGGAACATACCGCAAGATTGGGGAGGTGTCTGTATAGTAAGGCATTCTCCGCCGGATCGTGGCTCGTCGCAAATTTTCACAGTAGCTTCCTTATTTTCCGCCTTGTCCTTGACTGCAGTAGCAAGCCTACCGCAGGCATTACTACCGAGGTTGCCTATACTGGGTTAGATCAGGTACAGCTTCGTCGAACAGACGGACATACTGGTTGTATCACGGCTGTCTACTTTGTGCCATGGAATCGATCTTTTCAACTCATCGTGGTGCCATGACACGACAACTGCTGCCAGTGCCATGGCACACTGCGCCGCGCTTGCAGCACCCTGGCCCAAGGCTGTTCGTAGATGAGCTGGGATCTCAACCGCAGACCAGTCGAGGCTGCTGAGCGTGGTCTGATCTGCTGCCTCTGTTCGGGGTCCATATTCTCTGATGAACTGCCTCAGGTTGCTGGCTACCGACTGTCCTATATAGGCCTCCCAGGCTCCATGGCGTCCCTCTACAGGATTCTCAAGCCCAGCAAGTTGCGGCTGGGCGCCGCTAGGGTCTGTTGAATCTGGACGAAAGTCGGCATTCCGGTTGAAGCGACCCAACTGGCTGACAGGATCCTCTGCGCCAAGAATACGGTTTAGATCGGCAGCACGTACCTCGTACCAGCCCATGATCTGGTTCCAAGGGATCCCTTGAACGACAGCTTGCTCTTGTTGCTCTGGGTAGGGAGAAATATTCTCCAAGGACAAGTTCACATCGACCATGGCCCAGTTTGTACGGATCCGGTAGAGATAGCCAACCTCTTGTGCGTGCCGCGGCGAGGGCCGGACAGCAAAGGTGATGGCACCAAGGAGCGATGTACTCGTCGAAACATATTGCGTGACGTCTCTCGTTCTACCTGGGTTGGTGGTGTGCGTCCAGAGACCGCTTCCTGCTTCAAGCTGCTCGGGGCTGAGTTGATCAATGATCTGAAAGCCTCGTGCCCACATCCCACCAGCTCGTTGAACGTCGGCGGGAGACCTGCCCGGTTCACCGTCGCGAGTTTTGCCTGTTTCACCACGCCATACAAACGGTGGCTTTCCGGGAGCTCTAGCTCTTATACCTCCGGGCGTCGCTGGTGGAGGCGCCCCTTGGACATGACAAAAGAAGAAGAAGATGGCCGCTAAAAGAAGCGATAAAGCGTTTTGGCCGTTCATTTTGGCTCAATATTTATGAAGACTAGCCTTTGTCTCTGTGATGGGCAATAGAAAACTTGGGAAACGACGTATACTTGAATATATATGTTTCTATCTACAACGGATCAAATGCTGCTCACGGACTGACCACAATGTGGCTTCTCGTTGACAGAAAGATTCCATGACCATTTTCGAAGTTATTGATTCGTCCATACAGGTTATCACTCCCTTCCAAGAGGAGGCTACGCCCGACTCATTGGGATGCCTGTGGTTTATTATGACTTGATACATATAAAACTGAATAGCCCCGGTCTTGGTGGAATAGATTTGTCCATGTTTACAACTACTCGAAGGATAAATCAGCTCATATACATTGTGATATAGTAAACCAAGTTACTACAAGCCCTCTTCTGTATCGAGTGACGATATTCTCCTGACATATAGACACCTTCTGACGGGTTTATATCGGATATCTCAAGTGCCGGACGCCTTGGTGGAGTTGCCATGATAAGGGCCAGACACTCATTGAAGATACTCCATAGCAGAGTATCTAATACCTCTATCTACGTGCAAGTTGTCAGCAATGACTTGTATTATCTATCCGGGCAGTGCACAATTACACTAACCTATTCTTGATTCGTAAAATCACTCCTTGTATAGGCAGTGGACTCGGTACGGGGCACCCGGAGGGGCTGGCGCATGATATTAATCTCCGAAAAGCCGCAGGGCTGATATATGTGGATAGTACAAAACTGCAAGGATCATGTTGTGATGGTGCTGTGTTGACGGATGTTCTTCGGTTGGAGATTTTTCAAACATTTCCAACTGCTTGGCACAGCAAAGTATTCCTTACTGTTAGCCATCTACATTCTTGCCAGGTTCGTGTCATTGTTCACCCCCTTGGACTTGTGACTTGACTTGAGTGCTGGTTGTGTTTCAATCATAACTGGAGTAGAACCTTACAACGGATGGAAGTAATAGAGGAAAGCACTGGCGCAGAGCGGCTTAAGCTGGCTGGCAATAGATCATGGTTGGTACTTCAGGACTGTTACACAAGCAAACATGCTGTTTGTCTCTGTCTGGCAAAATTGACAACAATCACCAACAAGGGCAAAGCTCACCTGTCTAATCGGGCCGCCTCCCTAGTTGCCGAAAAAATGCGGCGATTTAATGAGTCCTATAGTATAGATCATAGGCATTGGCGTAACTCAATATGACTTACTCAATTAGCCCGGTGATGGGTATTATAGAAGATCATGTCAGCTATTAAGCTATTGCCACGAACCCCCGACACCGGTATCAAACGAAAAGAAAAACTTATTCATCCATACACCCAGCTCACAGCAGGTCCATGATAGAGCCGGACCCAATACGTATTCCATAGCGGGTCACGCCAAGCTCTTGTGTCGGCGACTTTATATGCAACCAGCACGGCGAGGTAACGTAGAATACAGCTATTATAACCCAGGTTGATCTCTCACCCGCTCACCGGCGCTTGTGATACGTCGCGTTGACGACCATATCTGTGGCCTTTATCCTGTCAATAGCATTCTCAACGAATATCTTCTAACATCTCGGAGAATCTTGTAGTATCGCAAGGCACAATCAAGAGCCTCACGCCATCAAGGTTATTCAATGACTCAAACCTGGCCCAACCAAGATGCCAAAATTGACAAAGCGCAACGGGGCGCTATTATTGCGTGAAAATAATAGCTAGAAAGGGAATCTGTTGGGCCTGTTGGAAGTTTTGGAAATTTATAAAAAAACTCAAATTTCTACAGAGAAACATAGAAAACAAGGAGAAGTCTATATTGAGTTCGATCCATAGCTATCAATAGTGACACATTTCAGCGGTGATAAGGACTCAGTACAGAGCTCAGAGCAATAGCTCATTGTGCTAGCTACAGCCTTGGTATAAGATCCTGGGGTTTCCAAAGGCCTATATAAGCCAAAGAGCTCTATTCACACAAGTCAATAAAAGCCTTATGCCCTAGGTCTCGTGATCATAGCCCTTTGACGAAACTATGACCAGAGTGTGGTACCTACATTTAAACAATCGACTCTAGTGTTCGAAATGAAGGAGCCACGTGTAAATAACTGAGCACAGGGCCCGTTGCCAGTCTTTGTTTCTGGCATGTTCTTTCCCGGTATTGGCATCGGGTTAGGGTTAGGCTACACTGGCGTCCAAGTTATAGTGTCGCTGCAGCACGCAGCTTTGTCCATGTCCATTCGGCTTGCAGTTGTTATCCGACGAGAATGAATGCCCGGTTCACCTGCTGTTAGCGTCAAAGAACGTTCGGTCCCCTTTCTTGCTATAGCACCACATGGCGTTGTGAACCCGTTCCCGTTCTTGCACACGTCGTCTTTGCCGGAGCAGCTATTACACTGCTTTCTAAAACCGCAACTTATTTTAGCATTTTCTTTAAGACTTCACTCTAATTTCATAGAACCCCCCAATCACTGTGTTTAGAAGATGGTGTACGGCCCCTTGCAGACGCAGACGGGCTCTTTGGTGCATAAACCTGGCTGGGGAGGCAGTAGGTGAATAGTCGGCAGTCTACTGATGTGGATATCTTTCGAATCGTAGCAAGAAACTTTCTCCTTGGTAGTTGCCAAAGTCGCGAGAAACGGACCGGACACGTCACGGCTACGCGACAGGCCCCCTTCCCGCCCTGCCGTTACAACATGTAGATGATGTTGTTTCCGCATCATCTGATGGGTCTATGGTTCCAGTGAGATCGGAAAGGGGTTAGTAGCTACAGGTAATGCAGGCGGCACAGCCCCCTGAGCCGTTACATATTGGCCGATGCAACCCGAGATTTTTGGAATGCGTAAGAGTCGGAAGGCGGGGACTGGTTCATAATCATCTGGTGGCGCTCTGGTTGGATTTGCCACGTAATGCCTGTATGTTGGAGATGGTGCGCCTTCCGATCTATAGGTATCATTCGCGAATCGGTCAACAAGGCTACATATGTACTCTTATCAGGAGATACGTCAATCCCACCATACTAATCGGCCACGATATGTGCCGCCCTTGTCGCCATCCCGTTCACCTCCCGATCCATCTTCTGCAAAACCCTTTACACAACGTCTTCGGGCGGCGTTGGCCGCGGTTGTTGAGAGCAATCGGGTATATTAACAGTGTATGATCACATACTCTCTTGGCTAGCTCCGACGTGTCTTCTAGCAGATAAGTATTTGTCCTTGACATTTCCGTTCCGGACAATGAATGAACGGGGTGATCAGAGAGAGCTGTCATGATACTCAGGCGGGGGCTCGGGTTGTCACGGCAAACAAGGACGTGACTTTCCGTCTCGGGTGATAGATCCAATCATTCTTCATTCTCCTGACGGCCAAGGGAGACCTCAGCTCCCTGGACCACTTGCCTCGAACGCAAGGCACAACAGTTGCCCAGATTGAAAAACAGCTCTCAAGAGTCTGTCCTACATCCCCCACCTGTGTCGTTGAAAGCGGTTATCTTGGGAATACCCCACTTGCGGCCAACAATGTTATTATGTAACCGGTAGTTGTAGATCTTGTGGGAACTAGTTTCGGTATACCCTCATATTTATTGACTCTCCTACGGGCCTACTTTGCTATTATTCCCTTAGACCCTCCTGATTCCAAATAGCAGGCAAGAGCTTTTGGGTGTAGGTCAGCCTCGTCTCAGAATTCGACCAGATAAACTCTAACAAACGAGTCTGCCACACCACCGTTCATCTTGACTTCGTCGTCTGTCAGGGCCCGGTGACGAAGAACGACCGACTTGCTCCACTTGACCTCGATGCCGAGGGCCTTGGGCGAGTAGCACCGGTCGTCAAACATGGGAATGGTGCTGTATATCGCATATTTGCCCCCGTTTTGGGCAAACCGCCGCAGGACAGAGGCAAACACGCCGTCTCGGACGTACGAGAGGCACATCATGCACAGAAGGGCATCGGCGTTGTCGAGGGCATGGTAGAAATCCCTCGACAGTGCCCCGTTGAGGTCTTGGTTTATGACCTTGGTGAAGATGCCGGCCTGGTCATGATCAACATCTACCTATTCCTGGATTCTTTGGAAGCGGAGGGGTATATTCAGAGGTTCCATATGTATACCTTGAGGCCAAACTGGAGCGCATTCTCGCTAATGTCCACACCGGTCATGTCGAGATGGCTGACGGCCCGGGGCTGAATCGACTGAGTCCACCGAGCACCTTGCGCGTAGGCAATTGCCGTGGAGCCGTACAGGCATCCGATGTCGATGACCCTCCTGACGCCGAGGCGGAGGTTTGGTTTATTGGTGTCGATGAGCTGGGCGAACTGGTCATGGTAGTCGCCGTAGCCTAGGGGCGTCAGAGTCTTGTAGTATCCAAGTGGTGTCGGTTCGCTATAGATGTGCTGGAACGATGCCTTGTTCGGATTCAGCTCCCCGTCGCCGGATTTATCAGCAATAGCACACATGGTAGCTAGAAGATGGTGAAGAAGTAGCCACGAGGGACAATACACAACCCAGCTGCTTGGGATTTAGCTAACCTGACCTCCAAGCGGATCGAGGCTAGCAAGGACAAATGACTAGAGATGAGGGTTTGTATGAGGGAATTATGTGCCTTTTATCCTCGAGCTAGTTGTAGATGCTACCATACAAGGCATCACTATAGGGATATCGAAACGGAAGGTGTTGGGAAGAGCCATGACGTAATATCCTGCAGATACAGTATGAGGTTAGCACATATATGCAACTAAAGCGGCATACAGCTCTGTACAGCTCTGTACTGTGGGGTGTGACAAGGGCTCGGAAAGAGGGCTTGGAGCAATTTAGCTCAATTCAACTAATAACAGTCTTTGGTATCAAAGGTCCTTGGTTTTCCTCAAGGCCTTGAGGGACCGAAGCCGTCTATTTATACAAGAAGTCGGTGAGGACCTTCTGCCCTAGGTCCCGTGACCGTAGCCCTTGTGTAACCTGCGATTTCCGTGTACCATGGGGCGTAGTTGTCATTTCTAATGTATGGGTTGTAAATATATAAATAAAGAGATGATGCTGAAGCTACATTTCTTCTAGCTCTTGGTCCTGTTGCCTCAATTTCACTTTTGGTACAACTCACTAAATCCGCTCTATTGAAGAGCTGATTTCCACACGGAGTGTCACACGGAAATCGCCCTGCTACACAAGGGCTACGGTCACGGGATTAGGGCAAAAGGCCTTCACTGATTTCTTGTATCTAAAGACGTCTTTGGCGACCGAGGCCTTGAGGAAAACCAAGGACCTTTGATACCAAAGACTGTTATTAGATGAATTGAGTTATTGCTCTAAGCCTAGCCCTTGTCACACGGAGCCCATGTGCATTCTGTGGACGAAACCTCCGTGTCCTTTGTAGAGCGGAGGGGCACCAGCACCATGAATCCAAACGTTTCTATCGATCAACTCGGCTTCTTGACGAGTTGCAAAGAGGTTGGTTCCGAGGTGCATTGTGTGTTGCAGATATGTGATTTGGCCAAAGGCATGGGTGGCGGTGACATTGAGGAGTTGAAAGTTGCCGCTCTTTAAGCCGAACCATGCACGGTTGTGATTACGACGTAGTATTGACCTACAGGTTCGGCTGGTGCGTCACACACAGCGGCAACGGGAGATGTCGAATCGCTAAGAGTGCTGCTGTTGCCGTTTGGTTTAAAAACAAACGACAACTTCGACTCCGGCTCTTACCTTCCCATACCTGGAACAACGGCCTGACAAGGGCTCCAATTGCTAAGAAATCTGTCATGGGAAATACAAGGTGGTACAGTTGCTGTTCAAGTAGAGCACGTTCTTTTTATGGCGCAATTAGATGCCGTTCTGTGCCGTTGACAAGGCTCACGTGAATCCAAACGCTTTGTTACACGGAAAGGGCCCAACACATCGTGAAGCCCAACAAAGGAGCTTCGCCGACAAAGGACCTGTTAGTTACACAGATTGAACACGTGCCCGGGTAAGAGTCCTAGGCACAGACGTTCCATTTATGTATATGCAGTGGTTACTTGTCCCTCTCTTCCTCTTAGAAAACCGAGGACCTTTGACACCCTTTAGGATGACCTTTGAATCTACCTCTTTGCTTCAAGCCTTCTGCATTGAACCCTTGTCACAGGCTGGAACAATGGGCGTTGTCTTGCGGCCGACCGGCACGTGTCAGTTTACAACGATTGTTGTTTTTCTGTGAGTCAAAGGAACAGCCAGCGTGGCTTTGAGGCGTTCCTGTCTGTGCTCGGCCATCTCCTTCTGCCTTTGTTACCCGTTGGTAACAAAGTGGACTAGCCACTTAGCAAAGTGGTACCCTTAGAACTTGGCCATTGTTTCAGTTCGAGAGTAAACAAGAGATCTGCATGCATGACAATGAAGACTGTAGAGCCTGGTTTCGAATTACAGCACGTGAGGCCCGCCTGCCTTGCATGGTTTAAACACGGTTCAGCAAGTGAGCCCACAAGTCGTTATGAATTTAGCTATGAACTTGCATATTTCGAGTGCTTTCAAAGACAAACTCACGAGGTGAGCTCACAAGTATATAAGGACGGCCCCATATCCTCTGCATTTACGCGCTTCTCCAGTTTATCAGCCTGCACACTCGTTTGTTACACCCTACGTTCACGATGAAATTCTCTCATTTTCTTTCTTTCATAGCACCTCTTGCAGCTTCGGTCACGGCGTTTCCTAACCGAAGAGACGCGGAGGGGCAGATCTCGCGCCGCCAGGGACCCTCCAGCGCCTGCTTCCCATAGTAAGAGAAGTGATGCAGTTATACATAAGCCCATGGGATGAAGTTGACGTATTAAGTGCTAATCCTGGCTGCCACATACCCGCTGTTTGCCAGTGCGACAATGGTAAGTCCCCTGCGTTGAAAGACACTTGGTGTTCTTAATGTACAGTTGATGACTTACAAATGTAGGATGGATCTACATGTTCAACCGGGACAACTACAACGCTGGTGGCGGTGGCTGCGACCCCCCTTGGGCTTTCATAGCCAAGGACATACGGGGGCACCCAAAGTACCATTGCTGAGTGGGTGGATTTTGGGAGGAGAAAGATATTATATAAATTTATCTGCTGGTTCAGTGAAGCAACCAGCAACGCAACGGCGAAGTTGGAGGATGTGAATTATTAAATGGATCGTGAACTTGTATATTAGACACGCAAGAGGCCGTCTACGAAATACTGGTCATCAAGAACTTCTTGTAATAATTTACATCCATAAATAACAAATGAGGAAAAATGGGACAAAAGAAGAGGAGAGAAAATAGTCATAGACGATGGAGTCTTACTTTGACGACATGCTATTCAAGACGACTAGTCTGCCATGTATCTACCCAAATTGGACTCGATTCCTTAAACTACGGAAGAACAACTCTTGTCAAGTCCGTTCAGGTTTGCCAGAGGCTTCTATCTTGATCTTGACTAGCGTAGGCGCCCGAATAGCATTTACACCTCAGATTCGTCGAGACAATTGCGGCGTCTCCACGACGACCCCGGCTTCTTCCTCTTCTTCTTGTCTCTTTCCCGATCCTTGACACTGCCATGGTAATTAGTAAAACAACGGGGATCCTTGGGCTCTTGCACTGTCCCGTCCTCATCTACCACCGGGGTGTCATCGTCCTCCGGATCAACATCGTTCGGGTCAATCGGGACACAGGGCTTTTTGGTCTGCCTCTTTCGGGGGCGGGGAGCATCTGGCGGGTTTTGGTTCGGGATCCATTTGGTTTTTACAGCAAGACCGGAGCCATCTTTGCGGTAGATGTATACGCCTTGAATGTTTTTGGGGGGGATGGCTCCAGGCACGACAAACAAATCTGCAGTCTCGGCATCGTTGCGGTTCGTGTCGTGAAGCCAGTGGCCCTGAGGCAGACCATGCAAGGTGACTTGGTAGACGAAGCCGGTTTGCGCCTCGGATTCCTGTTGGAAAAATGACATGTCGATGGATGCTTCGTGCGACGGTGATACGAATACGTCTTCGGGTGTAGTAGCACCGGCAGCATCGTCGAGACCTGTATCGAAACCCGGTTGGAGGCCTTCTCTAAACACTACTGTAGGGTCCCGGAAGTCGCCGACGAAGAATGTGCTCGCTTTGTCTCCATCTAGTATGGGTTTGTTTGTGACGTCCCCAAGTTGGCCAATTTGGCCTTTAACCTGGCGGATGGAAGGACCTGGCGCGCCCAAGGATGCCCAAGCCGTGGCGGCATAGGTGAAGCCCACGAGGGCTATAGACTGTGGTATTTTCATCCTGCCATGCGCGACTTCGAGAAAAGAAGATGTGAGGTGTATAGAGGAATGCGAAAGCCCCAGTCTATAGGTGGCCGGAAAAGAGTTTATGTAGAGACATCGGCAAGCGGGCGCGGCGTTGCGATTCGGTCCATATCTGCCACCTCACCATGCAATACCCATATGTCATGGGTTGCGGGAATTATTGGGGCTGGTCAGGTGATAGAAGATAAATGATGGATACAACTTATGATTAAAGTAATATACTTGATATATTTGTGCGCGCAATGCTGCATTCTTGGGACTAGTATCGATTGCCGCGATATTGCCTATTTTAGCGGCAGCAGGGGAGCCCTTGCGCGCCCTGTCGTTGATCATATCGCCATGGTCTGCCTAAAGCTGACGGGCTTTCCCGTTCATCCCTTGTATTATGCTGGCGTTGCTCCGGTAAACAGTGGGTTCAATGTTGTCTTAGCATGAATGTTATCAATCATGCCGTTCTCTGCACTGCCCCGCGCACTGCCCGCTCTTTGAGGTTCAAGTTGTGGTTGCGCTCCTTGTTGCCATTTTCAACGAAGTCGGGGGCAGTAGACCCCGGGAAAGATGAATGGACCTATGAGACACGAGGTACTTCTGTCACCCCGGCCTCTTATTTCAACGGCACTGTGTAATGTTTCCAACGTTGATTTTCTTAGTCTATATAGCCCCCTGCTGTGTCGCGGGTGTTGAAACAAGACAGGGGCTGGAGCAGAAGCTCCGTCATGTCAGTTTGTCGACCCGCCGAACCATGGATGCAAAATTCACGGAGCTGTGCCTCCAATGACAAATTCTCCATCCTTATTAAACCTGGACTCGAATGGCGTCAGTAACAGGCCGTCGTGCGCCAAGTTTAAAACCCCTTTTGGGTGGCCTCGGCACTGCTTGCACTCAACCGCACAGCCATCTTCTATATCCCACACCCGCACCGACTGCGTCAACCACAACCCTTTGCAATAACACGCCACTTCAGAACTGCCTTTAATATAGTCGAATAATGGCTGACAAGTGGCTAACTACAGACGGTAAGTCTCGGCGCTCCGTGGAATGACAACGGAATCCTAGATTGCCGCGCTGACTCTGATGCCGAGTAGAAATAGAGGATAATGCAAGTGGGTAGCGCCTCAACACTCTTCCCCCTATTCTGAGCCTAGACGAACTAATTGAACGCAGGGTCGTTTATCAAGCACTACTATCAGGTGTTTGATAATGATCGGCCCGCCGTATACAAATTCTACGTGAGTGTGTGGCCCCGAATGCCGGGCCATCAACTCCTCAGCTAACCATTGCCGGCAAAGAGAGACAATTCCATGATGTTGTGGGACACCACTCCGTGTCACGGCGCCACGTCAATTGCCGAAAAGCTCACTGTATGTGTGTCAGGTGGTGTGTTCTATACGGCAGGGATGCTAACTCTTGGTGCTATAGAGTCTGCCATTGCCAAAAGTCCTGCACCACATCCAGGGATTCGACGCTATGCCGTCGAATGATGAGGGAGGCGTCTTGGTTCTTGTCAAGGGCGTCTTGTTGGTGAGTTTTGCCGCTCCTGCAACTCAACGATTGGCAACTACTGATTGATGCATAGAGGGGAGAGACAGAGCCTGCCATGAAGTTTGTTCAGTCTTTCCAGCTTCTCCCAGACGGCGATGGCTATTTTATCTTCAACGACATTTTCCGGATGCACTAAAGCGTGGGGGGAGTCTGGTGACATGAATTGAGCTGGTTTGTAAACTGATGTCAAGCTTTGAATAGCTAAAAACGGACCATGTCAAAATGAAGCCCCTCGTTCAAGACAATAGCGTTATTATTGCCTCTGCTTCTAGGCTACGCAGCAGTATTCACAAGTAATTTAGTTCAGTTAGTTGTCATATAATTGCACTTCTTGTATGTGCACTCGAGAGTCTCTTATTTGTCTACACTGCCTAAACAACCGTGCCATGTGATAAACGTGATTCGAGTTTCATCATTACTCATCCGATATACCCGTAATCAAGTCGGTCCCAGCCTTTTGGTTCACCTCTCTAGCTAATTGACCCAGGGTCGACGGTGCTTCCTTGCCCCATGCCGAGAACCAACTCTTCATGTCACTATAGCTGACAGATTGCCTCTGACTCTTTTCAAGCCACTTCTGCATGTAAAACTTGGCATCGTCAAAGTCATACGGCTTTCTTGGCTTCCCATCGGCCCCCGAGGAGACCATCTTGCCCACAAACTGCCAGTCCCACGGCGCGGCGATGAACTTGATGCCCGTTCCATCGTCATCCATCCCCTCGGCCGAGAGGACAGTGTCTTGTGCCTCGGCTTCCGACTTGTACTTTTCCCAAAGGGCGGCCTTCTTGTAAAAAAACGCCGAGATGGTATTGTCGGTCCATTTTGACGGAATCGGTTTGCACCTCTTGGCGGAACTCTGATGGGCCCATTTCCACCCGGGCTTGAGCTTGTCGAGGACTTCTTCGCCATACTTTTCGGGTTCGTTGGCGGAATACGTGGTGGCGATGTAATCGATGTCCCCAGTAGTCTGTCGGTTGCCGAGAATAACATTCACGGCACCACCCTGAACAATGAGGGTGAATGGCTCTTCACGCAAAGCCATGCTCCCGCTGGCATCCTTCATGGCCGCCAGTAGGGTCTCCTTGGTCATGGAGTCGGTCTCATCGCGACGCACAAGGGGTTTCAGGCCCGAACGGCGAGGCACAGGCTCTGCTGTTACCGCAACCGCGAGGGCCGAAACAAAAGCTTTCAAGAAACGCATAGTGGTGATTCGGCTGTGTCTAGGTTCTCCAAGGATGCTAGCAGAATGAGAGTGAGTAGAGTTCACCAACGGCAGCAGTCAAATGCAGATATAAGGCACTCCCAACCCAGCCCGGCAGATGTCACTGTGCGTGACAAAAGGTTCAGATACGGGACCCAAAATAATTTCTTCTTTTGGTTATTTATTCCAATAAACTCCGTCTTGCAGGCATCATGGGCTGCGCCCTATATTTGACAGTGTTTGGGCGGCTATGACATGGGTAACCCCTCAAGGCTTACAGGCATCCGATGTATATAATTTTCTTGCTATACCTGGCCAGGGTCAACCACGACTCGGCACTTAGACTAGTAATTGCTTGGTCCGACGGATAATTCTTTACCCAAGCACTTCTCTTTTCTTTTTTAGCTTTGATATGCTCATAGTACGTACCAGTCGTAGGGGCAAATATTTCCACCCCCGGCCATACTGGTAGGGATATAGCAGGGTATAAAACCCAGGGCAAGTTATAGTTACAGCCCAAAGATCAAATTCACTATCCATAAGTCGCCGACAGGAATCGGAGTCCTAGAGTTCCGGAACTTCTTGTCCTATAATAAGAGTGACCTGACCCACTGGCAAAGGTTTGGCTTAACGTCTTGTGATCGCCTAGTCATTTACCGATATACTTGCTTGGATGATTGTATCGCGTTGTGAGACATTCAAACTTCCTGTGGTTTTGGTTTTGTAGCACATGATCATTCCTCCCATTTCTTCCACCTGTCTCGCTAGAAGAGTTCATGTTATTCATTCAGTCTAAGAGGCCTCCCGGCTATTATTCCATAAACCTTTAGTAAATCTACTCCGGAAAACCACTTTCGGCGAATGGACTGTAATAGTGACAGGGGTCAAGGTTGCAGCATATGTACATGGAGTATACTGGAAGAGAGAACCGCAAGTTACGCAATCAATGGATACCCAGCCATAGTATACGGTTGTCCTTGTTAATAAGGCAACAAGGGCACAGGAAATTGTAAACTGCATGATATCTACGTGCACCGTGCAGTCAATAGTCCAAACTTTCTTCTTTTTTTGGCGTGATAATGGCAGAAAACTCCGCTCCAAGTCTAACGTGGCAGATGCCTCAGCCCTTTAGTAACCTGATATTGATCTCATAGTACTTATTGACGCCAGGTTAAGCGTGGGGCGTGGCGTGAGTGAAGATTATCAATCATGGTGTTGTAGAACTGACTGACTCGGACAAAGGATGAGTTTCCCATACCAATTCTGTATATTAATGCCGACTTCTCATTCCAAAATGTAGGACTCATCCCCGCCAACCATTCTTGTTTTCAGACTTTCTCCTATCAAACCAAAAAAACACCAAGGGCTAGTCGAGTTCTCCAGCCTGATCAAAATGGTTCCCGAAGTTGCACTGCTCTCCCCTCTCTTCGCCGTCCTCGCCTATGCTGCCGCTCCCCCTGCCGTTATTCCCACTCTTGCCAAATTTGACGGTTTGGCACTTGGCCGCATGGTTGAACATGTCCAAAAGGCAAAAGATGAGATAGCGCTCGTCAAGAACTTTATCGACAGCCAGCCAGACCCGTACATCGACCTTCCCTCAAAAATGTTTCCTTCCTGGGGATGCCTCAGCGACCGCGTTCAATTCAACGTTGACGAAGTCACCATCGCCATCAGTGCCCACGAGGACGCCTCAGACAACGGGCCCGTGACGATGGACATTGCGGAATCCGTCGCCACCGTCGACACCTCAACGGCTGGCTGGAGCATGGAAGACTCTACCACTTTTGGAATCGACAGCTCAGTCAACATTGGTTTCGCGGGCATCGGCGTGTCCGGGGGTGTGCATCACAGCAACACCAACTCCAACGGGCACAGCGGCGAGAACAGCAACCAAAAGGAGTACCGAAAGGAGGTGGGCAGGACTCGCGAATGCCCCAAGAACACCCACTGCTCGGTTCAGACCTGGACGTACATGGCGACGCTCAAGGGAAACTGCCCCCTTATCCCCATGGTTGACCCTGTCTGCTGGAAGCCTCGCGTTGGAAAGGAATGGTTCCCGGCCACGTTCCCTGCGTACGACGTCTTGCGGGACAACAAGCTTCTCCGGGGGAACCTTTCTCTCCCCGCCGTCCGTGGGCAAGACACCACATGGGACACCATCGGTGACATGTACTTTACCATGACGAACAAGGACGGCTCGCCTACCGGTGCAGTTCTGCCCAAGGAGTTTGCTGAGAATGTGTGGTGGGCAGACGAGGCCAAGTATAGCATCAACTACAAGTTTACCACGCCGTGCACAATCAGCGCTCCTATCACGGATAGTCAGGGGAACCCCAGAAGAACCCAGGTTAATCTCAAGGTTGAGCATGGCAAGTTTGTGCGGGATGAGGTCCAGGAGCCTACGGGTTACAACTTTACCGTCATTGATGTCCTTGAGAGCGCCTTTGATTAAAGAGTGCATCTACTTGGTTTGACTCTGTTAAACACGCAGACTCGGTGTCTGCAGCATTACTATTGTCTGGTTATGGGATTTGTCGAGATTTTTGTGTGTTGATCATCCTCCAGAGTTCAATCTTTTTGATCATCTTTAGGCCATTGGCGATAGACAATCTATTAGATAGATTTAAAACATTATGGTTTAATGATTACGGTTTGCCTTTGTCCTACCAGACATCTTACGTATACCTATATTTGAAGCATAGCTGTTGTGCGTTTGTCGTAGCCTATACAGGGTCCCTTGTATGTGTATACATGGAAAAGTTGTTACGCGCATTGTACTTTATATTGTAACGAGATACAAGACCATCATAGAAATGTAGGTGTATTTCTCATACTACTTACTTAACCAAGTATTTTCCCCATCACCGGTAGAGATGCCGCCTGTAATGTAATGTTCAGCTGTCTCACCGTACTCTCCCACTGACCCCAGCCGGTCTGTCATCGCTTTCTTGATGTCTAATGTGGATTGTTGGTACCTTCAAAAGAGCTCACGGAATGTAATTTACAGAGCTTTGAAAATACTCAATCTATCGGGGTTGCCCTTCGCTTTCTTCCCGACATAAACGTGCTTCTGTAGTTCACTTGGCCTTGAACTTGTCCTGAATCTCTTTCTCTGTAAACTTCTGGGTATGGCTTCTTAGGAGCGCCATTCGATCTTCTATGCTCATCGACATTTGCTCCTCCCCAATGGGTATCATACACCTCGCAAGAGTGCGATAGTCCTTCATGAGCAGTCGTACTGTAATCATGAGGTAGTCAATATTGTGGAACACGAGAGCTTTTTGCACTGCGTACAGCTCCTTGCTCTTCATAAACGAGACGGGATGTTCACGCCAATGCCGACGCGGGTTTAGGTGATGAGACGTATGATAGCCATCATTGAAGCAGTACCGATTGCTCTATTTGCTCATGAAAAGTAAACAATTAGCCAGGTCCGATAGGAAATCCAGCAAGGGCGAGGGTACTAACCGGAACATCAATTAGCGTAATACTGGAGCGATAGTCAGAGCTGGGTTCGTCATGATCTACAAAGGCATGCTGACCCCAGTTGCCCAGCATTAGGCCAGAGCGGAGCAGCAGCAACGGGAGCAGGAATACGGTAAAAGTTGCCTTTGGGTTATACTGATATAGCGTATAGAGCGTTGTGTACCAGCTCAGCTCCCAAAAAGCAGCCTTTATCGCGAAGGCTGGCCACCCCTTCCTTATGAAGTAGAGGGGCAGGTCAAGCCAGATTAAGAAGAAGAACCGCGCGGTATAATGCAGGAAATGCAAGACATTATCGCGCTGGTATCTGATGGTAGATGAGAGGTCGTCAGGCCCGTTTCCCTCGACGTGGTGATGTTTGACGTGATGATAGTAGTAGGAATTCCAGGTATGTCCCATCAACGGATCGGTAATGTACGGGAACAGCGAGTCAAGTATAGACAAGCGCTTGTTGAGAATTCCCCGCATGTGTATGTGCTGGTGCATCATGAGGGTATAGGTGCCCATGTAGCTGACTTGCATGATAAAATGAAGCAGCCCATGGACCCAGGTAAACTTCCAGAATAGAAACATGGCGCTCGGGACCGACGTGGAGAAGTACAGTAATAGATGCGTAAGCATTACCACGTCTGTCTCAACACGGACAATCGACCGGGCGACGCGGACATAGGGACGGAAAATCCAGGCGTCGATAGAAAGGGGCAGTCGAATATCACCAGTATCAACTTGGCTAAATACCGTGGGTTCAAATAGGGCATGCTTGGGGTCATTTAAGGCGGCGAGAGCGGTTATAGTCGCCGCATCTCGATGACTTTGGCCTATTACATCTGTAGTTAGCACAAATAATGCCATCTGCGACACATTCAAATACGCCAAGGTCTGTTGCTGTGCATTGTACTACCTTTCTCTTTATCACTGCCTTCTTTGTCACGGCGTCGCTGGCATTGCTCGTCACGCTCTTGATACTCTCGAATATCAGCCACCAGATTTTGAAGGACGAGAACGTCAGGCTTCGTGAGGTTAGGGTCAAAGACTACACCGTCCACGTTTTCAATGTGAGACATGGCTAACAGCTTCTGAGAAGTTGCAGAGGTTACCACAGCACGGAGGAGAGGCAGACAGAATGGATATGTGCTTGATGAAGCCGCCAAGGAGCGAACGTGAATGGGCTGCAATGTAGAGGAGAAAAGCAGAACAACAGGAAACAAGCATTGACAAAACGTCATGAATGATGGGGGATAGTGGAAAGACGCTGGAAGAGAGCGTGGCGGCTTTAATGTGCGTTTGACGTTGCACGACTTCGTTGTACACCCGTTGCAATGGCGAATGTTTACTAGACGATACGGAGAAATATCAGCATGTACTACCCGAATTTCCTCCACTTTCTTGAGTACGACTGGTAGCCTCGTTATACAACAGATAAAGGCTGCTCACCGAAAGCCACCCCCTTATTCATTGTTTGTCGTTGACTGGGTTTGGGCGGCTCTCAAGGCTTTCGTGGCGGCAAGACTTGAGTTGAAAAGGCAAGGAATGGTGTTGATTTTGCAAATGGCAAATTGTTCCACGGCGTCGTAGTATGACACAACAACTTTTCTCCTCCTCCAACTCGCTTCCCCATAGCAAACTAGCCCTGCCTCTTTCGTGACTGTGAATACCCAAAGGAGATACGTCTTCAGCTAGTCCCTTTGACCGTGGGATGGCGATTCACAGAGGCGGCTCGGTCTACCAGTGCCTGGCCAACGGCTCGGTCTACCAGTGCCTGGCCAACCTGACCGCCGCCCTCGAACTCGTCGGCCAGTTAAACGCGGCAGAGTACAACGGCGCCGCCGGCGCGCTGAGCCTGCTGCCGACGGCGGGAGCTCTCCTCGGGGCGCCGACCCGTGAGATGTGGATTGTCTATAAATTGGTACCGCTGGCCGGAGTCCTCAGCATGTTTCTCAGTCTCGGCGGCTCCATCACCCCGTCCAACGTGGGCGAGTACGACCCGGCTGAGCCCTTCTCGTACGGCGGCTTCATGCCTACGACGGGAGTCACCGCGACCAGGCACATGCTGTCTTCCTCGGCCAACTCCTTTAACGGCAGCGTGCGGCAGCTCTGCTCTACCGAGGCACAGGATGACGTGTCTGCTGCACAGAGGTTCGCCGCAGAAGTCCAGCAGAGGGCAGACGACGATAGCGGTGGCGACGTGGGACCCGGACTGTTTGTTGCCATGGCCTTGCAGTCCATCCTCGTGATAGGCTTGCTTGTGCCCATGTGGTATGCGCAGAGGGGAGCGGTCGTGACGTGGTGGTGTCGAGTATGTACCGCCCATTCCCTCTTCACATTGCCCAAGTATGTGTATACGTGTATAGAGAGAGAGAGGGACCAAACTTTGCTAACGCGGACAAATGGCGTTTGCCATAGGTCTGGGGGTGGATGTACTTTTGGTATTTGCTAGTCTCGGCAGTTTCCATCTTTGATAATCTGGTTGCCGCGCCGTTTACACGGAGCTGGACTATCCGTGTCTCGAGGAAGCCAACGGGGATCCTGCTCGACGACACCGTGCCCAAGATTACAGACCGTCGAGGAGGCAGGTATGCAAATGCACTCGAGGCTCTCAAGGCCGGGCCAAACACGAACCAACACATTCGCATTGCCACAGATAAAGGATCAGGCTACTCAAGAACATGCTTCTACGTGGTCATCTCTATACAAGGGATCTCTCGGCTACATGCCATAGCGCAGGTCCTGTCAAAGGGCGCAAGTGTGGCCGTATTCGCGTTTGGCACGGCACTATTTGCTTCGGCAACGCTCATGTCCATATCCGTTGCGCTCATGGTCCTTTGTATTTTACTAGTGTGTGGCGTTGCAGGAAGGGTCATTGCCATGTGGATTGTTGCGCAGATTAGTCGCGAGAACAAGCCGATTCTACATAAGCTGGTCAAGTCGGAGACGGAAGCTGGCGAGTTCATACATGCCATATGCGAGCTTGACCTGCAGCTTGAGATACACGGCCACGTTATCATGAGCGGCTGGTGTATAAAATCTCGAAGCGCCTTCCTGTCAGCAGCGACGTATATCGGGCTGATGGCCAAGCCGTTTAATGCCATTCAGTTGGCAGAAAAGGCCATGCGCGGCGCCGTAGTTTCTCAGGATGTGGCCGGGACAAGAGCGACGGAGTGGGGTATAGCGTGTTGACGACAGCAATGGCTTTGGGGGATAGGATGGAGCAAGTGAATATTATATAATGAGAGGATAGGGGAATACTAGGCCAAGGGGAATAGAGTAGTGTTATAACCCTAGTCGGGACAAGCATTCGTTGACAACAACATGGACACATATTGAGAGGCTCCATGGCTGGAGAGAGAGAGAGATTCAACATCACTCAATAATTACGCGTTTTGAATTTACATTATTCAATTTCCTCATATACATAATACTGGAAAATTTGACCACTTACACGCTGCATCCGACCCGCAAGCAAAAAACCCCATGTCCTCGCCCGATATGGGACGGGAGAATTAGGATGTGATAATAATGGTGCTATGTAGCTTTCGCATTCATGACTCTGGATCGACACCTTGCTATATTTATGCTTCGCAACCTAGATGTTGGGGCTATGGGCATATGACGGTAAATGTGTCTTCAATATTGCCCGATTGGGATAAAGTGGTTGGCAATTGCCAATAATATCATTGGGTCCACTTGGTACGTACAACTCCTTTGCATTTAATGACGTCGTTTGGTGTTGGTTGGTGCCCTGTATGTTGCCGTGGTGGGCAGCAGGGCACAAGCGCCTCTCGGTGACTCCAGATTTTGTGCCAATGAAAACCTACATGGACTGCCGAGAGTCGGTGGACAGCCTCAGAGGACCATTGCCTCACTCTATAAAAAGACTGAAATCTACAGGCAGTCCGAACCAAGCCAGATGCTGGTGAGGGTTGCGTCATTGTAGGAATCGTCGCGCGGCCATGTTGCAGCTAGACGGGGCCATGAGCGAGGAAGGCTCGACTCCATCTGGCGGCCGTGAGTGTATGAGAGACAGACTCGTTTACATAAAACACGGCGTTTACAGGATATGAGTCGCATTCCATAAGCATGGCCGAACCAGATACCACGACACATGGGGATGTAAAACGGGGCGGCCGGCGCGAGTTCCAGACTTAGATCCTGAGTAGCGCAGGAACAGAATCGTGGACGGGGGTCGGTTTGTCCTATCCTCCATAAAAGCAGCCTAATATGTGGAAAACGCCGTCCACACGCATTCCCGTGGCCATCTTTCCAATGGGGGTAAACGATCGACCGCTGGTATCAACAGGGTGCTTGACCAGATCGCACAATCACCCGGGGGAGCCTTCCAAACTCCATTTCCTTTTAGTAAATCTCATGTCAAATATGGAAATACCCATACCTAGGGACAACGTGCTGCATTTGTGGCTCTCCAGTAAGCCCATCTTCACTCGAACCGCCCTCATAGTTGGCAGCAAATCTTGTCAATGACCTACGCACAGATCTGGCATATGGAAACTTCTCACGGAAAGTACGTCGTGCACCATCCGTGGTGGATGGCTCTTCACACCGGTTCAGCCCGATATGTCTAGGCAATGCTTCTCTTCTTTTCGTCCACGTTTTCGCCCGCTCGGCCATTGGCCATCATCGGCGTAGACACTCTACTTCGTGTAATTGGGAAGCCATATATCAATACCGCAATTCGCTTATAGCGTGGTTTAACTTGATTGGAATTGGGTTTCCCCGTCCCAATACAGAAAGAACCTAACTCGTGCCGTGCGCTCGTTCGGTATTCCTACACCAACTCGAGTGAGTCTACCAATGGCCTACAATGGAAGTCGTAGAGATTGTGTCATGCACGAGTTGCGCAGGATGACTTAGATACTTCAATCGGGCGATGTCTAAAGGCCGCGTAGAGATCTGCAGGGGCACATATATGCCGGCGAGACTGCCAAAGCGCTCCATGGTTTTTGCTACCAACTCCAAGATATCCCGCCAAGGGTTTAGTCAAACGGCTCACGTGAGCCACTTGGAACCAACTCCGAAATGAACAGAAGTACGGCCAAGACATGTCAGGCTCTCACTGTCTCCTCTACTTCTCGATGATTCACATCGCCCACGTCCATACCCAGGGAGCATCTCCAACAGGTGGTCTGCTTTGCCACACCATCAACTATCGAGTTCCCCGGCCGAGCTCTTGTTGTCTCATCTCCCATTCGAACCTCATGAATCAGGACTTGGGCCATGAAACCCCCGCCTTTCTTACCTGCCAGGGCGCCTAAATATCCTGACTGTCCTGCCCTCCCCATCAACTTGTCCAAGACCGATTTGGAACTCTCTTAATTCTCTCGCCTCGATCGGCAAAACACCAGCTGCATCACCCACGCCGCCCAGATCGCCAGCCGCAGGCGCTCCAGGGCCTTGTTGAATCAGCGGCATGTCCATATTGGCGCCGTTTGCGGCCGTCAAGTCGTTCTCGCCAAGATTCACAGGGTACAGCTCCTCCATCTCCTCCCCGTTATTTCCATGGCCTTGGGCATTGTGAACAGCAGCACTTGGCTGTGGTAAGCGGGCTCTATATGCGTGCCCGCGCACCGCGAGCAGCGCCCACTCAAGCACATCCTGTGGAACCGTCTCGATTTCCCGCACGTCGTCCTCGGGCAAGTTCCCCTTCAGAATTCTATACCAAAGGAACAAGGTGAGAAACGCGAGCAAGGAAAGGAGGGAAAGCGCCAGTACAAGCAGAAATAATGCAATCATGGTTGGCGGCACGTACGCCGCGGGCTTGACGCACCCCTGCGTCCGGTCTTGTCGGACCCCCGGCGTTGCAAGCAGGTAGTTGCGTCCTCCGGAGATCATGACCATGGTGTTGAGCAGCATGGCCAGCTGATCGGCCACGTTGTTAACAGCAGGCGTGTTGGTGCCCCAATACATCAAGCCCTGAAACGTGGGCGCCCAGATCTTGAGGTCGTAAACGGAGGCCATGCTTTGGGCCGTGTTTGTCGCCCCGGGCGCATTCATGATACATTTGAGGGCCTCGAGCTGTACCGGCTCGTCTGGTTCCCAGTTCTTCTGGACGGCAGCCAGCACACCCCAGTCTGATCCGTCAGAGTTGGCGGCGGCTGAGGTGCTCCATACAACGAGGTGGTTAGTGTTGGATCCTGCGCCGGTGTTGCCGCTGTACTCATCGAACCAGTTCGTGTGAAGCATCTTCTTGGATACCAGGTCGTTGATGATGGTCACGTTTGAAGTCCCCGCCGGAAGAGTAAGCGACGCCGTCGTCTCGCACTTCCACGAGCCGATGATGTCCTTGTCATCGGGGCAGAACGATGGGTCGAGGTTGACTTTTTTGTATATTCCGTAGGGGCAGGTATTGTTGACGGCAAAGATCTGCGCATTCTGTAACACGGCTACCGGTCTCCCGTTGACTTGCGAATAGACGTTGGGCACGGAGTCGTTGAAAATGAGGCCCTGGCCGAACCAGCACCTGTCCTTTACGGGCTTGCTGACAACGAGGTAGGCAGTCAGCACGTCGGCCGCCTTTCCCAAGAGAAACAGGAGCAGCAGTATGGAGAATCCCACAGTGCCGCCTGCGAGCCTGCGAAGCCGGAACGAGGTGAGCACAAGGTCGAGGCCGTCTAGCGAGCCGATGGCGCTCGTGGCAGAAACCGTACGGTGGCGGGCGACGATGATTTTGGCTAATATATGCAAAGCTATCTTGGAGATCCACGCGGTGGCAGCTATGAAGACGATGAAGTATACTCGCAAGAGGACGCGGACCGTCGCAGTAGACATAACAGTGATGATCATGATGAATGGGTTGGAGAGTATACGGCGTTAATCGAGGGCAAGAGATGCCCTGACCAGAGCATAGCTCTCCATATTCCGTCGTTGTATAAATACGTCTTCAAGCCTTGCCAGGCTCTTCCCATTGTAGAGCACGCGTACACGAACTGATAGTTCGCATGGCTAGACAGCACACATTCAGGCACTCAATCTTTGGCGTTGTGGCTTCTCGTAGCTGTACGCCTCGGGCCACCCACCCCTTTCAGCTCCTATCCAGCCTCAGAATACGGCCTGTCTCGGGTGGTCTTGTAAGCCAATCACCCCTCGCGGGCCGCATCAGCTTGCGCGTGAAAGCACTCGTTTCTGTGCGGTGGGCGGTAAGACGGGACGGTGCGCAGCGGCAAATACGTGCCGAACTCGCTTTTTGCGAGGCCATCACCAGGCAGCGGGGCAAGAAGTGACGTCGTGACGCTCTGTCATCTTCTCTTGCGGGCGAGGCTGATAGTTCCCGTGGCAATTGTGTTGCGTCACCCAGCCGCCATTCCCAGCATCTGTTTTCCTTTGGTACGACGCGACCGGGAGTGGCCCACGGGCGACGTGTGGCGATCGACCCTAACCCTAACCACGTGGCTCCTTCGAATCCCGACTTTGTTTCGTTTTCTCTCTTCAAGACTTGAATCGCGACCTTGACGTGTAGGAACCCCAGGCCGGCAGAGCACGGTGCGAGTCCTCAGTCGACATTGGGTGTAAATTCTCCCTCTGGCCCGATCTGAGCATGTCTTGTCTCTCACGGTACGGACTGCAGAGTACCAGACATATTGTGCAACAGTCGTTTGCCCATACTCCGTACTCCGTACATCCCGGATTTGATCTTTGTACACATCGCAAGGCATCAATTACCATGTACGTATTTTTTCTTTTTTTTCGCTCAATTGCCGATCTGGTTCAAAGCCTTGCTCGTGGTGGCTCGGATGTTTCCGAAACTAAGTCGCCCACGTGTCCATTCCAAAGCTCAAGCCATCTTGACATGTCGACATTTGACAGGGCACGTGTGGGCCCAGGTTCGACGACAATCCATGATGCATGCATTCATCGCCCAACTTCCAGTGTCGCCCCATGACCCCCAGTGTGGACAGTGTGGGTTAATACAATCCATGTGTCATGATTCTTTCTTCTTCGTTCACTGCTTTTGACGGCTTCCAGCCGAAACCGCATTAAGCTTAAGCTGCGGGCATGCGAACGGAGCCATTCCCATCCACCAGCATCCCCCGACTCGCACGAATACCACCAAGGTCACGGCCGCGTTCGTCTTTTCGCCTGCGCGTATTCGTACATCTCGTCAGGGCGACAAATCCCTCTGCTATCCCTACAAAGAACGCCCCTGTACCAGCCAACATGACAGTACGTACGTGGCGGTAGTCCATCTATTGCGGTTAATATCAGCGCTCAATTCGCACGGGGAAACGCGCTTGGGAAAATAGAAGGTAAATTGTATAGAATGTCGTACGACATGGTATATTAGGTGGCCAATTGGGCCGCAACTGACGCTGTCTAGCTAGTCGACATAAGACTGCATGTTATGAACCGAATCCCCAAGACAGTTTGGCATTAAACAAAAAAACACAGCCCATGTATTACCAAAAGACGTGTTTCAAAAAAAAAATCTTTTCCCGTTATGTTACATAAAACCCTTTACTCGACACCGATTGCATCTTGAATCGGGACAGCATGAACGTCCATCCAAACAGTCATCTAGCATGCGAGCAAAATATGTTCCTGCGTCATCAAAGTGCAGCTTCCTAAATTGACTTGGCAATTTACAGAAGAGCGGCGGCAACAGCCATGACGAGGGCACCAGCGGGAGCCAGGAAAGAGGCACCGGCGGTGACGGGAGGGGGGTTGCCGCCAGTGGTACCATTGCCCGAGGGGGCAGCAGAGGTGGGAGCCAGAGTGGTGGCAGGGGCAGAGGCAGAGGCAGAGGCAGAGCTGTGTCCACCAGTTGCGGCAGCAGTGGTGGGAGCGGCGGCAGAGGTCTGCGAAGAGCCGCCAGTCTTGGAGCTGGAGCCGCCAGGGCTGCCAGAGTCCTTGCAGTTGCTCTCGGAGAAGTCGTCCTGAGCCTGGTCAAGGACCTTGGTCAGTCCGGCGGCGAGACTTTGGGCAATGGTCTGGGCATCCTTGGGGACCTTGGCGACAACCGACTTGATGAGAGCCTGGGAGTTGTCGTTGATATCCTTGAGCTCAGTGCGAACGGTGCCGCAAGCGCCAGCCTTCTCAACATCAGAGCGCTTGGCCTTGAAATTGTCGGCCAGGGACTGGCCCTTCTTGGTCAAGGCCTGGACGGGGTCGGTCAAGCCCAGAGCATCGGTGAGTTGGAGGTCCGAGGAACTATCGACCTTGGACTTGCCGGACTTGATGGTAGAGACGAGGGCGTCAGCCTTGGACTTGACAGCATCAACATCTCCGTTGAAACCGCTGGCAGCGGAGTTAAGACCATCAATGCCACCTCCGACAGAGGTGAGGACACCCTGGATAACGGTGATCTGGGCGTAGGTGCCGGTGGCGGCAGCCAAGACAACAGCGTTGGAGAACTTCATTTTGTCGGTTCAAGATGGAGTAGACTTCTTGTTGTAAGAACGAGTGTAAGTCGACCGGGACAGAAACGATTGTGGTTTTGTTACGGCTGAAAACAGAAGGGCAGGTTGAAGGGAAGAGGATCAGGTTATCTGTGGGAGGAAGGGGAGTGTGAGTTTATACCTTTTTCCTCCGTCCCCTGAGGCGTGCTGCGCCTCTTTGGGAAAACTTCACAAGCTCCAAGACGAATGCTCAATCCCATGTCCCAAGTGCGACCCTGCCGAGGCTCCCGCTCGAGAACAGTGAAAATAACAAGGACCTGTCTGGGGCAACCCTGGGGAGGGGGGTGTTCGAACCCATGTAGATCTAGTGAAGTCTACAGCAACCTGACCCAAGGATGGCTCTTGAGAGAAGGTTTACGGGGAGTCAAATCAAGTATTGCAACTACTGTATGTACATGTTACTGTACACCCCATCCACCCCGTCCCACGATACAAAGCACGGAATACTACTACTAGCGTATAAAACCCACCCCCAGGTAATAGCGCACTTCTTGTTCCGCTGGTGGAGCAAAGATGGTGTGTGTGGATACTATACGGCCTCTTCTACCACCATCACGGCTCCTTCAACAGTACCTACCATGTTCATGCCCAGTGCTCAAGTTGGCAACAGGAGGGAGGGGAATCACGGCACCGGGTTGGCCAGGTCCTCCATATTATGGCGCAACAGCTTGTGTCCAATGAGGGACCACGGGCCGAGGGTTGTGGGAGCACGACATGTCTTCGAAAGTTCGAATCGACGTCCACCATGCACCCGGGATGCTGGCGATATTGCTGTGGGCAATCTTGCTTGGACCCGGATGGCGGCAAAGACCGTCACTGGAACTGTGTTGGTGGCACCATCAGTTGCACAAGGGTGGATCCTGTTCTCGAGTGGCTTGCATGTAGTATTCATTACTGGTGCAGGTGAATAAAGAGGTATAGCAGGCATACCAATTAGGATTCGCCAGTCTACTGCCAGGCTTTGATCTCCCAAGCCAGCCGCCCTGGTACCTAGCTCAAGGTTGCCACGGCTCGGAAACTGCTTCTTCGTCTGGGGCAACCGGCCGATGCAGCTGCGAAATGCTGCAAGGCGTGCTCGAGGAACCCGTACCCCTGGCTATCCGGCAAACCTGGCTATTTTCAGTGACGGCTTGATGTGGCATTCCCAACTTGGATTTCCGTGTCGTCTACTAATTTAAAAGCTTGTGCTTTGTCCTTTGTGGCGGTGTATGTAAGAAGTTTTCGATTTGGCCTTGACTACGGAGTAGCGATGAGGAATATCCATTGTTGAATGTACGGAGTATGTACATAAATAGGAGAGACATTCCACATGGGCTTGCAGACTGCCACAAGCGAAGAAGATCTCAGTTGCACATGAGTCACTAGCATGAGCACGGAGTAGAACCACTTTGTGTACAATGTGTTTGGAGTACAACACCAATAACACCCACGTAAACAAAAGAGTGGCAATTTTGTGTCTCTGCGGAGTACGGAGGAGATGGCAATACAGCCACTACACACGCGGTGCAGGCATCGCGAACGTAATGGTGCATATCCAACCACCTCCAGAGAACTACTCGGTGCCAATGTATTGGCCGTTGGTGTAGCTATTGCTCGAGTGGTTGTGCCATTTCCAGACGGGTGGCTGGTAGGTGCTGTGCTGCTGTGCTGTGCTGTGCATGTGGATGGTGGACACCAGGCTGTCATATCCCACTGTCGATCGATTGCCCCAGGTTCAAGTCGCGCTGTCAGCATTTGGGGAGGGGATGTCCATTTTTGGCATATGGTCCGGGGCCGAGATCCACCAAGGATAGGAGGCCAGCAGCCCTCGCTTGGTCAAGGAAAAAATTATCCTGTCCAAGTGCGTTGAGACCGCCACCCCAGCCATGATCCCTGTTTCCTGTCAACCCCCGCATTCTCCGATGACTTGACGATTGCGACAACTCTGATTTGGTCGTTGCGTCTTGTGAACCTGGTCCCTCCACTAGCATCGAAACCTAACCCTGCCCAGACGGGGCACAGACGGGGGCAAAGTCGGAGAAGAAGCAGAAGGAAGAGAATGGTAGCATCGGGCGAGGTCTGAGAAAAAGGGGTTGGGACAATGCTAGCCACTGGCAGAATGCCATGAATTAACTTTGTTGCGGGTGTGATGACGGGGACGGCTGAAGATGAGCAGGCACAGCTTCCGAGAATCGACAAGTTTTGTACGCCAGGATATGTTTTGCGGGGGATGGCGTCGAGTCGATGAGTGGTTGGAGAAGAAATGGGTGGGAGACATGGAGACTGGAAGCTCGGTTCAAGTGGCACGGCCAAGTGGGGCGGTCATGAGAGGCGCCCAGAAGCCTTGCTCCTCGACTCGATTCAACGGCTGGCGCATCACAGATACTGTGAGCTTTTCCTTTGCTCCAGCTCCATGCCACGGCCCTTGTTGTTTCCACTCATGATTCCTCCAGCGGCCCAGGGTACTTTTCTGCCCCTTCTCTTGCCCCAGGATCGGCCAATCGCCGGCTCAAGTGCAATTAGGAAGGATCGCCATCAAATTACGGTTATGCAACCAAAGGGTATCATGGTGTTGAATGTTCTGGTGAGCGCTGGTCTAGTGACTCTAGTCCATTGGGAACGTGTTGGGCGCGTGGGTAGTGGAAGTAGGAGAAGGAGAACAAAACGCCGAGTTAGTGTCTGTTCGAGAGTTGATGATGGCCAGGATGGAGACGGTCCCATCTCTTGGGGTGCACGCACGGAGTACGGAATAGATTATCGATGATGCAAGCTCAAGCGATGGCGTGCCCAAGGGCGACCAGAGGCCAACATGTCATTGATGATGGCGGTGATGCAGTGCGCTCTAAGAGGCCGAGTTGGTTCTAAAGTTCCAAGGCTGGCCAAGTGTTGGTTCGGACATGGAGTGCAAGAAAAGAGAGCCGAGTCCCACAAGGTCACGGAGCAGAGATAGTCGGTACCTTGTAATTAGTACTCCGTACTACTAGTACTAGTACCCCCCCAAACGTGACAACAGGCAGCCGCAAGCAAGCAAGGAACGGCTGGGCCGCATCGTCGTCGCTTGTCGTCAAAATGCGCCACGCAGCAGAGCCGAAAAGGAGATCTGAAAGCGAGATGAAGGGGCGCTCAAGTTTGCCACGACGCAGAAAGCTTGTCATGCCGCCGCCATCGCTTCTGCCCGCTCCCCGGACGCAGGAAGGCTGCAGTCCCGTACCTGACTGAACAACTGGGCCTTGAAGCAATTGACGACATTGATTGGCATCAGCTTCTGTTCTTGGAGCCTGGCCCCAGCAAGCCGGACGCCGTCAAGATCCAATACGGCCCATTCCACCGCAATTCCGCCACACCATGTCTGTTGAATCATCTCGGACCAGATGCAGATTGTCCATGGGCTTCACCATTCTTTCTGGCACCAACTTTGACGCGTTAAACTTTGCACCTCAGCTGGCTCAAACGCGCAACCCAGGCCTGCCGGGCCGTCTCACATGCACTTGCACATGTTCCAATTTCGCACTTCCGGAACCCGAGACCCCGAGCAGACTGCCTGCCTGTCCACTTGAGACGCTTGGCCAACCTCCGGCCAGTTCGAACGCTGGCCAGTTCGAACGCTGGCCAACAAATCATCCATCACGCACATACGGATGGTAATGGCATCAGCCGGGCCCCAGGTCTCATGGACGGCGTGTTGGACCTTTCGACACCATGGCCAGCTTGCTAGCCCGCCGCATTCGGTGGGTGGCATGTTTGTGAGATTTGCTCTCCGCCTGATTGGGGTGGTTGCATCGAAATAGGGTGATTCGGCCAGCCCCGAGTGGATGAGGCCCCATTTCGCCCTTGAGAAAGCTTTTTCGGCGTGGTTCTGTCGACTCTGGTTCTATTGTCGCCGGTAATTATTACTACCAACACCAGCAATAAATAACCTTGTTGGGGACGCATCCCAACGAAGGGGCCGATTGTCGATGTGCCTTGAGGTGACGAGTCGCAGCCAAGAGACAGAATGCACAAGCCCAAAGCGTCCTGAGATTCCAGCAGAGTAAAACGACAGAACACATCAGATTGTTTCCCAGTTTTGTTTCAGTGGTCGCCCGACACCCGACGTTGTCGACGCCGACTCCGCTGTCACCTCCTAGTCCAGGTCCAATCCCCATTTTCCCTCTCCCTGCCCAGACATGCATACACATAAGCTGCGGGACGTGCGCAAGGCCTGAGCTGAAGGTCGCCAGTCCCCTAACTTGGCAAGATTCTGGGGTATTGGGTCTCGCTACTCATTCGCCTCGAGCGTCTCCGCGCGACTAGACAGGTACTGGGGTAACGCTGTGCTGTCCGAGCACCCTCAGGATTCTGCTCTGCCATAAAATGCAAACCCTGCCTACCCTAGAAGATCCTACTGTACACGGGTGATATACTATGGATGCGAATCAATATTCAAAACAGCATGAGTGTCTTGAACAACTCGGCAACATTCATTCAACCCTCTGCCATGACAGCCATGGCCTAGACTTAACCTGCGGACTACACGGGCCTCAACAGTCCATCCCGGAAGAATGGATGGCCCTGCTGGCCAAAATAATTCATACATCTCAAAATCTCACCATCACTAGTGAACAGACCGCTCGTAATTAAAGTGTCTGATAGCCGCTGCTCCTCCGTACGGAGTACAAGACGAGCAAATGCGACATAATGTCCGCAAGTCATGTCTGCCCCCTCGAACAACTGCGGTTTCAAAGCACAGGTACCGGACGTAAGTGCGGTCGTCGATACTTGGCTACGCCACCACCACAGTAGGATTCTTCAGTCAAGTATTTACACACCCTGCATCTTTGCCGTGCCACGACATCTCCCAGGCCTCAGAGCTGTGGCAAACCCGAATCAGAACAAGCGGCGTGTCTAGGATTGTGTGGCAAGCCACCAGCCAACACTTTCTACCATCGCTCGGCTCTGGCTTACATGTGAATGTGACTCCAACAAATGCGTCACAGGCCAATCTGCTCTGGGCCGCCTCGTATTTGTTCTTGTTCATGCGGCCCGTTGCCCGTTGCTTTGCTCTGCTTATCATTACTGGTTTTTTTTTTGCCAGCTCCGGACTCCAGCCCAGAAACGATCGATTTGGAGCCGATACTGGCACACCCCAAAGGCTCCGTCCTTGTGCGTTGCTAGTTCCAATAACGTCTTGCCGTCGGCCGCGTGAGCACAAGACCTTGGCAGTTCACAAGTTCTGCTGCGGATCCCCCGAACATGTTCCAGTGTACAAAGTTCTGGTTTTTTTTCTTGGTTCATCCATCGGCTTCGAGGGCTAGGTTCTTGACGGGCCGGGAGCAAGCGCAAGAAGTAGAAATATAACCCTGGGATCCGGTGCTGTGACCCTTCGTTATGGGTTTTGCCCTACTGGTTGTAGACGAAAATAAATACACGGAGAACTTTTCGACAGATGACGCCTTGACCAGAAGACCAGAATACCATATTCAGGCTCTGGGTCTCTTGGCTCAATTTCTACCTCATATTTAAGCTACGGACTTCTCTATAAACTGCATGTGGCTCATGAAAAAGCTTCGCTTCCTTGAGGCCATGCAGCCCATTCCTCGTTGAAGAACAGAGTATCCTGTACCAGGAGTGTATCCTTTGTTCCCAGACATCTCGTATTTCCTTCTCACTGTCCAACAAGACCACCATCAAGTGAAACTCACGTTGCAGTGCAGCGATCTGCACGCTCGTCCATCGCCGACCATGGAGAATACACGAAGCATCTTGAATCTCAGAACCAGACGGAGAATTAGGCGCTTGGCCCACCAAAGAATAGCCTTGCGGGCTCGAGACAAATGGGAGAGTTGGTTGGGCAGCATCAATACTTTGGTGGTACGGAGCACATGCATCAAAATGCCTTTGACATGACTTACTAGTTGTTGTAGATTTTGTGTTCAAGGTCTCCCTAACAATCTGTCCAGGTTTGCCCCAGTTTGGCCTCTTCCTACCGACAACGAAAACTCGTATGGCTCAGATCCACCCCCGGCCATCCAACCAGTCGACTGAACATGACGATCGAAGTAATGTCTTTTGTCCAATGATGTCATCTTTAAATTTAAAACTTGCTGTCCAGACTCCATATAGACTCGCGAATGGATCACGTCTTGGCATTGGATTCATCTTCCTCTAACCCAGATACGTGCGCTGGCCCATTTCATGTCTGTGCCGAAAGGAGACGTACGAGTTGTGTATTGTCCGCTGGCCAAGTGTGCGTATCGAATTGCTTCTGGTAGAAGTGAGAACGGGTATATGAACTATAGTCTTCTTCGTAGCTCTACTCTTCTAGTGTCAAAACCGCGCTTAAACTCATGGTTTGGCTGGGCAATGTTCACACTGATCATGACTGTCAGGGAAACTCCCATTACTAGCAGATCAAATGGGCTCATTATGCATCAGGTCCAAGTTCACCAACGAAACTCCTCGTTGCTATCCATCTCCATTAGGGTCATATAAACATGTCCAAGTCTGCTTGTTTTTATTATAAAATCTCACGCACTCGTGCGTCTTACCCTAGACCGTGGAAGGGCCTTTTTTTATTCACAGGTTCTTGACTGGTTCGAGCATGCTATTGTAGTTCCTGAGACTGCAGACTCGTGGCGTTTTGTGCTTCATTTATTAAAAAGGCACGTTCAAATTCGGTGATTTCACTGCATTGATATTTATGCTGAAAACCCGAAAAAAAAAAACGCTAACTCATCTTAGTATTTTGAGGTTCACCTTCGTACAAACCGAGCAACAGCTAATGCGCAGGACACACTTCTCGCAGGTTGGATAACCCCGGACTAGAAAATTGAATACTCGGTCGTGTCAAGGTTGCTCATACTTAAGCAAGTTGACATCTTGCTACGGGGCTTGGGTGGGAGGCAATACCTGTACCTGCGGAGTACAGTACTTAAGTACCTAGGTAGGTAATAACGTGCCCACCCTCACTGGTGCCACCTAACGCCACAATTCCCGGGCCGCCGTGGAGGGGGTTGACAAATACCTAAAGTACCAACCTCCAAGTACTTAAGTATGAAGGTACTTTATGTTTGAACGACTCTGCCAATTTACCTTGTAACACTTCATCTTCCTCGGCCTGTACTGTTGTGCCCAAAAAAACGTTCAGCGTCTCGTCAAGTTGTTGTCGGGAGCACGGACCACTCTGGCCACACATTGTGGCTGGGATCAATCTGACTGTAAAGCTGATCACGTGGTGGTCCTGCTCCAACCCTCAGGGCTATGGTTATCCAAGTAGCTACCCCCTACCCCTAGCCTTGAGACTCGAGACTCAAGTCAATGAAACAACAACTGAGTACAGCAACAATGCCAGTTCCAATTTCATATCAGTTATGCTGTATACTCTTATCCATCAAGTACGAATATGCAGGACCCTAGTAGTTCTCTTTCTTCCAAGTTCTTCGGCCAGCTATGTCGCGCTCGGCCGGAGATTAGTATGTCAGAGACTGAAACTGGCGGAACCGATGATCAAGCATTTCCCATCGTTACCGAGGACCAACTCAGTCAAGCAAAGAGAAATTTTATCAACTCGCTAGACTCTGATGCAGTCTGCGCTCTGGCATCAAGATACAACAATGGCCAAACGTGCAGAGTTGTGAGGAAGGATAACGGCAGTTTCAACGGTTGTTTCTTTGTCGAGTTTGAGCAGGATGAATCCCAGTGGATAGTCAGGATTCCGATCGAACCCTCTTTCGGCGATCCCTGGGACAAGCTGTTGAGCGAGATAACCACTTTGCAGTAAGTGCTCTTTAACCTCCGATTTGAGTTGCTACTAATAGATGCAGATTTCTCGAGCGCAAAACTCTGATCCCTGTTCCTCATGTTCGTGCGTACGGCCGTGATGCTAAATTGACCGAATCCAGCTCTGGAACGCAGATGTATCTCATTGCAGACTTCATACCAGGCGAACCATTGGATAAGAAACTTTTATTTCAAGCCGACGACGAAGCCCGACGAAAATTTTACGCTCAGCTCATTGACATCTTAGCTGAGCTCAGAAAACTCGAGTTTACATCAATAGGGTCCCTGATGCCGGATCCTAATCATAGCACGCATCCTATTTTGGGTCCTGTCATGTCCATGTCTGCTACCACGCTCCGACTGCCCGCTCTGCCGACCCTCGAAACGGCCAAGGAATACATGGAATATCAATTTGGTCTCGTGTCAAGCTTTTTTGTGCAGCCAGTTGCCGACCATGCAACCGAGGACATCCAAGCAGAAGTTTTCGCACTAGACGGAATGAAGCGTATCTTCGATGAGCTTATCGATTCTGAGTTGAACGCAGGGCCTTTTGTACTGAGTCACTTGGACCTACGGAGTCACAACATCATCGTGGACCAGGATTTGCAAATTCGTGGCATAATCGACTGGGAGTTTGCCACTACGGTTCCACTGCAAGTCTTTACCCCGCCGTCGTGGATTACCGGCCATGATTCAATCTCAACGAACAAGCAGATACATGCTGAGTTTCGGAGTGTTTTGGATGAGAAGAGCGAAACTAACAGGCTTTGCAAACAACTCAGAAAGGAATGGTATGGCCTGGGTCCCTACCCAACAGATGTGGCATTTTGCGTTGCTCATGTTCTACGCTGTCCGACTGACGCCACCGACATTTTTTGTGATTTTTTTGCTCATAAACATTCCGACAAGCCTCTGGATGATGTAATAGCTGAATTCTTTGACAGAAACCAGGCTCTTGCATCTGAGGTGCGGCGTCGGACGGAACAGTGTGAGCGCTATACCCAGTACTTGAAGCAGCACGGCCTATATGAGACCGAGGAGGACAGATTGCTAGCGCAGTCAAAGGCCCTGAAAGAGAAATGGGGCTGGTCATAAGACTGCTACCGCTCTGTATTCGGTGTTTAAGTGCATTCCGGTCTATACATCGAGTAGCTTGTCCACCACTGTGGCTCTCTCTCTTGCTTCTGCAGGTCAAGTATTTCTACACAAGCCCGATATTCCCTTCTTTTCTCGCTTGTTTACGTGACATCCCTCCAATTTCCTCGGCAGACTTCGGCTGGGTCTTGCTTCTTTTTCTTCTATTTCTTGCACTAGATGTACTCCCTGCCATCTGACTTGGATTTGCCTGTCCGATACTGCTGATGTAGTCGAGAATGTCTTCCAACTCCCGTTGCTCTAATGCCACCGCCGCCATTATTTGGCTCATTCTCTCCTTGAACTTGCCACGTTTGGAGGGTTCACGTACATAAAAATCATTTTCCAAGTATATTTTATTATTATTATCAAGATATTATTAATGCGGCTATCACGAGATAGCTTTTGTTAGCGTACCGCGATAAATGATACCCACAATAAAAGCACGGTGCTAAGCCGCGAGCCGTGCCCAAAAACCAACTTTGGTCAAAAGATGGACTTTTTTTTGGGCACGACAGTAGAATTGTCCGCAGATAAGATGCTAAGCTGGATTACAAGACGCATGCGCCTCCGAGACAATAGATCTCAGGACACCTCTAACCGGCAAGCCGTCAAGTAGAAACCTGTTCCCCCAACAGGCTGTACCACCTGCCTATGCGAGCAATCTCGCAACACTTGTATCTGATGGTGCTTCAGGGCATGCGCGCGCGACTATTACCCGCGCGGTGAAACGAGGAGCGGAAACCCACGCAATAAAAGCAACGCGCAACACCAACACGAGACCAGACTGGAAAGCAGCCTCGCGAGCTGATCAATATCTGCGCGCTGGCTGCAGCAACATGCAAGCCTTACCCGGACAAGGTCGGTACGGGGGATTACTGCTTGGCCCCAACGTCCAACGGGGCACAATGTTTCTCGAAGCTCCTTTGTCGCATCCCCTGACGCCAAGGGAGTCCCACCGTCGAGGCCGGAGGATGCCCACGTTTTGCTGCCCAGAAACAAACATGCGAGGTAAAAAAAGGCCACGCGAGCAAGTTCCGCCCAGCCGGGCCCATGCAGTCCCTTGGCGGACCAGAGACACAATCTGAGATGAGACGTTATCCCCGAGCCGTCGAGGCAGTGCTCAAGAGTTCGGCCGAAAGGCTCAAGTCTACGTCCCCATCATCAAGGGCTGCCCCCTGAGTTGCGGGATCCGCGAAGGGGCGGGTTGTGTGGCATGTGCCATGACCGAGCATTGTCAGCAAGGGTAAGCGCGATTGAGCATCAATGATGGGTTACCAGGCTGGAATAAGCGCATCATGCAGCTGCCGGGAAGTTGGCACGTTCTGCCAACGGCTTCGCCACGGGGTCAGACTGGGAGAGCCGACAAGATGACATGGTGGAGCAAAAACTGCGGGACCAGGGCATCTCGAAATCGCGATAAGCGGACCGCTGGGGTGAACTTGACGGAGGGACCGAATGGATGAAGAGATGCATACATAGCTTGCGTGGCCCTCTTCCAGCCAAAGGGGGGGCCAAAACGGATGAAGATGATGCTGCGAGGGAAAAGGGCCACCAGACGGCCTAAAAACGAACTCTTGCATGCTCGGCTGCGTGCCACCGCCCGCTGCCAAACAGCCACCCCCGTCCTGGGCAGCATTTGGAATTGGACGCTTAGGCGCCGGGCGCTTAACTGCGTGGCAGGGATGGAGATCCTTCCGCGCCAAAGCATTCAGCCCTCAACTCGGCATACCCATGTCTGGCGCTTACCTAGGAGCTGAGTTGTGGCCTCAAGCGAGCGGCGCAACAAGCATGTTTTGGGAGCTTGGCTCCATGAGGCGTCATCTTTTAACCTTTCCTTGCTTGCTTTCTTGCAGAATCATCGACTTTGGGGACTTCCAAAGCCCCTGTCGGAACAGCCCAGCGCCGTGAGGTATTGGGCGGATGAGGTCCGGTATGGGAATCAAATGCGGCTGACAGTGTTTGTTGGCGGCCGGCCGGGGAAATGCTGCCATATCGCAGGACGATCAGTGTGCCTTGAGGATGGCGCGGATGCTCAGGCCCCCGAACAACGGGCACGCCTGGTCAACCCAAGGAGAACAGAGCCACGTTCCCCCATTATGCAGGGATCATCGAGTATATGGGCCTGAAGAAAACCTCCAGACCGGCGGGAAGCTCGGGAGCGCCCGATCAAGCTCTCGCCTTCGGGAAGCCCAGAGAAAATAGGGGGCTTCTGGAATACAACACCTTGACGTGAACAAGGAAAAGGGCTGAGCCCAGTTTCACTCTTGCGGGCTTTCCTTCTGACCACGGGAGAAGGCACATCAAGCACCATCTAGGCAAACCGTCTTGGCGAAACCCCATTCCACCTCTTTGAAAGCTGCCAAGGCGTTCAGGATTCCCCCTTTTGCTCATGTCAGTTGTGCTTCCACCGCCCCCCTACTCTCTTCGGTTGGTGTTGTACGGATCCCGAACATCACGAGGCATTCTGTCGAGACTGCGTGGGCAACGGGGGCCAAAAGTAAAGGGCTGCGTCATGTTCTGTACGTCTTTTCCTTGGCCGATATACAGAAAGGATCAGTCTCATATCATCGCGGCCGATGCAATTTGTGCCTCTTGAAAACTCTGTCATCACATCTCATTCATCTACGCCCCCTTGTCTGAGGCAAGCAAGGCCCGAGTCTTCTGCTGCAAAATCCCATTCCACCAGGCTGAACGACGTACAAAGACAACCGTCTATCCCAAATGACTGAGGATGGGCCGTCGACCAGGAATCCCATAAATGCCGCGCACCGGCTCCTGTCCAGAAACAAGTCTTCAACAAGACCGCCATCAACAGGACGCCAGACAAACAGAGTGAGAAAAACGACGCCCAACAGGACAAGTCTACGGTTGACCTTGCCAGACGTGCCCGACTTCCCCATCATGGCCCCTAAGAAAGCCACCAGAACGAGCTGGACGGTGAGTCACCCCCCCAGGAGTGTTCCTCTCCTTCTTCCCACCTTCAAACGCATCTGACAAGCCCGCAAGCCCCCGCAGCCGTCGGTGTCGCAGCTCATCGAAACGCTCAACGCGCACCGCGTCAACACGCTCACGGAACTCGTGCGCATCGAACGCATAGCCGGCAGCTGTGCGGATCCCCACGACGCCGCGGCCTTCCAGCAGCCCATGACCCGGGCGTGGATTCACTACGTCACGTCGCACCAGCTCGCCAGCTCGCTCCTCGGCCTGACGCCCAACTACCCCATGACGGGGGACGTGGTGCGCGACGCCTACAGCCGCGTGCGCGAGGACCCCGCGAGCAACCGCAGCTGGAACCTGGCCTGGCTATGCCTGACCAAGATGAAGGACGACGGGCTCCTGGCCGCCTACGCGGCGCTCGAGGCCATGAAGCCCGCCATGTGGGGGGGCAAGATGCCCTCGGCGGCCGACGTCGCCCAGCTGGCGAACTGCTTCGAGTCGGAGTGGACGGCTGCCGTGGACATATTGCTGAGGCACTGGGAGAGGTCGCCCACTTGGTATTGAGGGGCCTTGGGGGGCCTTGAGGACCTCTTTTCTTTTTGTCTTGGGATTTTGTGTATAGACGGTGGGCATTGGCTGAAGCAAAATATGGTGTTGGCAGACGTGGATGAACAAAAGCAAGGAGAAAAAAAACACGTGGCGTCGAAATTTGGTGCATTAGGACTTGACGGACCGCCCTTCTATTGTGTGAATAAGAGTTCTTTCCTCTTACGTAGCTTTGACGGAACAATACAACAGTACGTTTTTTTGTATTTGATGCCTCGTGGGGCTCAGATATGTACTAGTCATGCCGCGTAGCTCGCAGCGATGCAGAGAGTCGGATATAGGCTCTACCCCCTAAGCTGTCTCGGCCTCGTCGTCGTCGTCTGACCAGTCTTCGCTCTCGAGTCCTTCCCCCCGAATAAACATGGAGACGCCCCAGCCCACCAATGCCAGACCACCAAACAAGCTCCATGAGAGAGCCTCCCCCTTGGGTCGAATATTGACCGAGAGGGTGAAGAGGCCGCCCGACACAAATGGGCCGAAACTGCGCCCCAGAGCGGACAATGTCTGAGCAACACCGTTTAGTGTGCCTAGGCTGGCGTGCGACGGCGCAGAATTGGTAATCTGATTGCTGGTTAGTACTAGGAGGGGCCTCAAAAGGGGGGTGGTCATCAGGGGAGGTTGGATCCCGACGATGCAGCAGTGAAACTTACAAGCAGCATTACGCTCGACAGTCCACCGACGGCGCAAATATTCTTCAAGATCAGGACCATGGCCAGCTCGGCGAACAGCCACAATCGGCCGCTGCCGATGTTCAACGGCGGATCGTCATCAAGGTAGCCCACCCAGGGCATCAGAATCATGCTGACGCCGAGCCCGAGCAAGGCGTATCGGTACGAGCCCAAGTTCCCAATCTTGGACTTGATGGACTGGAAGAGAAAGGCCTGAAACGCAATGGTGGCAAGACCAGCGGCGCTGAGACTGAAGCCAATCTTTTTGGGGCTCAGGTCACGGCCGGCCGGCGCGGGGGCGGATGCAAAGATGGGATACAGGCTGTTGAAGCTGATGTTGGAGAGCTGGAAAACGAGATACGTGGCAAGGAGGATGATGGTTGTCCGGTTGAGCAAGTCTTTCCAGACAGGCCTGCCACTGACACCACCGTCCTTGACATCGTCTCCATCAGTGTCGGCATCGTCTTGGTCGACAGAGGATGATGTCGATGAGCTAGACGATAGGAGCGGCTGCTGCGAGGCCGAAGCCTCTGCCAAGCGCGAGCTCCAAGACGCCCTGCGGTCCCCCGGTTTGCCGGAACCGTCGACCCACGCGACAAGACGGCTGATCCAAGCCGGTCTCCAAGGGCTCTTGCCCGACTCGTCGAGCGTCTCCTCGAACCAGATTCCAACCACGACCACGCTCGCAGCCAGCATCGCTGCGCCGAGGACGTTGGGCCCGAGATATGGGTACTCGGACCCCATCTTGTTGACCAGAAGACCCCCGAGCGCGGGGCCGGTGATGCTGCCCAGCGAGTAGATGACGGGCAGGTAGGTAAAGGCCCTGCTCTGGTTCGACCGGTCGGTGACTTCGCCCAGGACCGTCGGGACACAGGCCGCGTTGCCGTTGAGCATGCCCATCAGCGCGTGTATCACCACCATTTGCCAGTACTCCTTGCAAAAGCCAAACACGCAGAAGCAGCCCATGAGGGAAAAGGTGCCCGCCACCAGCACCGGCTTACGGCCCACGATGTCCGAGGCGTACCCCCACAGGAAGTTGGTGGACAGCTGGGCGAGGGCAAAGGCGCTCGCCAGCAGGCCTACGTACAGGCCGTTCTCGCCGCCGGGCACGCCGGGCATGGAAGCCACCATCTCCGGCAGATAGGGCCCGATGGAGTTGAGGGCCGTCTGCTCGGACAGGGACAGGAACGCCAGCAGCAGCAGCTGCCGCACGGGCAGGGGCGTCTCGTCGTCCTCGCCGCTGGCGGACGACTCTGTAGACTCGGAAACGGCATCCTGGCTGGGGACGGGGGGGGGGCCCAGCGGCGTCTTGGGCGGCTGCACCGGGAAGGTCTGGTATTTATGCGTCGACGACTGCCGGCGGAACGAGCCCAGGGTGGGAATGGGAGCGCCGGCGTGGAACGAGCCAGAGGAGGCCGTTCGGTCGGAGACGTGGTGCTTCGAGTGGATGACCAGTTGGGGCCGGCTGGGATCTCTGGTCATGATGGGCGCGCGGAGGTGCGGACTGGTGGTTTCGCACCATGCGGGTGAGGTTGAGAGTGAGACGCGCGATGCTTCTTGGCTGGGACGGGGGACGGGGGCGCGGGTGACTGGTGAAACGAATGACGCGCAGCTGCAGATCGCGTCGGCATGCCGCGATGAGGAGTCGATTATGCAGTCAGTGGCATGGTAGCGCCTGGCGGTTTTTGACTTTCACAGCCGAGGGGGAGACGATGCTGCGCTCGACGACAGAGCCGGGAGGTCAATACATATGTCCGGTGACTGTACGGGAGGGCAAAGGGCTAAATGCGAAAAAAGGAAAAACATCTGCTGAGCCGTGTCTGTAGGTTTGGATGATGGCGGGTGATTATTGGACGACGTCACCAGTCGTGGTGGGAATGGTACGCGAGGGGGACGCTAGACCAAATTGGGCGAGGGAGGATTTCTTGCTGTTGTCCCAGTCATCATAAAACTTTGTCGACCAATATTGTATAGGGTGATTGAAGAAGAAATGAATGAACCCCTGTTGCATACCTACATACAAAATGCGCCAATCTTGCATAAAAAATTGAAAACCAGTGCAACATGGTATATTCTACAATCTACATCTATGATGGTACAAGACATGCTAAAACGCTCAACAATGCACACTTTTGCCCCTAGACATCTCCCGTCCTAAAGACCTCGAGATGCACCTTGTCCACATGGACCCCCTTGCTCGTCAACTCGTCCCTCATCTTGATCATCCACTCCTCCGGGCCGCAGAGGTAGTACTCTGCCGTCTTGTCGTCCAAGTACAGGGCGCCCTCCTCGGCAAGCTTGTCAATGTCCATTGAGCCAGCAAAGTCGTAGTGCCTGCCCTCCTCGTCCACGTCCTTGATGTTCTTGACGAACAGGGCGGACCGGACGTTGCGAGCGGAAGCAGCCAGGTCGCGGATATGCTTGCCAAAGCACACCGAGTGGGCGTGACGAGCGGCATGCGCCCAGGTGACGGGCCTCTCGGCATTGGACGACTTCATAATCGAGTCGAGGATGGACATGAGCGGCGTGGCACCGACGCCGGCCGACAAGAGGACGACGGGGGCGGTGGGAGAAACGGCGGCGTCGTCAAAGAAGAACTCGCCGCGCGGCGGGCTGACGTTGACGACGTCGCCGACCTGGTACCGGTCGTGCAGGCGGTTGCAGACGATGCCCGAGACCCTGCCCTCGGCGAGGTCCTCGGTGGTGTAGGGCTCGATGGCCTCCTTCTTGACGGACACGCGGTACTGGCTCATGCCCTCCTCGGGCGCGACGCTCAGGCTGAACTGGCGGTTCTGCAGGAGCCCGTCCAGCTCGGGCAGGGGGATCTGCAGCGAGACGTACTGGCCCGGGCGGAAGGCCGGCAGGGGCTTGCCGTCGACGGGCTCCAGGTAGACGCTGATGATGTTGTCCGTCTCGACCTCCTTGGCGGCAATCTTGAAGGGGCGCCAGCCCTGCCACGCGCCCGCGTCGCTGTAGAGCTGCTTCTCCCGCTGGATGAAGATGTCGGCGAGCTGGCCGTAGGCGGCGATCCAGGCCTCGGCGATCTCGGGCGTCAGCGCGTTGCCGAGAACCTCTGCAAAGGCGCCGACCAGGTACTTGCCCACAATCGGGTACTGGTCGGGCTTGATGAAGAGCGAGGCGTGCTTCTGGGCGATGCGCTCGACGGCGCCGCTCAGCTTGGGCAGGTCATCAATATAAGCGGCGTAGGCAAAGACGGCGTTGGCCAGGGCGGCGGACTGGGCGCCGCTCTGCTGGTTCTTGAGAGAAAAGTAGTTTTTTAGCTCTGGGTGGGCGCTGAGCATGTTCTTGTAGAAGGTGGTGGTGATGGTTTTGCCATACTGCTTGACCACGGGCGCCGTCGACTTGACCGTGGCGATCTGCTGGGCGGTAAGGGCCATTCTGAGAAGCGTGGGGCGCATATAAAATGTTGTCAAGTTTTGTTGTAGTAGTATACGATCTTTCTTTATGGGAGAGGGCAAGGGGGGCTTTAGTAAAAGTGAGGATGTGATTGGTTTGCCGGGTGGTTTGCTTTGGCTGGCTTCATGCAGGACACGATCTTGTACACGAGTGCAGCAGGCAAACGAACGGCTTTATACAACATGGAACGGAATCACATTTCCCAAACAACGGAGATCCGGAGATGCAAAGATTTACGGCTGATTCAACTCAGGTCCCAAAACACGCGGGCAAAAAAAAAAAGACCATAAAAACGAGTAGTCACAGCAGCCATGTGGCATTGTTCGTATGCACCATCTCTCGCCGCAGGTCAACGGCCCCGGGTCGGGTCACGGCTGCATCGACAAAGTGGGCTGATGTCGACCTTTATCAACCGTGCGGAAACCTAAACGGAAACCCAGGTCGGCGACGCAGGGAAGAAGTCGGAACGTGGCACCGAGTCAGCAAACGCGGCCAATAGAGGAACTCGCAAAGCAAAAAGTGGACAGAGGGTCCAATTGCTGCCAAGCTGCGCCCCGGCGGAGACTAAACTTGTTTTGTAACATCGATTGATGCTTAATGGCCATGATTGCGCCGAGTATTGCATCAATTGATGTTGCGCATTGAGGGTTAGAGTGTCTGTCTTGTCAATGTTCTGCAGCAATGTTCTGCGCCCAAGCCACTGCCGGTTGTGCCTGAGCCATCTCGAGTATTGGGCGCTCGAGTTTGCGGCTGCAAGCCATACTCAGGATTGACGGCGTCACACCACTTCGCGGCTTGATCAGTCGGTGGCGCTTCTTTTATGGAGGGGCGACAGCTGGAGATGCAAATTCCGGCCGTCGCGGATACCGGGCGGTTTATTTCTAGAAGCCTCGCTCCGTTAGCCCGGGCTCCATGTGAGCGTGTGGATACGTGCTGATGTTCCTGGCCCTGGTCGCATTCCGTGTACGCGAGTTTGAGGTCATGCTACTGGTCCGCCGAGTGCTTTAAAGAGTCGATTAGTTTAGTCTGATGACTTTCTTGGTGAGGCCGCTCAGAGTCACAGATAATCCCACGCCGCCAAGGACGGACACTGGTGGTCCTTTCTCAGAATAACGACTCTCATCAACATGTTTCATTCATGCATTTTGACAAGAGCTTGTTTCATAGTATTCATGCCGCTGTGCCGGCGGGTCGGATTAAATAAATTAAAGTTGACAATCAGCCTTTATGAAGGGGATTATTTTAGATTTATTGACTCGGTGTTGGTGTAAAAACAGGTGTGCTGTTGGTCAAATTTACTTCTATTAATTGGGTGCTGCGTGTTTAGTTGCCCGTTTCAAGCCGCGTCATTTTGGTTGCATCCATCGTCTTTTGCTTGCAGGAAAATATCTCACGTGACCACTATTGCCCCTCTTGGCCCGGGATTTGGTGCCAACAATGAAACTTCAAATGTTCTCTCCCCTGTCCTTTTCCAAATCGCCATCACCGTCTACCGAGTGCACATGCACTAATTACCTGCGTGCACATGCTTGCTTTGTCGATGCCATCTCGCCACGCGCGCAGAAACCGATCCGTCCCCACTACGCCTTTGTAGTCATGTACGGATCTAGCTGACTCAATATTCTCACATCTCCACCGCCAACATTCACATCTCCGGCCACCGCTACTATTCCGTCATCACCATCTCCGAGCATGACGTTGCCTCGAAATTACCCCCCATCAAGGGACTTCTTCCTGCTACGGCCAGCAATGCACACACGAACCTGTCGTACAATGTGGATAGAAAAAAAATTGATCACCACCTCCAGTGGCTAGACCGACAATCCCAAAGGCCACTGGCATACAACCATCGCCAACCAAGCGCATAATGCATCAAGCCAGCGCAGGTCTGGTGTATTCTAGAGCCTTAGGGGTGACTGATGCGAACGGACTCCCTTGAGCAAATAACGACCACAAGATTACGGACTCGAGTTTGAAAGAGTGCCATCTATCGCGCCAGAGGGTGTGAAACTAGATGTCCTGTTCACTCTCAGGCATAGCCGCCCTGTCCCTTGCCATGATACTTTTGTTCCATGTGTAATTTGTTCTGACTGGGGGCGTTCTTCGAGAAGCAGGAGCTGGACATCACCAAGAACCTGACAATATACTTGCCACTAGCTAGATGCGCCCTATGAAATCCGGCATATTCTACCGACGCAGAGCCAAGACTTGCCGGCCCGGCTGGACCATTTCGATCTCGGCTAGATTCAAGACCGATTGATCTTTCCCGGCGGACATTAAGCGTAGGGATGCCTGGTTCTCACTGCTACGAGTCACACGCAAAGAGTGGGCTACATATCATGGCCGCGCAAATGCAGAATATCGACTTGTCGGGTCCATTTGAAGGTTGAGACGAATCATTGTTCATAGCTCAACCAACTACCCCCTCCTTGAGCAATGGAAAGCTGCATGTAAGTTGTGCCAAACCAGCAGAATCGTGGCCGCGGTCTCGGTAGAGCAAATCATGTATCATGAACAAGGGCATCGGCATGACCATATTAATAGAGGTGCTAGGCTTGGGTACCATGGACATCAATAACCGGTTCAAGCATGATTGAATTGAACGGCAGAAACAAAGTCATCGTAGGCATCCGGGGCTCCTCGGCAATCCCTATCAAATCACGATGCAATCAATGGTGGCAGACAGCAGCCATCCCTCCCACCGGCCGGTAGTAACGCCGCCTTCTGCACCTGCATACGTACAGTATTTCTAGCTGCTTTGAACGTATGACTGAAGAAATGGCAAGGACTGGTCGAGTCTGACAAGACCCTCGTCCGTGGAGCTGCCCCCAAGTATGTCCACGCAAAGCCAGAACCCGATGTGAATTTGTCAACAAAGTGCAATGTAGCAACCTATTCAGCGTGCTTTTGTGCAGTTGGCGGTTTACTTATGGGGTTTTATAGCCAGAATTTCGTAACTTTTTTTATGCCGTCGGGGCCTGCATCTGCCAACCGCCTCCCGAGACAACCTACTGCAGCCTGTACCTGGTAGCTGGCCATGCTGCCTCAAGAGGCCGGCTGCCAGTAAAGATGAAGGTCTGAAGAGGTTCAAAAACTCATTGTCTCTCGACTTCATGTCATGTCTATGCTTTACACGCCCATATGTTTCGTCGGACCGGGGCTACTTGACCATCGACATAGCCTTGCCAAGTCTCAATCACCACAGGGCTTCAGATACTTGGCCGACCATCAAGCAGCACTACAAGTTACGAACGGGACCTTTTTCAAGATCCTGCGTGGCTTGAGAATGAACCGTAGGCTCATTGCCTACCATCGCAAACAACCCCCGGAACCAGCCAGCTCTCATCTACTTGTCTGCAGACACATACAAAATCAGGAGGAGCCATACCTTTTGCACGTATACACAGCCGGTTGGGTACACACGACAGCGCAAAGGGTGACGGTAATCTTGAACGACTTGATGGTGAAGCACAGCGCACACCGAGGCGTTACTTTCGGTGACACCACGCGCGGGTGAGGAGGAGGAGGAGGTAACAGTAGACTGCACGTAAGCAAATATCTTTCTTTTTTTAACCGTGCATTAGCTCTTCGTGGGGAGTACCGCGTACAGTTGGACGCATGTTCCCGAGCTCGCAGGTCACCGGTGCGGGGGAAGAACTCATGACCACGACCTTCAGACAGCCAGATATGCAAGATCAATGTCTCGTCCACCAGCCATGTAAACCCGTGCGCTTTTCAGTCTCGCCATTGCTCTATTCAAGAGTTCCATCATGGCGCTTCCCGTCGAGGAGGCCGCAAAACAAGCCGACGCCATCCAACCAACGTCCTCGATACCAGGCTACTCAGAGACCGTGGCCGAGGCCAAACCCGACGTCGAGCAACAACACATTGGCACGCTCGACCGCCGCCTCAAGTCCCGCCATGTGCAGTTCCTCGCGCTCTCGGGCGCCATCGGCACCGGCCTCTTCGTCGGTAGCGGCCAGGTGCTGTCGCTCGCGGGCCCCCTGTCGGCATTCCTCTGCTATGCCGTGACGGGCTTCAACCTGTACTGCGTCATCAACAGCCTCGGCGAGATGGCCGCCTGGCTGCCCATCCCCGGCGCCGTGCCCGTATTTGCCGCGCGCTACGTCGATCCCGCGCTCGGCTTCACCCTCGGCTGGAACTACTGGTACCAGTTTGCCATCGGGGTGCCCATCGAGGCGACCGTCTGCGGCGTCGTCGTCGACTACTGGCCCAACGCGTTGCCCAAGGCCGCCCTCGTGACCGCCTTCTCCGCGACCATGGTGCTCGTCAACTGCCTGCCGGTGCGCGTCTACGGCGAGGCCGAGTTCGCCTTTGGCGCCGTCAAGCTCGTCACCATTGTCGGCCTCATCGTGCTCATGTTCGCCATCACCGTGGGCGGCTCGCCCGCCGGCGGCGCCATCGGCTTCCGGTACTGGCGCGACCCGGGCCCCATGAGGACGTACCTCGCCGACGGGGCGACGGGCCGCTTCCTCGCCTTCGCCAAGGTCTTTATCCAGGCGACCTTTTCCTACGGCGGGAGCGAGATGGTGGTGGTGGCTTCGGGCGAGACGGAGGACCCGCGCCGCAACATCCCCCGGGCCATCCGCCGCGTCTTCTGGCGCATCGCCGTCTTCTACGTGCTGTCCGTCCTGCTCGTCGGCCTGTGCGTCTCGTCCGCGGACCCGGGCCTCCTCGACGCCATCGGCCGCTCGGCCCCGGGCGCCGCCCAGTCCCCCTTTGTGATTGCCATCCAAAACGCCGGCATCGGGACGCTCCCGTCCGTCATCAACGCCGTCATCCTCACGTCGGCGTGGTCTGCCGGCAACTCCTTCTTCTACGCCGCGACGCGCGTGCTCTACGCCGCCGCCCTGGACGGCAAGGCGCCCTCGGCCCTGAGGTATGAGCGCTTCGGCGTCCCCTACGGCTGCGTCGCCGCCACCGCCGTCCTCAGCTGCCTCGTCTATCTCAACGTCAACAACCGCTCCGCAGAGGTCTTCTTCTGGATCAGCAACCTCAGCGCCGTGAGCACCCTCATTGTCTGGGCCAGCGTGTGCTGCACCTACCTCCGCTTCTACTACGGCCTGCGCCGCCAGGGCGTCTCGCGGGACACCCTGCCGTACAAGTCGCCGCTCCAGCCGTTCCTCGCCTACTTTTCGGTCGTGTTTTGCCTCGTCGTCGCGCTGTTCAATGGCTTTGACGCGTTTTTCCCAGGCAACCTTTCCGCAAAGACGCTTGTGCCGCCGTACGTCGACATTCCCATCTTCGCGGCGCTGTTTTTGGGCTACAAGTTTGTCGTGGGCACGCGGTTTGTCAGCCTGGCCGAGATGGATCTGTGGTCGGGCAAGGCCGAGATTGATCGATTGGAGGGGACATGGAAGGTTGTTGAGCCGCGGAATTGGCTGGAGAGGATATGGTTCTGGCTTGCTTAAGCGCACGCCACTCTGTATTGAGGACCGAGGTGCTTCGGAGAGGTTGTGGTTCTTCAGTGGTGCTGTACCAGATGGGGATGAAGAACCCGAGAAACAAAACACGAGTACAAAAAAGAACCCACGACCTTTCATTGGGATACACTGCACAGTCACGAGCCCCCGCGTTCGTCTCGCCAAGAGCTCTGCCGCCCATATGCCCTCGCATATAGTTCTCGGATCTGTCGGGAATACGAACGTGGGAAAGCTTGAACGATTGCCTGGTGTTTCCCGAATACGGTTCGCAGTGGCTGTTGGCCTTTAAAACCTTACCACATGCAATTTTCATAACGAAACTCAAGCGTCAAATACACAACTTGTCAGATTATTGTTATTTATTTCTATCCATGCTGCTCAAATCCCTCCAACATCCGCAGTTATCAGCAAATACAACCCCATCTCTAGCCATCTTCTATCAAAACAGGAGCCTTGAAGCTGTTGGGTATACTCTACTTATACACCCTATATGAACTCTACTTTTTATGGCGTTTTATATTGCTATTAATTTACGTAACATGCTGTTTTGTTCATGATAACTCCAATCTGACTTTCACTTTTTCGCACTGCAATTTTTATTGACCCTCAACCTGCTTCAAGAGGCCCTCGAGGTTAATGCTCTTGGGACGCTCAATGGGCAGACCAAGAGCACGATCCCAGATCAACTGGGCCAGAGGTCCAAGACCACGAGACACACCAAAGGTGGCGGTGTAGTACAAAGTCTCGTGGAAGCCGTAGTGGTGGAACAGGACACCGGAGCTGCTGTCAACGTTGGGGTAGGGGTTCTTGGTCTTGCCGTGCTTCTTGAGGACCTCGGGCGCGATGCGGCTGTTCTTCTCAACCAGCTGGAAGACGGGGTCCTGGGCAATATCGGGGCGGGCGGCGGCATAGTCCATCAAAGCCTCGAATCGGGGATCAGGCTTGCGGAGGACGGCGTGGCCATAACCGGGGACCACACGGCCAGAGTTGAGGGTGGACCACAGGTAGTCGTGGACATCCTGCTCGGTATAGCCGGCGGGGATGGCTTCCTTCATCTGTAGAATCCATCGGAGAACCTCCTGGGCGGCCAAGCTGCAAATTGTCAGAATCAAAAGCTAATGACTAGTGCTCAGAGAGACAAACTCACCCGTGAAGAGGACCGGCCAGACCCTGGAGACCAGCACTGTAAGAAAGAAATGGGTCGCTAAGAGCGCTACCAACAAGGTGGGTGGCGTGGGCAGAGACGTTGCCGCCCTCGTGGTCGCCGTGCAAGGCTAGATAGAGACGGAGGAGATCCTGGAAGTTCTCGTTCGCCTTGCCTCCCTTGCCGAGCATAGCGGCAAAGTTGTAAGACCAATCCTGCTCAAGATCGACCTCGGCAGGAAGAGCACCACCTCCACGGTAGGCATTCTGGTAGATCTTGGCGGCAATCGTGGGCAACTTGGCCAGGAGCGAAACGCAGTCGTCAAAAGTAGGCTCCCAGTAGTCGGACTTGTTCATGCCAGCCTCGTATGCCTTGGCAAACTTGGATTCGTAGTTAAGGGCAGACACGGCCATGGCGAACTGGGTCATGGGGTGAAGGTCCTTGGGAAAGTTGTCGAGCATCTTGGAGACGAACTCGGGGATCTGGGCCTTCTCGGCCAGCTCGCGAGAGAAGACGCGAATCTGGTTGGTGGAGGGGACCTGGCCGGTGAGGAGGAGCCAGAACATGGCTTCGGGGAGCATCTCAGTGCCAGTCTTGCCCTTGGGAAGGATCTTCTGGCAGTCTTTGATGGTCTTTCCGTGGAAGCGGATACCCTCGTTGGCATCGAGGACGGAACCCTCCCAGACCATGGCTTTTAGGCCACGCATACCGCCGAGGGTGTTTTCGACCTTGACCTCGCCAATGGTCTTGCTCCCGTGAGCCTTGACCTTCTTGAGAAGCTCACGCTTAGCTGGAATGACCTCCTTGAGGGTGGCCTTGAGGTCGGGCTCGGCAGTGGCATAGCCGCGAGCGCCGATAAGAGCAGCTCGGGTCAGAGGCTGGTTCATACAAGTCAGCAAATGGCGCGTCGTGGCATTGGTGTATGGCGGCATTGCGACATTGCGACATTGAATAACCGCAATTGCGGGTTGATTAGCTGCTAGTGGTCTTGCTCATCATACCTTCAGGGAGCCAAAAGCCCGAGTGGAATTCCTCAGGTTCAGAGCCATGGTTGTTGATGTTGGACTATATGATCGCGGAGCTGGCGGGATCTGGATCGTGGGGTAGATCTGTAAATAGGTCAATTGGCCTGTTCCCCGCAAGGGGCAGCAGTCAATGGGCAAAGTGCTTACAATATAATGAGGGCGCTTCGGTCTCTTTTGAGCTTACCGGAGCTACAGGAGTGAAGGGAGAAGATGTAGGTCTGACAGAAAAAAGTCGGCCGTGCAACGTGAGGGAGGCTGACCAAAAAGTTATGCCGAGACACCTGGTGGTGACCGCATACCGGGCGCATATGCAGCCGTATCGCTCCTTCCCCGCCAACCACGAGCCAGACCACCGGCGAGCATCTCGAGACAGCCGAGGAAAGCCGCGGGCGCCCGGTCCAACGGTTCGTTGCCGGGCCGTGATTGGCCAATCAGGTACCGGGTTATCTTTTTTGCCCTGTGATTTTGGGTAAGCTTTGGGGAAGGCGCCCCAACTGGCTGCCCAACTGGCCAGTGGGTTCGCATCATGGCAACCACGGCGTGGGTTTGGCGGTTTGCTCTTGCCTGGATTTGAGTTTGAGCCGGCAAGCCGGTGCCACACATTTGATTCCTCCAGTCCACATGCATGCAAGCAGGCGAGGCGTGACCAGCAGTGCCACTCTCTGCCACAGCTCTTGAGCCGTATCAGGCGTGATAGCCGGCCGGACTGAGCTCGGCTTTGCGTGCACCACCATTCGGTTTCGCCCGCATTCCGAGCCATTCCAATCAGACCCTTTATTACAAACCTATCATCAACTGCTTATTCTGCATTTGAGTGTCAGTGCAAGCGACAGTGTGTCGCCATTTTGCTCGGAGATTTGCTTAAAGGTAGCTGGTACTCCAACCTACAACCTGCGAGCCACTCCTTTGACGTCCCTTGGCCATCATCGTCACTATGATGCGAAACGTTGCAACCAGAGCCTCCAGGCGAGTCTTGCCCACCATCAGGCCCCGAACGACCCAGTACCGCTCGACAGCTATTCGTGCCATCTTTACAACCGCCGTCATGTCTGCCCCGGTTGGCAATCCCTTTTCGCACGCGATTCCCGCTGCCGACTCGTTCCAGCTGCTGCCAGAATCGCAAAAGACTGGCGAGGCTGAGGATGCCTTGTACGAGGCCCAGATCAAGGAAGTTGAGGCGTGGTGGTCTTCTCCTCGGTATTCTGGCATCAAGCGACCGTATAGCGCTGCCGACGTCGTCACCAAACGAGGCTCCCAGAAGATCTCATACCCCAGCTCTGTCATGGCCGCCAAGCTGTTCAATCTGATCCAAGAGCGCCAGGCCAAGGGCGAGCCTGTTCATACAAGTAAGTCTTGGCAAATGCACCAATTGAATCTGCAAACTGACAAACGCATAGTGGGTGCTATTGATCCCATCCAAATGACACAGCAAGCTGCTCACCAGGAAGTCTTGTACATTTCTGGCTGGGCTTGCTCGTCCCTGCTCACCACGACCAACGAAGTGTCTCCCGACTTTGGCGATTATCCCTACAATACAGTCCCCAACCAAGTTCAGCGTCTGGCCAAAGCCCAGAGCATGCATGACCGCAAGCAGTGGGATGCTCGTCGCAAGATGACTTCCGAGGAGCGTGCCAAGACTCCGTACATTGACTATCTCCGGCCCATCATTGCCGATGGTGACACTGGCCATGGTGGTCTGTCTGCTGTCTTGAAGCTTGCCAAGCTATTTGCCGAGAATGGTGCCGCTGCTGTGCACTTTGAGGATCAACTTCACGGCGGCAAGAAGTGTGGCCATCTTGCTGGCAAAGTCATCGTCCCCATTGGCGAGCACATCAACCGACTCAATGCTGCCCGATTCCAATGGGACGTTATGGGCTGTGAGAATTTGGTGATTGCCCGAACCGACTCCGAGTCCGGCAAGCTGCTTTCTTCCGCTATTGACGTCCGCGACCACGAGTTCATCCTGGGCGTCGCCGACCCTTCCATTGAGCCACTTGCTGAGACGATCCAGTCCATGGAGGCCAAGGGAGCTTCTGGCTCCCAGATCGACATCTTTGAGGCCAAGTGGGTCAAGGACACCAAGCTGGTCACCTTTGACGAGGCTGCTGTTGCCCACATGCAAAAGGAGGGCGTCAGCCGGGAAAAGATTAACGAGTACCTGAATGCGACTGCCAAGGACCGTGACATGGGCATCACGCGCCGCCGTGCTCTGGCTTCTCACTACTCCAAGACCCCGGTCTACTTCAATTGGGACGTTCCGCGAACCCGCGAAGGGTTCTACCACTTCCGGGCCGGCATGGAGGCTGCTACCAAGCGCGCGCTGGCCTTTGCTCCTTATTCTGACCTTCTTTGGGTCGAGACTGGCGACCCCAATGTCGAGGTTGCTGCCAAGCTCGGCCGCGCCGTGAGGCAACAGTACCCCAACAAGGGTCTTGTGTATAACCTGTCCCCGTCATTCAACTGGATGGCCCACGGCTTCACCCCCGAGACCCTCAAGTCCTTCATCTGGGACATTGCCAAGGAGGGCTTTGTTCTTCAGCTGGTTTCCCTGGCCGGACTGCACTCCACGGCAACCATTTCGTGCGAATTGGCGCGCAACTTCAAGACTGACGGCATGAAGGCATATGTCGAGCTGGTTCAGCGGCGCGAGAAGGACCTTGGATGTGACGTATTGACGCACCAGAAGTGGAGTGGAGCCAGCTACATTGATGGCATGTTGGGGGCTATTCAGAGCGGCAGCTCGAGCAGCAGGAGTATGGGCGAAGGCAACACTGAGGGTCAGTTCAACTAGGCTCAGGTTGGTCGAGGCAAATAAATGCGATGAGACATGGGGCAAGCATGGTTCGGAGTTTGTATTTTGGGTTGAATATACACCTTTTTTGTAGAGTAAATACATACTTTAGTAAGCTAAAACGAAGTTCATCATGCTTCAACAACTACAAAGTCCATCAGAAGTGATCTGCCACGGGAAAAGGCGCATTGATTATTAAGTATATAATTTTTTTCTTTCATAAGTCCATTATCGCAATCCCAGCAACATGTCTCCATGTCTCTACCCAACCCCTCTGTACCCCTCTTCGCATTGACTTCCACTTACTCCCCTACGCCAACGAGTTCTTGGAAGCATTGTTCTGGGGGGCGGCAGCAGCGGGCCCCTCCGGGGTAACATAGGCCTTGGTCATGCCGCCGTCGACGACAAAGTCGTGGCCATTCACAAAGCTGGCCTCGTCACTGGCCAGGAACACGACGGCATGAGCCTGCTCGATGGCCTCGCCGAAGCGGCCCGTGGGGAAGTGCACCTCGCGGCGGTGACGCTTGGCCTGGTCGTCGCCCAGCCAGTCCTGCAGCAGCGGGGTGTTGAGCGGCGCGGGGCACAGGCTGTTGAACCTGAAGCCCTCGCGGGCGTGGACCATGGCCAGCTCGCGCGTCAGGGCCAGCACGGCGCCCTTGGAGGCCGTGTAGGCGAGCTGGGGCGTGGCGGCGCCGACGATGGCGACGACCGAGGCCGTGTTGATGATGCTGCCCTTGGTCTTTTTGTGGCGGCGCAGCGAGAGCACGGCGTGCTTGCAGCCGAACCAGACGCCCTTGACGTTGATGTTTTGCGTGAGGTCCCAGATCTCCTCGGGGGTGTTGACGGCGTCGTCGTCCTTGGCGTGCATGATGCCGGCGTTGTTGAAGATGATGTCGAGGCCGCCCCAGGGGTCGACGGATTCGACGAGGGCTTTGACGTCGGCTTCTTTGGAGACGTCACATTTCTGTGATGAATTGCTTTTAGTCTGCTGTCCCTTTCTGGTTGTTGGTGACTGGGGACTGGACATGGTGCGTACCTTTGTTTCAACCTTGGCAGAGGGAACGAGCTGCTTGACCTTGGCCAGGGCCTTTTCCAGAGCGGGCTCAGAAATGTCGGCCATGAGCACGTTGGCGCCTTCTTTGGCGAAGAGGATGGTGGTTTCGAGGCCGATGCCACTGCAGGGTGCCAAGTCAGTAACGTGGGCTGATGCGAGCGTGGAAGGGGTAAGAGGAAGCTATTCGCACCCAGCGGCACCGGTAACGACGGCGTTTTTACCAGCAAGACGACCCATTGTGATGGTTGTGAGGATGGAAAGAAGGTTGGATTTACAGTGTGTCTGAAATGTCTCAAGAGGAGGAAGGGAGGACAAGAATGAAATAAGGCAGAGGGGTTCTTGGGTGTTGGCGGGGTCGGCAAGCTCTGCCAGCTTTTTGGTGTCACCTTGAATGGCGGGGTTGATAAGGACCAGACATGGACCTTAATAAGAAGTTCGATCAACTACAACTACATGTCTTGGCTGAAGCGCGCGGGACCAAGGGCCCGGCTTGCTGGCTTTACTATTTCCTGATGGCCGAGACACGCGGCACGCGTGATGGGTTTAAGAGGTGAGGCACTGGGCCGCGGCGACGGCGTTCCATGTGGACATTTACGGCCAAGGCGATGACGGACTGCAGTGTACGGAGGAGGTGAGCTCTGGTGTCGCGTTCCGACAGCGGCCAGGCCCACTGAACGCTGCGTGACAGCTCGTCAATAGTACCAGTGTCGCACCCGGCATCGTGATTGGCTCGTCCGAGTTGTCATTGTGGCTTCTCGGTGCGCGCACCGAACCGCGCTCTGCGGCCGGCGGTCCTGTACCTGCTCTCTCATGGTCCGAAATCGCCATAGGCATCCGCGAGTTACAGTGGTAGTATCATCATCGTATTTGCCGCGGACTCCGCGTACTGCGCCTATCTTTCGCGGACCTGCATGTATTCTAGAAGCTTGGAGCGATGGCACACCGCGGATCTGTAACCGTCCCTGGCAGCGTAGGTACCTGGCGTCGATGCGCGGGCCGCATCATATGGCATTGCGTGGCAGCCGCGGGCTCTGGGGCTTGAAAACTGGAATGCTTCATTCCTCGAGTATTCAACTACGTGCAATGTGTATTTTGCGAATTCTACTTTGTATGTGAAGGGAGCGATACGTTAGCCGCGCTGGATGTACTTGATATGATGTACCGTAAGGCAGGGTGCAAGCCATCACAGTCCCTGACCGCGCCGCAGCTCCGCAGAAATAAACCAAGTGAAACAAATTGCACGGCAACTAGAAGCGCGCTGAGTTACCAATGCCAAAAATACCGCTTCGTCGCTTCAATGAACGCCCGCACCGGCCGCTCATGCCGAAGAGTTTGCATGTACTATCTCCAAGTCCAACCCCACGATCCAGAATCTGCGCGCTAACCAGGGCCGCCACCGGGTCTCACCTTGGAAGCGCCACGCCAATCAAAACGTCGTAAACCCTTGCCGCACCCCCCGCAAGCCACTTCAGTGCTTCCAAGAGCTGCACCCCAAGAAAGAAAAAAGTTGATGACGATGCAGATTGGCGCAAAAGCCGCATGGCTTCCCGTATCGTGCCCGGTCATCGCGGCTGAAAACCCGTCTGCACGCCCATCTAAAGAGGCCGCACGCCCGGTTTCTGTTCTGCTCCTGGGGAAATAAAAACACCAGGCGCTAGAGACGTCAATCTTGGATCTTTGGAAACTTGGCTCAAATCCACGCGCGGCTTTCTTCATTGTGCGCGCAACATTTCTGCCCCCGCTTTGCTCAAGCTGGAGCTTATCGTGACATGACTTAAAACCATTGAGCTACGTGCACACTCACATCGCCAGCTCTACACTGCAAACACCGGACTCACGTCTCTCTTTGACTCCTTCCCACCTCCCCCTTTTCTTCTCATCTTCATGACCATCTGTCAACTACCGCCTTCTGTCGCCCTCATCACTCGACGAAGCCTGCTCATCCCCGCCACCACCATGGGGTCCCAAATCACCGCCTCTTCCCTCCCCCAGCTCCTCGAGCACGACACATGCGTCAAGCTGGCGGGCATCGACGTCGATGGCATCCTGCGCGGCAAGCTCGTCTCCAAGAAGAAGTTCTTGTCCATTGCCGAAGCAGGATTCGGCTTCTGCTCCGTCATTTTCGGCTGGGACATGCACGACCAGACCTACCTCAAGGAGCTCAAGGTGTCCAACGCCGAGAACGGCTACCGCGACATTCTGGCCATTCCCGACCTCTCCACCTTTCGAAGGGTGCCGTGGGAGGACAACGTGCCTTTTTTCCTCGTCAACTTCTTCGACCCGGAAACCAAGAAGCCCATTGCCCCCTGTTCAAGGGGCCTGCTCAAGACGCAGCTGGACAAGGTCCACGCCAAGGGCTACGGAGCCATGGCTGGCGGTATGTTTCTTTTTTTGCCTCCAGACCGACCACTTGGGACAAGCTAACTAGAGTCCTTGACAAAAGCTGAATACGAATTCTACACCTTCCGCAACCCAAACAGCGACTCGGCCTCCCCGGCCGGCTTCCTCCTGCAAAACCCGCCTCATCAGCTGCCCTCCCTGACCGAGGGCATGTTCGGCTACTCGCTCAACCGCCCCGTCCACAACAAGGACTGGTACTACGACGTGTACAACACGTGTGCCCGCTTCTCCTGCGACATCGAGGGCTGGCACACCGAGTCCGGCCCGGGCGTCTACGAGGCGGCCCTCGAGTTCGGCGAGGTGGCTGACATGGCCGACCGCGCCAGCCTGTTCAAGTACGTCGTCAAGAGCGTGGGCATCAACCACGGCATCACGCCGTGCTTCATGGCCAAGCCGAAACAGGGCCTCCCCGGAAACAGCGGCCACATGCACATCTCCATCGTCGACGGCGACGGCAAGAACCTGCTCGCCAGGGACACCACGGACCCCGACGCCAAGTGGAACGACATTGCGGCCCTGTCCGATCTGGGCCGGCACTTCCTGGCGGGCCTCCTCGAGGGCCTGCCGGACATCATGCCCATGCTGGCCCCGACGGTCAACTCGTACAAGCGGCTCGTCGAGAACTTTTGGGCGCCCGTCACTGTGTCGTGGGGGCTGGAGCACCGCGCCGCTTCCATCCGCCTCATTTCGCCGCCGACGTCCAAGCCCGGCGCCACGAGGTTCGAGGTCCGCACGCCTGGCGCCGATTCAAATCCTCACTTTGTCTTGGCCGCCATTCTGGGCTGTGGGTGGCGCGGCGTAGAGAAGAAGCTGGAGATTCCGTGCCCGCCGCTTGCCCTGGGGCAGGATACAGGCGGTGCGGGCGACGTGGGCGAGCGGCTGGCCAAGAGTCTCAAGGAGGCTACGGCGCGATTTATGAGAAAGGATAGCATCGCGAGGGAGATTTTCGGCGACGATTTCGTCGATCATTTCGGCGGCACCAGAGAGAACGAGGTTCGGTTGTTTGACGAGGCTGTTACGGATTGGTACGTGCTTCAACCACTTCGCATCAAACCAGCACATCATGTGCCTTTGCTGACCAGCTCATTCTAGGGAAATGAAGCGTTACATTGAAACCGTCTAAGGGAGTGGGCGATGGGCAATGCCTAGTCGGTCATGACGATACCCCTGTTGGATTACATGTTGCATGTGTATATTTGTGTTTCTATTCGCGGTGGGGCCATTGCTGTTACGCCGTTAGTCCATGATTGATGATTTATATATTACGAGTACCTCAACATCAGGCAGTTGCCCTCTCCTGTCGGCTTGTGGGCTTCTGCCAACTCTCCTTGTTTCCGTGACGATTGTCCCACCGGTCATCAGCAAACCGGCTTCGCTACACAATTCTATGCGCCGCGTAGCTCGACACGCCCAATGTAGTTGTCACTTACAGCTCGAGGGCGGAATGGAGTATTTGACACAGCTGCTCTTGCAAAACTGGATTGATCAGCGCCTCCTGCCAGTGGAGGTCTTATTTTGGTAGGTCCCCTACATTTCCTTTACACATCAACTACTGGTGGTAGTTTATCCTCATTTTTGACGACAACGTGCAGACAAACTTCACATACCTTAGTAAAATCTACCAAATTCATCCAGAATAATGAAGCCTGTTCGGGTTGGGACGAAGTCCGCACAAAACCACCAGGTCGCAGATGCTCCAAACTCATAAGGCCGGCTTTTTGTGCACAGCATGTCCTGCGCTGCCGGAGAGAGATAAATCAAGGCCCAAATATTTCCTCACTGCCAGATACGCGCATCTGCGCTACCAGCGTTGTGCTTTCAGACACGCGTAGCGTGATGGGATCAAGTAGTGCAACGTCAGGTACCGTTCAAGATTCGAAGTTGAACGAAACCGGCCGGGACTACGGCTGGTGTACTCGACATGATCTAGAACATCGTCATGTCCAACGGACCCCTTCACTCACACCCCCTGCTGCCTTTGCAGAACGCTATTTCTGCATCCGACTTGGCGGCACAACCAACCGCATCAGCTGCTGACGTCGTATTGCGCTACGCGTGTTTCTCAACTTGACCGCCGCTCTGCCACGTCAGACCTTTGTGCCGGTGGCGTCGAGAAAATCTACGCTTCCGCAAGCGATTTTTGGCAAAGTTCGATGCGAAAGTGGTGCCATCGTCCTCGATGACCGAATCGCCTGTTACACCCAGACACCAACGCCATGGTTACGGGTATAAAACTATCCCGAAAACGACACATGGGACTGTTACTATGGTCATGCTCCGATACTGTGCCCTGAACCATGACCTTGGCCGGTTGCTGGATGAAGATATGGCCTGGATCGGAAGTGACGGGTATTTGACAGTATACTGGGTAGAGTGGCCAGGAATTCAGGTTTTTGACTACTCTTTCAAGGTGGCTGGATGTGTAAAGTGCTCGGATCGAAGCTTGTATTTGTGACCCCTGGTATATCTATAAATACAGCAGCGAGTCTCGACAGCCCTTGCAACATGTATCCGGAGAAGGGTCTGATCGGCCAGGGACTTTTACAGTGCCTCTAATCTCCTCTTCTACTCTCATCGTGTGCTCAGATGACTCACATCTTTTACTGCGGGAGGATGGACCGCAGCGTTCGAACAAAGCCGTTGGTAGGATTTCCAGACTGATCAAGTATCTTGCTCGCCTTGGTGCCGCTTCAGTAACAGGGCTTGACTTTTCTGTGGCGGTAATCACGGCGGCGCAGGAGCTTGCTGCTCAAACAACTGGCAATGGCGGCGAGAAGCTTACATTTGTCGAGGCGTCTTTATCTAATGCGTTGAATATCGTACCGCCAGGCGGCTTT